AGTTAATTTCACACAGGCACTGAGGAACACACCTAATTTTCAACATACCACTGAGATTGATTAACTTTGGATGAACAGGTCTTGAGTAGGGGCCTGTCCAGGACTTTTACTCCACTACCTCTTCTGGGGAATTGCACACAGTGGAGAAGAGTGTGTGCTCATGTACATTTGGGGCATTTATGGGGAGCTTTATTTAGCATTTACATGGCGCATTGTGGTTAAATCTACTTGATGGAATTTGATTTCTGTAACCTTTGGACTCTGTCTTAGATAACAACTCCTCTGCAGTCTCTTTGGAGCAGACACTGAGCCTTTTAGATTTTGCACAGACTCAAGAGAAAACTCCACCACTGTGTTCCAGACAAGCAGCTGCAGCTCTTGCAGCCTGTGGCATGAAAATCTCACTTCAGCCATTTGACCTCTGCTGGCAGTTTCTGTTTATTCAAAAGGCCCCCATGAGACAGACAACACCGTGTTATTAGAAATGATAGCAATAACACAGAGCGGCAATCACATATCATCATAATATTGACATAACAGTCCAGAATATGTCATTATACAGACCATAAACATATTCTCAAGATGGCAGTGATGTTCTAAATGGATGCTGCACAGAGCCAAGGGTAAGACCTCAAAATAAATGTGCCTCTCCCCGAGGACATGGTAACTGAAGTGCAGAGCTGCAAGACTTCTTAATAATATCAGGGAGCATAGCAACGAGCGCTTTCAAGACGATGGTGAGATCTCGGGCTAAATTGATGTGAGCTTTGTGGAAGTTTAGCAGCAGAGGCGATGACAGACTGTAGCTCTGCGGAGGTGTCATTGTCAGCGCCTGTAACAAGGTGTGCTCACTTTGTAACAGTGATAATGTCGCAGAGACTCCTGCCTTTGAAAACATCATTAGCACAGTGAGTCACATCTAGAACAAAGGCAGTCAAATGCGGAGGCCTGTGTGCTCACATCAGAGGTACAACATCTGGGTATAGAGCTGGAGAGGACAAGATTTTAATGCTATTTGGGGAGATGATAATGTATGCATATGTGTGCAGATATATTTGTAGAAACATGAACTTAAAAGGTGTAATTTGTATTTTGTATTTTTTAAATAGTTGCAAGAATGTTTAGCTCCTGAATCTGTTTCTTCCTTGAAGTCTAGACTCACTTGTCTCTGACACTCTCCTAATGTGCAACCACATGCTTTTTAAGACATGTGCTGATACATCTATAATTTTGTTGAAAGGTTTTCTCTTATTGTCTGCTTTTATTTTGCAGTGTATTTAAAGGAACTTTCTGTGCAGCTTTTTATTTATTTTTTCATTCATTTATTTGCACATAAGGGATTGCAAGATCTCACAAAGTTTCATGTAATCAGAACATTTTTTTAAAATCCATATCATTGACTGTATATACTATGGACACTTTGGTTGCCTTCCGCCACTACACAGATTTGAAGCCAAAAAGCTCTCTGTAATTTTGTGTTTTTCCTCCATTTCCTGAAACCAACATTGCAGTAGTGTTGTACGCATTCGGCAGGAGAGTTGCCAAGGGTCGCTGTGATGACGCTTGGCTCAAACAGCATAATCCGTGAGTGAGCTATGCAATTTTCGTATGGCCACAGGATTGCTGGAGGAGGTGGGATTTATGACCTTATGACCCTCTGATGAGCCCGTCACTAGAGGGTGCTGTTCTTGGAGTGGCTTCACCAAGCGAGGAGGCAGACGCGCCCATTCTATACACAGTCTATGGTCCATACTGATACTCATATAACAATGCTATTTTTGTAACTGTGTAAATATTTTAGTGCAAATAAACTTCTGAAGAGTTTTTTTAAAATACTGTAAAATAGATGTCAGACAGCTGTTTGTAAAATTCATTTGGTCACTAATTTTAAATAATTTGTGCTTTTTTTTAAAGCTCTTTAGAGACAACACCAGTTACCAGAGAAAGGCCTCAGATTTGAGAACTTTCAGTATGTCATGTGATATTTCCTTCATGAATGAACTATTAAGTTCATCACAACTGGCTGATGTGTGTTTTTTTTATATATTTTTTATTACATCATTTTCTTTTTTTAGTTGCTGCAGCTGAAAATGGAAAATGCAGCTATACACTGCTTTTCAAAGTAACCTAAAGGGCGGCCCAACATATTGTCAGTATTGTTTGAGAGAGAAGTACCTTTAAGTGCTTCATGAAGAGCACTCCCAGCTCTGTCCTCCTGAAGTACATAGAAAACAAAATTATTATTAATATCATTTCAATGACAAAAATACCTCTCAGTGCAGAAGAAGTCTCACCCACATACATCTGATCCTCCACACAAACTTTGTGTCTGTGTAGATTAGATTAGACTAGAAGGGGAGGCAGTTTATGTCAGATTACGTGAGTTTGTGAAATAGCAGTTTAATGCTCTTCCAAGTCATCCTAGTATTTATAAAATGATTTCTCCACCTGACACTGAACAAGTAGTCCCTTTTCTGAGAACTCTGCTTCTGCTTTAGATGATTTTTTGAGATGAAGTCATAAATAACATCTGTTTAACCAAAAACAATCTTGGGATACTGTATTTTTTCAGTGTCCCATCTGGTTTAATGAGCAAGCAAAGATGGTTCAGTCATTAAGTTTTTCCGCTTTTATTATCAGGGTAAACTGTGTCCATTCCCTGCCAGTTGCAGGAGCTTTTCGACCGTGCCAAGACATATGTTTATTTTTCCTGAAAAAGTCAACATCCACTGCATTACCCTGTCTGTGAACTGAGCAAATACTGGTGCCAGGCTTTTAGCTCAGTGCCAGGCATATTTTAATGCCTGGTAAACACTGTCCTCTAGTGCCCGCACTCTAACACACATAAACACACACACATGTTCCTTGTTGCCAAAGCTGGAAATCAGGCTTCTCAAGGAATTTGACTCCACGGTAAACTCTGTCATCTTTGAAATCACTGCTTCTCCAAATCGGGATAACTGTTCATCTCATTTAATGTCTGTTTGGGAACGACCCTCAATTATTTTCTCAGTGTCACTTGTTGAACTGTGATTTTCATAATTAAATGCACCAGCTGCATTGACTTTCCGTGGCTCCAACAATGATCTCTGCGCAAATCATGGAGCAATTGCTACAATTGGACAGAAATGTCTATAACCATGGTTTCATCATCAGCCACCCTCAGATAGCTTTTAGCGGGGCCTGCTTTGGTCTGCCTAATGAGGCCAGTCACAATCACAGAGTGAGCAGCAATAAAAAAAAAAGCAGAGACTGGCCTCTTCCTCCTCTTTCAAATTACCTGATCAATCATTCACTAATGCTCTGGAACCAGCTGATCTCACCTGTCAACACAAGGTCAGAGTGTCCTGATCCCCTGGATGACTTAACCTGATGTGGATTTCCATGTAGGCACAATAGATTCGCAATCAGCCCGTCAAGCGGCACATGGAAGCCCGCAGGATATTAGAGATGTAAATGGAACATAATGGCGCTATTATATTCATGCTCATCCTGCTTTGCCTTTGATGGTGATGTCTTTTCACTGCAATTCAACACCATCTGGCTAAAATCAGCACAGGCAGGAGTAGTTAGGACATTCAGTCCTCAGACACAATCATTACTTCAAGCCAATGACACATCCCATTTGTTTCTACTCAAAGTTAAGATACGTTCAAGAGCACAAATGAATGTTAATCAAATCTTCCATCCATTCAGAAAGCGTCATCTATTGATCGTTGTATAATAAATAATGTCCAGCTGCACTGGACTTGTTTGGTTAAGGGCACAGAGAGCTGTGTGTGGCAGATACTGTGAACTTTAAGGGTGACATTGTGTGCTGAAATGTGTAAACAGTTCTTGTCGAGCCAGTTGACCAAACAAACACAGCAGGTCATACAGACCTTGTTAACATCGCTCTCTTTCAGCAGACACCCTGCCAATAAAAAGGGCGTCTTTGATTCATTTTTTACTAAATCCAGAACTCTCCTATAGCTTTTGGCTTTTTGACAACTAAATGTGATTTTCGGAGTTTCACAGGACCTGTTAACAAAGGCTGTTTGTTTGCTAAATTGGCTGGTGGAGCTGACAAACCTGCCAGTCATTTGGATTGTGTCTTCTGCTTCACCAGTTTCCATACTGTCTCCCACATACTGTAAAGGAAATTAGATTTGACAAATACAATATCATGCAAATTGCTTTTTCCTCTTTTAACTCATGCAAAGTGAGCCGCAAAGCAGTGCAGCGAAGTTTGCATCAGACCGTGTCTCGATCGAGAAAAAGAGATTTTGATTTGATTTGAATAAAGTTGTTCAAGTTTGTTCAAGCCACTGATCACTGTCTATCTTTCTAAGCAGCTGATGTATTACAGATTACATGTGGGTTAGTCTAAAGGAAAATTTCACTAATTTAGGTTTAAATTGCTCATCAAGAAAAGGTTGACGGACTATAATCTAGATCAGAGTTGAGTATTCACGTTCAGTCCTTTTAATGTCCCTGTACGGCCCTTAATGAGGTCCGTCAATCAAATCATTAACATGCTATACAAGTGTGTTGCTTTTATTTTGAAAACCTAGCCGTTATTTTATTTCTGTTCAGACGCAGGTGAGTACATCCTAGAGCTGCATTCGTGAACAGAGACAAGTTTAAACAAGTTTAGACGCCTTATCGCTGCTAAGTCCGCTTATTATGAACAACTCTAGGCTTGTTTCTCTCAAGAAGTCGCTTGTAAAGCTTGTGAGTCACGGGTGCACTTTTTTGGGGCTTGTTTTTAACTAGTAGTTGCTTATTTGGGCTTGCTTTTCTGTATATGTGAACCCCCCTGATTTGAAGTTGAAGTTAGTGTTGGTAGAACAAAGACAGATAGAGATTCATTAGAAATTGTGATGGTAAAATAAAACTTAAAAATCATTTGCTCTGTATTGTAATGACAAGAACAGATTTATTTGATTTTGCATAAACAAACGCTTTATACTGACAGAATCAGAACAACAACAAGCCTCGTGTTTTTGGTAAATCCGGCATTAAGAAGAGACAATATTTTGGAACAGAAGCGTGATTTTACAGAATGTTTCTTCAAAAGAGGGTGTTCAAATATTAACATGCTTTGAGATGAATAAATCAGGACCTTTTCTGGTTATTTCCAAACTGGTGACATCTGACGGATTACTGATGCATCTTTTATGATCCTCACTTTCATCACAGTGCTGAGGTTTTGGTGGCTGTGCTATCACTGTGAAATGAGGCATCTGGCTCCCATCTGGGCTTTGTTGTCTTTCTGCGGCACGAAACATATTTTAGAAAACAAGCGGGAAATGGCACAGCTCTTTGCTTATTTTTTTTTAATTTTTTTTTCCGCTAACTGCTTTGCAGAAAAGAGCTCTTTCAAAACAATCCAATGCCACACAAAAGCAAAATCACACAATATTTTATAAAGCCGCTGAAAATCAGTTGAAACACTCAATTAAGCTTAAGCAAACTGTTTTTTTGGAGCTCACATGTTTATGCCAGTCCAAAGCTTCCTGTTGTTGTGTTTCTGATGTCTTGTTGCAGCTCCTGAAAGCTGTAAGGTGGCAGAGGAAACGGCACAGCCTGGCGGTAGACTGTATACTAATGACAAGAGAGGAGAAACATCACCGTGTAAACAAAGTAGCTGAGTGTGGCTATATTCAAGCGGGAATAAGGGCTTTTGGATGAAATGTAGGACAAGAAAGTGTCCACACATACCTCTGGGAATTTAATCTTCACATCCACGCTGTCAGCTGAAGCGACAACAACTGATGCAGAAACCTCCTGCCTAACGTTCCTCTCATGTTGCTCGGAGAAGCCAAGAAGGAAAGCCATGCCTGGGATGTAGCTTCCGATGCTGACAGGAGTAAAAAGCTCTTTAAGTAATACATGCCAGAATGTGTCATATTTGTAAACACCGGAAAATTTCCCCACCATGCTTCCTGAGGCAAAGTAAGCAGCTTCAATGTGAAAGGAAGTCATTTTTTTACCCTCTCATTCAGCTCCGTCTCATATTTAATCCTTCTTACATTTCATTGCACTGACGCTCACCTTCTGCCAATCTCTGCCATGGTTTCAGGGATCCTGGTCCAGTCCACTTTGGCCTTGAGCGTTGGCTTGGATCCAGGGAGGTGAGTGGTAGCACCTCTCATTGACATTTCATAGGACTGGCATTCAGCGCCCCATCGAATATGTGCCTAAACCAAACAGAAATAGTAATCCTGATTGATTATACATTTGTATAAAATTATTGTATGAAAAGTATGAACATATGCACACAGACAGTCCAACGTTTGTGTCGAAGAAAATGTGATTTTCAAATGTAAAACCACAAGAAATGGTATTTAAACATATCTTGGAGCTAGATATTTCTTTACCGACCACCAAAATACTGGAAGAGTTAAATGCACACTCCTATTTTCCTTCCATTTTTTTAAATTTGATACATACTTTTATGATAGTTCTATCAAATCAATATGATCAACAAATTACAAAAAAAAACACACCTTAATACAGTCCGATAAATGATAAAAATGTCCTCTTGTGGTTTATTAGTTTCCAAAAACCTCTCATGTATCAAACAAGATAAATAAATATATTTGTTAAATTTTAAGAACATTTAGATTTTTTTGGTTTTCAATATGAAGTGAAATAAACATTTTAGCTCAAAAAAAAAAAAGAATTTTCTGGCCATAATTTGCAGTTTCAGGCATTAAAGGACTAATTGTTTATTGATGTATGAGTTAAAGCAACTTAAACAGTCACATTAAATCTACAAGCCTTTGTTAGTGGCTGTTCTCATTTTTGTGATGGTATTCTATGGATGGGGTCGGCTGCTATGTATAATGAATGGGGTTCAAACTCCAGGGATTGCCTTGACTTGATAGGGACATTGGCTTATACACCTTTTCTATAAAAGTATGAATTTTAAATGTGCAGATTATTATTCAAATAGACATCCAAGCTGCCCTTTCCATGCGTGTGTACCTTTGCTTCAGCATGGGCATGCACAATGGTGTCCACGCACATCTTCCAGTTGGTGTCCTCTCCAACCTGGGACATGATCAACTGGGCGTTCTTAGTGTTTGCCTCTGGTGTGTAGTAGATGGATGCATCGTAGCCATCGGGCTTCTGGTTGCCACTCATGGCAAAGGCTTTGATATTGAACACGGCTTCAGGCACTGAGTCCAGGACCTATTGGATGACAGTCCAGACTACTGTATTAGGGTCTGATGATCTGCAGATTAATCAGCTGATGTCATGTGCAGAAGTATATTTTGGCAGAGGGAGCAATCATCTTTTGCAAAACTGACACTGTCTTGTAAAAACAGATTTTTCTCCCAGTCTCAGCTGAGTATGTTTGGCATACTTGCAGTACGCTGTCCTGCTCGCTGCTACGCGATCCTCTGGCACTTGAGGCTGAATCGGAGGACAGACTCACTCTCTGTGTGGCTTCCTGTAAACACAATGAAGCAACAAGACCATGTGAGGGGATAAAACAGCAGAGCAGGTACAGAGATAATAACGTTGCAAGGGTAGCCAGATACCTTGGAAAGCCTCCTCAGAGTCTCAAGCAATTGGCGAACACTCATTGGATGTCTGCTCGGACCAGCGTTGACCTCGAAGTGGATTTTTTCAACAGCTTTGGTTGCCTGGACTTGGAATGGGAAACATTAGCAAAAAGTTAGGACTAAAATTTTAAAAAGAAATGAACTTTAAGTGCTTTCAGCTGATTGTGAAGTTAAGCCTTTTTCCAAAATATTTACAACACTTGGACAAATTATTATTTGTTTATAATTTACACACCGAAATGAAACTTTCTCACATCTAAGTGACAGCATCTCAATTAGTATTTGATGTAAACTAGGACTATTTCTTTTAGGAAATAACATATTGTTTGATGATCAGGCTGGATTCTACTTATTATGTAAACTGAATACAGGACAGGAGTGGGATGGACAATTGGTTGGGCTAGGGTTACTGTTAGTGAGGGAGAATGATGAGATCATCAGAAATTGACATGGTAAGTAAATGTTTCAGGAAAATCCACCCAGGAATTTTAGCTAGTAACCTTTTTACCAACCTTATTGCAAATCTCAGTAACACTTTATTTGACGCCTATCTCTATAACGCATTATAAATATATGTATAATGTGTTATAATCACGTTATAGCACTGTATAACTATAGTTATAAACACTCATGAATATGCATTATCTATGCGGGCATTGTCAGTGAGTTATAATATCTACATTATAAAACCTGACCTTGTAAGTCATGATAAAATTCTTTATAATGTGTTATGATTATTGCTGTAAAGCATTGTGATCATTTATTAGTGTTTATAACCATAGTCATACAGTGCTTTAATGTGATTATACATATATTTATAATGCGCTATAGAGATAGGCGTCAAATAGTGTTACCCAAATCTCCTGTGAGGAATTTTTTGACTAGCTATGACACAAACTGAAATTGAAAGTTCTGTTACAACCTAAAAGAAGATGAACAGTTTCTCAATTTGGATTTTTAGTTGTCTAAAACCACTGAAAGTGGGGTTTGGAATCAGTTAATGATTAATACATTTCACTGTCAAAGGAGAGCAGGATGATTTTTCAAAAGAAACAGAAACTATAAATGTACAGGACAAAAGAGGGGGTGCCAAAATGAACACAGGCCAAAAGTTCCTCATAGGAGCTTTAAAGTTTGTGAAAATAGATACTCTCTGCAGTTCTTAGCTGACTGTTACCATGCTGCAGCTATTCAGAATCAGCTGAATGTAGAAGTAGGTTGTTAGGCCTGTTAGAGCTAGCCAAAGGGCTAAAGCTCTGCACAGCATGCTTATGACTACACACAGCTTTGTAAATATTAAGCATTAAAGAGGGGAATAATGCAGTTTGTCAGTGTTCAGTCAGTACATGAAACAAATAAAGCATCAATGTGATGAGGTCTGAAAGAGCACTAAAGATTTTCTATTTTGATGCAAATCAGGTTCAGGCCACAACTAAATTCAGCTCAATCTATTTAAGGGCTTAGCTTTCAAAGCCAACAGCTCAATATTATGAGTTGATAATATAATACACAAGATTAGAATTGTACAATCAAAATTGCTTGAAAATGGATTTATCAACAGAGGTATCCATGGTGCACAGGCAGCTATCTTCTCCTGAAGCAGTATTAGAGGACTTGTCTCCAATAATAAGTTGTTTTTCCCTCTGTAAATGTCTGTTTTTCTGAATGTCAGCAGAAAGTCAAGCTTCATTGTTAGAGAACAGGGTTAAAAAAATAATGCATGCCACAGAGCGGGTGCATCTTATGGGAATTTAGCGACATGATTCGAGTTGTGAAAGCAAGATGTCAAAATGCGGTTACACTCTTGAGTCCACATGTAAGTTGGTCGCTTGTGTCTTAAATGGCGTGGTGCAGTGAGTAGATTTTGATGTGGATACCTGGGGTTACTTTTACAGCCATGTGGGTGTATCCAAGGAAATAGTACAGTGGGTATTCCTCATGATAATACTCTCTCTTCAACTCAGATTCCACACAGATGCCGGTCCCATAAATGTTGCTCTCGGCGCACATTTTGGATCTCGGGTGCCAGATGTTTGGTGTCACAAACTGTTAAAAAAGACACTTGAGGGATATATAAACTGGAAATATAAAGCAGCCAAATGGTGCTCTCCTCAGGATGGGATAACAAACGGTACCTGCTCTGAATCAGGCGTCTCAATCGCAGGGTTTACTCTGACAACTTCACTGTTGGAGTCCATAACAATGGGCATTATTGGTGTCATCTTAGCCATAGCTAGATCCTCAATGTTTCTGGAGACTGCAAACACATCAGATCTGTTGTTTGGATGGAAAAATAAAAAATGAGCAAAATGGGTGTTTTGATCATGATGAAATTTTCAGTGTGATTTTGTTTCTCACCAACTCTCTCTCAAACTTACTTGACTGAAATGAGAGCAAACTCTTTCTTGCTCACAGGGAAGTCCAGTTCGAACTTCTTTTCCCTCATGTTGATCTTGGCAGCAAACTTCCACGGGATGGCCAGAGGAATTTTGCTTTTAAACTCAGTACCACACTGGAAGAGCTCAGTGTTGATGCCATAGTAAACCCAAAAGTCCTTTGTCCAGCTGAAAAGAAAGGTTTGCCTCATGACTGTCACTCCATAACCACTAACCACTACACCACCGTGCCGCCCATTGGTTATCGTTCAGCATATAAAATTCCAACGACACCCTTATTTTTGTGTGTTCTGGATCACAGTATCCAAAATTTTATCCAGATCACCACCAAAATTAAATGGGATCCTCCTGGGGCTGAGACGCACCTCTGGTGAAAATTTCAGGTCAATCCGTTTGTTTCTTTCTCCGTAAAGTTGCTAACAGACAAACAAACAAACAAACAAACAAACAAACAAACAAACCAACGCTACCGAAAACATAACCTCCTTGGCGAAGGTAATAAAAAGGCCCATTTGTAAGGCTGACAAGAATTAAGTAAAAAACAATCAGTTAAGGTGACTGAATTTCTTGCAATTCTAGCGTACCATCTTGTTGGTATGCCCGTATATCTCTTTAAAATGAGTGAACTTTAAAAACTTTACCCCACAAATCCATCAGTCTCCAGAGAAATTTCAGAATTCAACAGCTGTCCAAGATGATCAGTTGGTGGTGGGTTTAGTGCAGTCTTGGCTTTATGTTAAAAAAAAGCAGATTTGAGCAAAACTTTACATCAAACTAATATGCTGTATTAGTCATCAATGAATCTTGGCTTGCAAGGCGGTTACAGGCTGGTTATAGGTTTTCACCTCTCACCATTGACAGTAATCCCGTTGACGCTTTCATAATACTTGCTGATCTCCAGTGGGAGACCCAGGGTAGTCGCTTGGAAGTATCGGACCTCAAAGATTAAGAAGGGTTTTGTCCGATGCCATGACACTCCTTTTTGAAGATTCTCAATCATTCCCCACAGGGGGCTTTCCTTCCCTGCAGAAGGGCTGAAAGCCTGCGAGGAGGATAAAAGGAGAGCATCGTATAACAGGCTTTGTGCGCTGCATGAAGATATGGTCCTCATTTTGCAGGCTGAACTGGCTAAGACATAAACGGATGCTTCTCTCTCACCCCGATAATGTCCCGGATGAACTCTTTCTTGATATCTGCATAGAACCACTCTTGTCCAGAGGCACGAGTGTAGGCAGAAAGAATGGGCTTATCTTCGGGCATGCTTTCCCAGTTCTTAAGCTGGAAATGGCACAACACAAAGGTAAAACAACGAACAAGCTCACATAGCAGTACAGCTTTGTCTAAGTTATATACTCACCACATTGAAAATAGACTGGAAATCAGTGGAGCTAAGATCTCCGGTGAAACCAGGGATCCCGGAGTTGAAGAGCTCTTTAATTCCTTCAGCACGGAAACCCACCTTCAGCATACAAAGAGAGGAAAATTATAATTCATATAGGAATGATGGTAAGATTTTAAATGTTGACATATCACTGTATTTTTATAACTATACCTCCAGAAGCTGCAAAATTCGTCCAATGAAGAAGAATTTTCCTTTCATCATGAATTCAGAGGGAAAGGAGTTTGTGGCACTCTTTAGCATGAGGATTTCAGTGGCTGTCCCGATGAGGAAATCATCTTCATTCAAAACAAACAAACAAACAAAAAACATAGGTATCATTAGGGATGTAGAGAAATCAAAGAATCCAAGTCTGCTTAATATTGCATACCATTAAACCAGTCTATGCGCAATGCCTTGCTGTAGAAGTAACTGAGACGACCAAATTTAGGGGTCAGGATTTTCACGGCAACATTGCAGGCAGTTGAGCTGATGTATAGAACAGAAAAAAATAGAAAGTTAAAGCTTGAAGGAGATAACACAAATGAATGTGAGTATCATAAGTGAATCATCACTCACAGGAAGAGGTTGTCAGGAGTTGTTGATCTGGCAAAGCTCCTCAAGTAGGAGTATGCAAAGCTAACAAAATGCAGGTCTTTCTCTTCCTGCAGATGTGCAGTCACTGTGGACACCAGAGCCATCGATGGCTTAGTGTCAAACAGGATTACAAAGGCCAGCATGCGGATCTCAGAAGGAAGGTCCTTTTGCAGGAACAGAGTCATGGTGATGTCTTGGACCTGAAAACACATTATGGATACAGAGTCATTACACATTAAAACACAGAGCTGAGGAAACATCTGTTTTGATCTACCATGGTCTCTTTGATTTTGATTTTCTGAACTGATGATGAACTTTGAGAAAACAGATCACAGCAAGTGTCTGAATGTAAACAGTGAAAACATAGTGTCCCTCTACAGTGTACAGATAACACACAATAACACAAATCAGACTTGCAGTTTTCAAATGAACGTTCTTATGTGCCTCTAGTCATTCATCTAAAATAAAGGATAAAGCTGTAACAAGTCCTCCTATAATCCTGCATGCACGTCAGATATTGTCATTTTCTTACACTGTGGGGGTCTCTGGCAGCCAGGAGTCTCATAGACTGTACGGCAGCGCTCAGCACAGGAGGTGGCAGATCCACGGGGGTGGCAGCAACTCCGGGGAGGAAACGCATGATGGTTTTAATGCTGCCTGGGTGGCCTGCATTGCCCAGAGCTTTCAGAGCAAGGACCATGTTTGCCTCGTTTCCAGTTCTCAAACTTTCTGTGGCCAGGTCCAGCAGAGGCTAAAATAGATATGAAATACACACACAGAAGGATTTTTTGTACAGTAATTATATTTTTATTTTTTCACAACTAACCTCAGTAAAGTTAAAGCACTGCTTCTTGTTTTATTTTGGTAGGTCAAAGTTATGTATTCCGATACGATACGATATTCCTTGTTTGCTTACCTGAACAGCAGACACTGGACAAGGTGTGTAATAGTTGCAGTGCTTGTACACCAGAGAGCCATAGGTAAGCACCACAGTGTGCCACACATAGATGCTAGATTTACTGAAGGGCATTGCCAGGAACATCTGTAAAAAGAAATAAAATTGAGTTGATTCAACATGAACTAGATGGAAGCTGCCAGAGAAAGTTTGCACGGATTCTCCCTTTAATAATCAAACTATTCATCAAATTATTTGTCATTGTCTTACTTTAGCCATCTCCACCAGCTCAGGAATCGGCCGGAGATGGTTAATTGACAGCACAAGGGTTTCCACCGCCTCAGCTGCTGTCACATCTGCAGCCTCAAACCTACTTTCCAGGAACTTCAGGATTCTGGCATCAGTGACCTCGACGACCAAGTCCAAAAACCAGCGTCTGATGTGCAGAAAGGAAATGAGAGAGTGGATGAATTGTGTGATATGTGAGATAAGGATAAGGATTATTTCTCAGATCAATCAATAAGATAAAAAAGTGTGAAGGAGAAAGTTCAGATGTCACGTTTAATTGCACTTGCACAGGATGAGTGCCTTAATCTTAATAAGTGAGGAAAGCAGTCTTTCAGTCATCACCTCTCTGCCATCATGCCCCTGAGGATAATAAATCATTCATCAGTGGTAATATTTCAGACTAAATCCTTCCTTGACTAAGTGGGAGGATATTCAGCAATTAGCTGTTCAGTTGAGTGGATGACTGTCAGATTTAAAAGATAGCCTTGGACTGCTTTGTTCAGTATCTCGAAATACTGTAATGAAAAGATTGGTTTAAGGACATCTATGAAGGATTTTCACTTTCAGTCAAATGTTCTCTCTGGTTTCAAAGATAGGATGGAATAAATCTCTGCTTAACAGTTACATTCAGTAAGTTAAAAGGACTAAAACCATCATTACGAGTGGCGAAACATAACTCGGACGCTGTGCAGGAAGGTCAGTGTTACAGCCACCTGAAAAACTGGGTGTGGTTGCTTAAATGCTGAAAAAGTAGAGGACATACATACATCAAAAATAGCTCTGTAAATAATTAAACATAGACATCATCTTAGTTACACTACTCATTGGTTTCTGGAGAGCACAACTGCTCACCTGTGTTCATCGTTTCCTTTCATCTCCTTCCACATGACCTCCAGCCCTTCATAATCTGTCACTCGCAGAAGCTGGTACACCTTGATAATATCCTCGGTTGATGCGCTGTCAATGTCGTACTTGTTAGCTTCAGCCACTTTCTTGATTAATGCGATGGCCTGCAAAGAGCGAGAGTACAACCTTTGAAAGTCACATTAAAAGATGAATTCTTTGCGGTGTGAGTGACAGTATCTTGTAAGGTCATCCATGAACAGAAAAGACTGTAAATGCTGGACGTGTTATTTTTATTATTATTAAAGCTCCAATTAGGAGTTTTTATGTTGATAAAATAGTCTAAAATTCACACCAATTAATTTTTTATGAGCTACAAAAGCAAAAACATCTCTGACATATGAAAGAGGATTAGGGCCACAAGAAAAGAAAAAATAATTACAGGAGAGAGATTTTTATTTTCCATTTACAGATTAAAGTTAAAATTTTAAAAAGTTGAAATTTTGACTTTATTGATGTCGACTTTGACCTCAAAATTTTAATTTTTTAAGCTCAAAATATCAACATTATTCACATTTCGACATTTATTAATGTCGAAATTTCAATTTAAATCTCAAAATTTCAATTTAAATCTCAAAATTTCAATTTTTAATCTTGACATTTCGACTTTATTGACATAATTTCTATTTTTTAATCTCAAAATTTTGACTGTGATCTCAAAACTTCGACTTCAATCTCAAAACTTTGACTTTAATCTCCTTCCTGTTATTATTTTTTTCTCCTTATTTGGCCGTAATCCTCTTTTGTACTGACTAGACTGACAATTTGAATATAGTCATTTTTAAAGGAGGCAGACAAACGGCTGCAGAAACATCCCTGTTTTTACATTTTCCACATTAAAAGTTCATATTAAATGATACATTTTTGTCCGTCAAACATCACCAGTTTTACATCGCCTGAAGCCCTTCAAGGAGATTTCAGTGAGGATAATTCAGATATTTGTCTTTTGTAAGTGTATTACACACAGAGGATGCTCGTCAGCTTCACCCCTTTGCAGCCTGGGAACCAGAATAGAAACTAAACTTTCGGTCAACTCTACCATGTAATTTAGCTCGTTTTCAAAACTCTGGTTGAAGCACTATTCCCAGTGTACGCTCTATTTTTAGTGCTTTACTCTGCTTTCAGAAACAGAGTGCAACACTCAGATGGTCTTCTGCATACAGCAGACTAATCAGCTGTTCAGCTCAGCAAGCTTTAAAAGAAATAAGAATAAAAACCAAACTTAAAGATGAGTGATTCAGACAGAGCCAGTGACATGTTGTTGAGGACCGACACCTTTATGAGCAGCAGTTTACAGAGCGACGATAAGATTTAATGGACCGAAAGAAAGACAGGAGGAACTGCTATGGTAACTGGAGGGCAGGAGAGATCCCAGGTGAACAGAACAGAAAAAAACCTACTACTTTTCTGAATCAGAGGCTACCACGGATCATTTATGACAACCCATCATCTGCATGACATGGTTTTACAACACGCTATGTTAGACTGAAGTGAAATTACAAACTCTAAAGCCGTAACTTTGTCTGCCAAGTAATCTTTGGCATTTGGAGCTTGAAATTATGCCAAACTGAGATGCAAAAATATCACATTTCAGTGAGTTGCGTATCATGGGCCCGATTAGCTGATCATAATGCTGCGTGCAAAAGAACACACTTGTTATATCTGGCAATAGCGCAAAAGAAAATGGGCTTTCTGCCAGCAAAGTAAAGTGCTGGTGATCGAAGGTGGTGAGCTGACCTGCATCCTCTGTAGATTCACAACAACCTCATACAACATCACTTTAAAAAGCAACAAAAAGTGAACTACTCCTTTAACTGGTTTCATGTTACCATTCTTTCTATCTCTATTTCAGCTGAAGCACAGCTCAGTTCATGGTACTTCCTGCAGATTTTTTTTCAGAAAATATGAATTGTATTCAGAAGCAGCATTTGAATATCACCTTTGGCACTGGGTCCTGCAGGTTCTGCATCATAATGGGGATATCAGATTCTGCATCCACAAACTTGTAAACAAGGCTGCCCTTGCTTTCCATGGGTCCAAACGTGAGGGCTTCAGCTGTGTCACTTACTCCCAGCAGCGTCATTTCCTTCCTGTGGGAAGAGTTATTCACAGCAGTCGTTTTGTGTTGCTGACAGACATCGTGAGCACACAGGCATAATGTGCAAATATTTCCTCAACATACATGGCTTGCATCTTGAAAGTGCCACCCTTTACGTTGAAGGGACTGAAGTGCTGCTGCTCCAGGCCCTGAGCCTTGGTAATGAGACCTCCCTCTGCTGTTGGTTTGACTGTGTAAACATATTTCACTGTGGAAATGATAGACTCCCCTTTCTGGATTTGAAAACACACACAAACACAAATAGGAATGAGTTTGGTCTGTTTCATTTGTGATGTATATCAGAAGCGTCTCCAGCGAGACTATCAGACCTGTTTGGCAACTTTGTCCAGAACTGCAGTCGCCATTCCCCTGTAGATGGCTGCCTTCTCTCTGCAGTTATTGATGTCCACCACCTGAGTGATGGTCATGTCTTTTGTTTCCATGTTTTCTTCAGTGGCATAATTACTCTGGCATTTGCCATGGATGCCAATCTACAAACAAAAACGACATTTTTGTTACATTTGGTGTAAAACTGTCAATGAAGTCAAGGCAGCTGTTTTTTCTCTCTGTAAGACTTGCCTCTTCAAGCTCGTAATACCTCTGTGTGGTCTTCACAGTGACCTGGAAGAAACCCAGTATCCCTCTGACAATGTTGACAATACTGTCAGGGATCTCAGCAGAGGCGTGGATGTCACCAACATGTCCGCTGGCATATTGGAACATGATGGGTTTGACGAGATGGGCAGCGATGCGCTGGGCAAGCTTGGGGGAGGCAGTGAAGGCGTTTTTCCCTGGGAAGCCATTGAACTCCTCGAAGACCAAATCTGACACCTTCAAGGGTAGAAATAAGCTTCGTTATTGCTTAAATGCTACACTGGCAAGTTTTGCTGTTTGTATGTAAACCGTAAATCCAAAAACTTAAAAATACCAGAACATGTCAAAAGGTACAAGAAGATGACTTTGCTTATAAATAATGCACTGGACAACTTTTTAAGTGCAAAGAAAAACTCCAAGCTAAGTTTTAGTACTTTCTTCAAGACCTTGAAAAAGCTTAAATTTATAGATGGTTTAAATCCCCAGCATATATTACGCCCTTGAGCCTTTCACCAGATATTTATTACATTAAATTCCAAATAATTGATGACACATGAATAAAAGATGTATGACAAACGATGCACCCTAACTGCACACTTGATTTATGTTTCCTCCTTAAAGTTAACAACCTGTCACTTTTTATGCTGCATCCCTCAGTTTAAATACTTTTAATATATTCAAAGAAGCTTTCTTCAACAATATTCTGTTACTCTTACCTGAAGGATGAACGTCTGTGCAGACACTCCGGAGATCTTGACCTTGCAGGAAATTCTTGCTGCAGACTCTGCCAGGTTTGGCATGCCAAGTCCAAAATTCACCGTTCCCTCATATTTGTACTCATAGGTTTTCTTTGGGTTCAGGCTGAGATCTGAAAATAAATGAATAAATCAATGTAGCCTGACAGTTTTTACAGTTCTCAGAGAGACATATGTGAGATTTGATCTTTCATGTATATCAAAGCAACTTACCATAGCGCACGCTCTGACATGCTAAAAGAAGAAAAGTAAACATGGTGTAATCCTTGTCAATAAAGCCATATATGTTGTTTGTAATAAAGAGGATAACATTTTAAAGTGAAAAATCTGATTTCCATCTTGATCAAAAAGCTAATGAAAACCACACAACTCAAATTTAATGGTAAAGTAATAAAACAGACTCACATCAGTGAAAATGGTGCTAAAAGGTTAACCCTTTAATGCCTTTTGTATCATATTTGATACATACTTTTATATACTTCTATCAAATGTATATGATCAAAAAAAATATATCATCTTGTGGTTTATCGGTTTCCAAAAACATCGAATGTATCAAATGAGATAAATAAATATATTTGTTAAATTTTAAGGACATTTTGATATTTTTTGGTTTTCAGTCGTAAGTGAAATCAACGTTTCAGCTCCAAAAAGATTTGAATTTTCTGGCCATAATTTGTGTTGTCAGGCATTAAAGGGCTACAAACAATATTTTGATATACCTCATCACAATAAAATAAGAAACAAGGTTAAACTGGGTTACACAACACCAAAACAATATCATAATATACTGTTTAGATTGATTATTTTCTCAGCAGATAAGTCATTGTTGATCAATAGATTTGAAAAAATCCAGATAAAGGCTTTAAAAGTGTATCTTTCCTATTGAATGGTGCAATTTACCAGAAATAAAAATAAAAATGTACTTACTGGCAAGGGCCACAAGGCAACAGAGGAGGATCAGCCTCATGATAAAACCAAGGACTGAAGGTAAACACTTTGGATTTGTCCCTTATATACCTGTGAGGGATCTGAACCAGGAAATGTTAACAGGACAGACATGTGAAAGATTTAAAACAAACACAGGCCAGCTGCACCAGAGCCATGTTGACCTGTGACATTGTCAGAGTGACATAATTAAAATGTGAAAGATAACACTCTCCTAACTTTTGCTTCAGAGTGGATGAGCAGTTATGACAGTTTAGATAATCCCTTTAAAAACTGTGGCGTGCCACATTTTCTGATTCTGCTTGAAAAACTGGAAAAACATCACACTCCTAGTTTGTGTAAGGGTTAAATATTTATCAATGTTTTTCCAACATTAACCCGGGATTTAAAAAAAAAACATATCTCACTTGACATACACATCAAAGATAGAGTCTGATTTTTAATCACTTGGAGAATGTTGTAAACATGTTTTTTTCCATTGAATCAAGAGGAAAACCCAGAGGGATCCAAGAAAAGGATGAAGCTGCTTAATTCCCTCACTTCTTTACTATCAGTGCAACTCCTGGTGTATATTCACTTTCTCCCGGCATTATAAAGCCTTCCTCCTGAATACAAGGTCAGAGAGTGTGGAGAATTGCAGCTTTTTCTGCCAGTTTTTTAAAGTCTGCCTCAGCCTAAAGGCCTCCTTCAAAAGCCTTGTTTGTGTGTGCAGTCTGAGGGTGACGACATTTGGCAGCAATCAGCCTAAGTGTCTATTCTTACCGACTTTCAGAGTAATGTTCAGATTTTAAAATGCAGAAGTCTCTTGTGTAATTTCTGTAAAAAGATATTCTCAGCCATGGTCCTCTTTTTATTTTTAGGATTTAATTCACTGAGCTTTTCCTGTGTGTGATGGCAGCATTAACCAGCAGAGGGCAGTAATGTCATGAGGTAGCCGACTTTGATGGGGTTGAGAAGCCTGAAATGCCTTCAGTCTTGAAAAAAATATCAAAGAGTAATTCATGTTATTTTTGTGAAAACCAGTTGGAAATTTTATGATAAAACTTTTTCTTGCATTTTTTACAAGTTAAATTTGACATTGGAACATATAGTGAATCCAATTGTGTTAGACGTGTGTCTTTTTTCTGCAGTGATATGACAATAAAGGAAAATGTGCCAGCAGAAAACTGCTGATTTTGTTTCAGTACAGCAAGTGACCAGGTTCAAGGTGTTAAAATCTGTGTATTTCAAACACTTATTGATTGACATTCCCAGGGAGCGCAACAATTTGTTTTTTCTAAATAGCCTAATGTGTGTTAAAGACATGGTTTCCACCAAAAAATTAACCAGGAAAGGCAATGAAGCATCCTCTGGTTTTCAACAACTGAACTAACCTAAATAACCACATACACATTCTGAGAGTGTTGAAAACTTGGAGGGATGCCCATTAATTTGCAACATGCTAACATTAGCAGACTAACATTAGGTAACATAGCTAATGTTAGCGAGCACAATGACGTTGCCATCACTTTAAGCCTGAGTGTCTGAAAATGAACTTTTGTTAGGAAGAATAAGTAACAGATATTTGCACATTTGTCTTTTTCTTAAATGTTGGAACAGCTCGCCATAGATTTCTCTGTCTGGATTTATAATTTTGTACACATTTTGTACAAACCAAAACAAAGTAAGAGTAAATGGTAGAATAAAGCCATGCTGAAAATTTTAAATGGGTTTAAAACAAAAAGATTGAGATACTGTGCGTGGAAATGGGAATAATGAGCAGTATACAGCAGTCAGATCCTCGAATGGTTTGCTACCCTGCTCACTCCTTCTGTAGTGAAGCAACGGTGGCCTTTAAAGAAAAAAGCTCCTGTTTTTGTCTTTAGCTCAAGTTTATACCATAAATGGAGTTTTCCAGCGAAAGAAAATTGCACAGAACAAAATATTTCTTCTTTTTCTTTCAACAGGTGCGTTTCAATCCATTCACAAAGCACACATAAATGCTTCCAGTTAATTATTCTTGTGCCAACATGGCAGCTTTAGTAAGATAGGAACCTATTCAAATGTTTTTAGTCCAAATAAACAACCAGGCAGAAGGCTTCTTTGCTTCATTGCACACTCGTTTTATAAAATTTAATAAATGAACTTTATAAAATGAGGAAACACGTGACACGAGACTGAAATAAGTCCACTTAGACAACTGAGGACTGGGCTTTTGATTCTAGATTGCGTCTGGATCTGTGCTTTCTTTCAGCTGACAGAGTGTAGTTTTTATTTTGTCCACTAGATAGAGCAGTTGGTCTATTTGACTGTTATTATGGTCCAAACAAGTCATTTTTAATTTACAGTTTCCTTAGTTGTTATGCAATCAAAACTGCACAAAAAAATAATAATTTACTTTGTAAACAGAAAAGTGAGCAGAAGAGATTTGTGTTAGTTTACGAATTTTTTTAATAACTTAGAAAACAGTTTTTAACACAAAGAAAGGTACAAAGACATCAGGGTGCTGGCATGGTGTGTAATTGCTGCTAATAGCAAAGGCGTTAATTCAAACTGAAAATATTGTATATTTGTATCGTACAAAGAGATCCTGTGTCTAAAAAAATATGTATAAATGATGGAGGTCATATAAAAGGAGAATCAACACATTTAGAAACTACAAGAGCTGCTGCATGTGTTTTCATTTATTAAATCTCTGTTTGGAACAGTTTCTCCCACATCATTTTAAAAAAACATAAAAGCATGAGTCAGATGATATTGGTGAGCTGAAGTGTTGAATATTATTCAGGTGATCAGGCATTTGCTGCAGTTATTCATCTCAGGCATTCAAAACAGCATGGGACGTTTTTGAAGAGCCTGTAGTATTCCTCCTGGATCTAGGACAAGAGACACAAAAGTACAGGTTAAAGATGAACACACAGCTTTACCACAATACAGTAAAATAAAACAATGTAATGTCATGTGATCCTGTATATTATGGTGATATTATGGAGAAATTATTACATTCTTAAATAGAACTTGAAAATCCACAGGTTATGATGTTAGACTGCCTTGTCCCACTATCTGGGCAATGCCAGACTAATTTTGTACTATGACTACATTTAATATGAGCAGTGCTGTGACTCAGTTATTGGCTCAAAGGCATGAGGCCCCAGGACGAGTAAATCACAGCGTACTAACATTCAGATTCAACTTTGAGTGTGATATTGCTTTCATACAACAGCCCCACGGGTGGTATAAAGTGATAAGAGACAACAGTTTATTGCTTTTTTTTCCCTCTACCAACTCAACTAGTTCCACTTATCTTAAGTGTGATGTTGTTACTAAGCAACCCAAACATTTTCCATGGACACAATCTTAGTTTGTGTCCATGGTTACCACCTACGGCTCTTTAAATTTGCATCGTGAATGAACCATCGTACAGGTCCACATCGGGTAAGTTGTATCATAACAGATTTAAAATGTATTTGCATTATCGGATGAGAAATAAAACACCCAAAAACTTATATTTTGGAAAATCAAACTTTGAATTTGATATTTCATACCTTTCTGGACAGGACACAGAGGAAGATAAAGATGAACATCCCCTGGAAAGCATTGGTGATGGTGAACAGATAGGCAGTGAGGGTGGTCTCATTGAGGATGTGCAACACTCCAAAAGTCCAGGTGGCTCCCAGCACGAACAACAGAGCCAACGCACCACGGGCGCAAGACCTGAGGGTAACAATACACAAAACTCATTTCGCTAATAGTAATTAGATACAGGCAGGACACCACATGATGCCATAATAATCCACCAAAGGAGGAACTGACTGTTTGGTTTACAGAAGAGTTTTTTGACCTTCTTGAATAAGAAAAAAAAAGCAAAAACATAATCCTACCTGATGTTTTCATAGTGGCTGATTTCAGGCTTTTTCACAGCAGTGTGCCGGTATACTTTGTAGATGATTACACCAAAAGCCAAGAGATTAACCTTTTGTGGAGAACAACCAAAACAAACACGGACTGAATATTTATCTTGGAAAACACTTCTTATTTGTGGACTCCAATTAATATCTTAACTGTGATTTTCTTAGGATGTGATAAAAACACCCGATCTTACCAGGATTATCAAACATGCAGGCCCGATGAAGCTCCATACAAAGTGGTTTTCTGTGCTCAGCCAACAGCTACAACACAAAGACAGAGAGTGCTCTTTTATTTACTGAAAGTGTGTGCTAAGATCTTTTTGCAGCAATAATCCCTCCTCCAGCTGAAGCAATATGTTATCTATTTACTTGAGTCTAATCTAGTTTAATCTTAATTATAACAACATTGTATGGGCAAGTACAGACCCTTCTTATCTAACAATAACAAAAATAACTGCACACAGTTATGAACCATCAGCACATCCTCTACATAACCTCAATCTTTTGATTAGATTTGGCTTTAATAAACAGGAGACTTACTTTTATTTAGTGCTCTGTATGCAAAACCTCTTTTTAACACTGATGCACTCATTACTTTACTCTCTGCAGGACGGTCTGAGCATCCTCGTCTTCCCTATAGGCCAAATTTAATCTTTCTGCTTTTTATTTTTATAATTAATGTAATTTGTTTATCTTTCTCTCATGAAAAAGACTAAATTAAAGTTGAAAAGAGGTCTTTGTTAACACTTTTGTCCTCACAAAACTGCGTACAAAAAAAAGGATAAAGCTTAAATTTCCACTCACACTTTATCGGTGCCATAATACTGGGAGCCAAGTGTTGCTGAGATGGCCACAACCACCGCTGGGCTCCCATAGCCGAAGATGTAAAAGTTTCGGTGCAGGAAGCCTTTGTTGTAGATGACGCCGACCACGATTAGGTAGAGATGGATGCCCTCGATGCACATCCAGGCAAAGGCCGCGAGGAAGAAATAGTGCAGCAGCCCGGCAATAACGGAGCAGAAGAGCTGCCGAGGGACACAAAAGAAGAGAGGAGGAGAGTGAGAAAGAGATTTTACAAGTTTATAATGTTAAAGAAAAGCCTGTTTGTGTCCCTCTGTTCAAATATTTGTGCTAATCTGTTGCTGTTTAACCAACTCAAAGGAGACCTGCAGTGTTTTATTAAATACAGACCAAAGATTTCTGCACCAGAATCTGAATGATTGTTTTTTAATCAATTACAACAACAACAACACAAAAGAAGAAAAAAAGTGTGCAATACCACCCACTATAGCTCAACAATGGATATAAAGGCAGGATAGCCACACAGGACACAAAAACACACACAAGCCTCTTACCCTTGTTTCACCCGTGGCTCACCTTGTGTGTGTTCATATTGATCCCCACCAGGAAGATGAACTCGGCCATGAAGAGGCTGCAGCACAGGTTCTTATGGATGGTGGTTCTGGTGCTTTGGATCTCGCTGAAGAACCAGAAGGTGAAGATGCACATGGACAGACAGATGAGGGAGATAATCATCCCCAGCTGGGTGATCCGGGTCAGGATGGTATGATGGGCCACCAGCTGGGAGGCAAATGGAAGGGGAGGTGTTTCATTCACAGTTTCATCCTGAAGTTGTAATTTGTTGTCTTCCCTGCTTGAAATCATTCGATGTTACAGGGTACAAGGCTGCAGGGATGGGAAATTTATGGGCCTGTGGTTCCTGTTATCAGACAGCTGGAAAATTACACTCGTATTTTACCTGAATACCTGAACACGCATCATTACACTTACATTTTTTGGCAAATGAATTCATCATTTTAAGATTTTTCTCTCTGATGTTCCCAAAATCTCAACATTTCTCAGTACAATGCTGGTAGAAAATCTATAAAGTTGGGGGCACTGTTAAGCTCTATAAATCAATGAGGAGTGTTTCTTCAAAAGTTGTGGGTGGATTTGTCTCTAAGTTTCTTTTCCAGTCGATATCTGTTGTGAGCCACCTTGCCTACAGGAGCGACTGACCCTGACAGAGTTTCACAGCTTTCTTTTTACTTGTTTTTGTGTGTGTGTGTGTGTGTGTGTGTGTGTGTGTGTGTGTGTGTGTGTGTGTGTGTGTGTGTGTGTGTGTGTGTGTGTGTGTGTGTGTGTGTGTGTGTGTGTGTGTGTGGAGACTTTTTCTGTGGAACAAAATGCTGTCTTGCAGCTTTTGGAAAATATTACCCGAGCACGGACTCTGACACTTGCTAAACCGAAGGGGAGAGAAAGGTGGATAGTCAGAAGTTTGCTCGTGTTGTCAATCAGGAGCTTCAACACGGGATACAGTTTGTGGAAAAACACATAGGTGGTGTTTAATCCAAATTTTGTTGAATATGTACACAAAATAAGAATATTTATAACATGTTTGTGGTTTTATTGGAGTTTCACATGAACTTAAAGGTAATGGATGAACTAAATACTCCTCTGTCTTCAAACTGTTAGCAATGAAAGATGATTTAAAATGTCTATAGCCGATGTAAATATCTTTTATGATTTGTTATCGTTGTACATATTCACATTAAGAAGTAAGAAAATAGACTGGGTGTCCATAGTACAGTTGTGCATGTAAAAAATCTTATCAGTAGTACATGTGAGGTTAAAAATGGAGTGTCTCTCCAATAAAACTTCAATAAATAATTTTTTTTCTAAATATGTAAATTAAAAAAAAGTCCAGGTGTCACTTCAACCATTACTGCAGAATCCAGGTACAAGGTTGAACCCTCGCCCTCATTGAAAATACATTTGTTCACCATCGACCTTAAATCATTTCAATAAATTATTGAAAGCCTTGATGTAAAAATTCAAAACGCGAAATACCTTTGCTCTGTTAGTGTTGTATTTTTAATATCTGACCACTCACATTGGCTCGCCCAGAGGACATGAGGATGGCGAAGTGTGTGAGGTGACTGCAGGAGCAGGTAGTAGCGTTGCTGTTGACGTGGACGGTCTTGCAGCCATGAGTGGCCCAGTGGCCCTGCAGGCTGTCGGGCTCGTACTCCCAGAAGGCACACTTGGTCACATCGGCGTTAGTGTCGATGGGCTGCAGGGGAGACAGGGGAACAGGGAGGCTGTTAGCTGAGCCGCTTTTATTAGTTTTTGACCTGCGCTCCTTCGAGACATTACATCACAAAGGTGCTTCAAACATGTTAAGCAGGTCATGCCAAAGTGACCCGCACAGATCTTTGAAATCTTGATTAAAATTTTAAATGCACTTTAGCCCTTAAAAGCCTGACACCACAAATTATGGCCAGATAATTCAAATTTGTGCTGAAAACCAAAAAGATCAAAAAGTCCTTAAAATTTAACAAATAGATTTATTTATCTCATTTGGTACACTAGATGTTTTTGAAAACGTATAAACTACAAGAGGACATTTTTATCATTTATCGGAATCTATCAGGTGTTTTTTTTAGTAATTTGTTGATCAGTATATAAAAGTATGTATCAAATATGATATAAAAGGCATTAAAGGGTTAATTATATTAATTCAAGGCTTCTGTGAACAGTTTTGAAAGAGTCTGACTTACAAAAACACACCAGTCAAGCAACAAAACCGACTATCTTATCTATCTTATCATAATTACACTGATTTTGATGTTTAAATAACATCAAAGTTTGACTTTTTATCATTGAATACAACTTGACAAAATCTGCTGTGAGAAAAGAGGCATCCCTTTCACCACAGGGGGGCGCCATACAAATAGAAAAACCTGAACAGTAGCTTTAATTCTATTGTTTATTCAACTTCATAAATAACCTTTATACCGTCTACATTTATCATTCTTATGTTCTCAAAAATATTGCTTAATATCTAATTTAATTAGACTTTCAATAATTTGAATGAAAATGAATTGCCTTGCTCCTTTTTTTTTGGTCAAAATGTAGTAATGAAATAATATTAATAAGACCTACAAATGAGCAGTCTGCTGTACATTCTGCATGTGTTATTGAATATTGAGGTTCACACAATCATGTGAAAAGTGAAGCTCAACACATTTTCATTAAACCGGTGTTGTGGTCACACAGAAGTTAATTTAAAATATATTACATAGTGTTTTCTGAGATTACTCATGACTTTGCTTTATAAATTCCCATTATCATTGCATTTGAATTTCCATTAGTGACGTACCCTTGAATGCCTCGTTTTCCTCTTAATAAATGTATGCAGTGTGTCACAAAAATAATAACCAGGTTCAGGCCAGAAAAAAAGAAGTACATCGCTGGGAAATACCTTGCCAGCAGTGAGTGGAGCCAAAATATTGATTGTTGGTCTTTCAGGGTAATTTACAGTGGATTTTTTCACTGGCCCACATAAATCAACAGCTCCTTTGTTAGGCTAAAGCCTCCAAGGCCCCACAAAAATAATGATTTCACTTCCTCATACATTTTAATTATCTTAAAAGACAACAACAGTACATTAACTTTTAGGATTATTTCCCTCATTTCTTTCACTCTATCGCCTCCATTTTCTCTTGATTTAATGGTCATTGCAGAAGCACACGCCTTAAAACTTCACCAGACTTAACGCTATTGCACTAACTACTACTTTTAAACTCCACAAGATCATATCAGAGGCAAATGCTAATGGAGAACTATAGAGGAGGAAGAAGTTAGTTTGAGATTCTGAGAAAGAGGAGAAAACCTTCACCTGGATCACATTTAGATGTGTCAAAAAACTTTTTAATAAGATGGGCGGTGCTTCACTGTTATGTTCAGTTTTAAATTATGTCAGTGGGGAAATTAATAAGGAATAATAACAAATCCACCAGCTGTAATCAGGTCAAAATATTCAAGAAGTAAAAAAAAAGAACTCCTCACTGGCAGAGAAACTGATGCTCTGCAGCAGCACAGACTGTAAAAGTCTGGGTAAAGAGTACAGTGAAAAAAAAAATGGTGTTGTCTCAGCACACAGCACAGTTTTTACCTCATTGTGTCTCAGAGTGAAGGTGACATGGTCAAGTTGGTAAACGTCAGCAGGTTTGACGGCTGCTGCCACGACTTGGGAGTTGACAGTGATTTCCCCTGTTCCTGCATAGCGCGAGTAGTCGGTGACACCTGGGTCGCTGCTCGGCTTCAGGATGTCACTGAGGCTGTCATATCGCACAAACACCACTGACACGCTTCCTGATGGACAAAAAAAGTTCAGCAAAAACAGAGGGGGTCAAACTTTACTGGGTTTTTAATCAAACTTTGGGATGAGGACAGTGAAAGTGGGTGGATTTACCGCTTTCTGCATCATTAGTTTTTCCTTACCATGTAACATACGAGAAAACAGTCCTCACAATTCCACAATCCAGTATACATTTTATTAACCCTCCTCCTGTGTTAGGGTCTGCACCGACCAGTTTTTGTTTTTAAATGCTTAAAAAAAAACTCTTAAATTAGCTTTTTTTTGCATCAAGAGTTTTTGACTTTGTCAGGAACCTCTATTTCAACAAAACAAATATGAAAAAATTAAATTGACTAAATTATAAAATGCTTTTATTAAAATTATGGCACTTGTGGTGTTAGGGTCGCTGTTGACCTGGTTAGATCAATATCTAACAAAATTAGAGTAAAAATTGAAATCAAATGTGCACTGTCAGGCACCACACTGACAGTCAAGTCCTCTTCCAATCATGTGAAATTTAGGAAATTCTCATTTTTCCATGTTTTTCCCATAGACTGTATATAAGATATACTTATATTACTATATATTACTATATTACTATATATTATATTACTTACTCTTATATACAGTCTATGGTTTTTCCCTGCACAAAAAACAATGTCGAGCATGTCCAGACATGTAAGATCAATTCAGTTTGGATGTCTGTATGAGGTGTATACTGAAAAAGAAAGGCCCAGAGGCCCACTACAAAAACTATTATAAGCAATATTTTCATGGATAATGAAGCCTAACAAGGTAACCTAGAGATGAGAACCAAATTGGATGATAGAGAATAGTTTTTAGTGTAATTTACGGCTGATTTAAGACATGGGTCAAAACCGACCCTGGGTGCGTAGTAAAAGCTAACACAGGAGGAAGGTTAACATGTGTACCACATAACTTTACCATTTCGGTTCTCCCCTGGTCTCGGTTTTGGAAACAGGCTCATCAAATCTCCACCCATGGAAGCAGATAGTTTGGCTTTTGTGTGTTGAGCATCAAAAGTGAAGAGTTTCAACTCTGCGAAGAATATTATAAGAGAAAGAAAAGTATGACAAGAACATTTACCCACTGTGCATGTTCCTGCACAAAAGTGGCAGCAGACAGATTTGGAATAGTTCAGGATTGTCTGTTAATAATAGTTTTACCCATTTCAGGGGCTTTAATTTGCAGCTCAGTGGGAGTTTTGTAGTTATTGGCCAGTGTCAGAGCACTTTCTTCTACAGTGTGCAGCAGCTTGCTGACGGTGTGTTCCCGACGCTCTTCTTTCATTCTGCTCCAAGCCACCAGCTCGTCCTTCTCCACCAGGTTATTTACTGCTGTCACTAATTTCTGTTGAAAAGGAGATTTTTCTCTGACGTGTGTGTAGCATCCAAGGCAACATGATTTTATTCACGTCTCATATGAACACGAGGAAATATTTTAGCCTATGTCAACAGATGATGACATCTGCTTTGATTTTTATAACATAAGCAACACAGGCTTACATGGACTGTCTCATACACAGTCATAAAATTCAACTGCATGTGGTGTTATTTTTACCAAGACCAGTTCAAAGCAAAGCTGCAGATCAGGCAGAGCACACAAGCTTAAAAAAGACAGACAAATACCAAACAAAGATAAATTACTGTAAGAGTTGAGTTGATGGCAGATGGTTGGACAGGGTAACCAGCCAGCGTTGATGTCGACCGGCTCAAGGCCTCAATATATGCAATCACTTCCACTGAGGTGAGATCTCCAGATGTCTGCTTGGCAATTTCCTTCAGCAGACTCTGCGGCTCTGTGAGGTTGCTCATCTAGGATTGGGGAGAACGATTTTTTTTTAACTTGAATGTGTCAAAGAAAAAGAGAATTTGAAAGGAATCACGTCTTTAGATGATTTCTAAAAATATCTCCACTGTAGACTTGTGTTTGTTTGAGACTTTGAAGTAGATATCCTTGATTTTTAATTCCTTACAAGAACAGCTGCTCTGTTAATTAGACAAAAATCTTATAATAGGCAAATAAAAAGTCAGGCGTGGGAGAATCATAGAGAGGGTGTTTGGTCAGTAGAGTAGAAGACTTTTGCAAAGAAAATGGCAGCTCTTTATTAACAGTGCTTACAACTCATAAAACTGAAACCTAAAATTGTTGCACCTGACATGTAGTTTTCTTTTTTTTAAAGCACCTTATTTGTTTTAATTCAATAAAATAAAAAAATAAAAATAAAAGGAGTGGAAAAAAAATTCTGAGATTTCATTTGAAGTATCAAAAAGCCAAATATTTTCATTGGAGGCTTTCTTAATCAAGTATTTTTGTTCCCTTGACCAAACTTCTCTATGCTTGGTCTGACTTTTAATTTCAAGGCTTGAAATTTTATTTTATTTCTACATAAGTGTCTCACACAACAGAAGACAAATGTTTTATTCCCCATACTCATCCAGTAATAATAAGAGAAATCATGGAGGAAAGTAGAAGCGTGCTAAGATGCTGTCCAACAAGCTAGAGAAATGTCTTAAAATGTTCTTTAATACGTGCTGATACATGAAATCTCAAGTCCGCTGTTTATCAGAGCAGAAACAAACCTAGCACTCAATGATATCAGGTGTCCTATTAGTCAAAGACATATAAAATCAATCGCAGATATCAAATATTGTCCAGACCTCTACAAATTTCTGATATTTTCACATTTCTTGCCCAAAGTTGGTTCAACAGAAGGTTAGGACTCTGTTACTGCAGGTTCATGTTGGTTAATGCAGGTGATGAAGTGTCCTTGTGACTGAAGCCTTTTTTTCTGCCTGCCATCACATGTTCACCTTATTCTTCTCCAATAGAGGGCAGTGTTATCCAATCTATTTTAACCTCATCCAGTTAAAACTCTGAGAAGGGGGGGGTACTCACATATTCAAGTGTTTTGTTGACTGTCTGCGTGATGCACCCGGTGTTGTCATGGCAGTATTTTTGGGGATGATCTGCAAAACAACAATTACGAAAAGTGTCTCTTTGATTGCTTAATTCATTTCCATAATTTCAGCTGGATAGAGCAGGTTACAGTAAAGCCTGAGCTGCATAAAAACTTGCGCAGGGATAACATCACATGCCTGTCTTTGTTATCAGCTTTGGGGGGAGAAAAAACAGCAGAAAATTGAAGATTGCACCGTTTACTTGATGTATTGCATAATAGATTCCTCTCTGAAGAAAAATTATAAAATGGCTAGTCCTGTGTTGCGTGCAGAAGAAAACTGAGATGAGGAAAGATGTGTCCTTGAATGTAAGTACCATGGTATATGATAGTGTGTGTTGTGTGCTCTTTCTTCCTCCTACCCACCTTTACATCTCGCTCCTCTCCCTGGATGAAAGTGCTTGGAGCCTGAAGTTGGGATGTAATCACGCTGACAGGTGCAATAGAAAGATCCATTCGTATTATGGCAGTGTGAGTTTGGCCCACAGACCTGTTCGGACTTGCATTCATCAATATCTGGAGTATGCAAATAAGGAATTCAGATGGAATTTAAAGTTAAAATACACGATCAGAGGAATGATCTCAACATACAACTAAAAATATATTTTTGCACAATACTTCTATCACAAAATTAGAGATATTCAAACTGAAAGTGGAGTGAAAACATATATTCATACCTATAAAATAGTTCTAGTCATAATATTTGATTGATTTTGAGAGATAAAAGCAACTCCAACAGAGTTTGAATATTCATAATTCAGCTTCTAAGATCAGCCACATGTTTCTTTACTGTATAATGTGGAGTGTGCCTCCAAGTTGGATATCTGCAGAAACACTCGGTGCAAAACACAAGGGTTAAAGGTGCTGCTTTTTTTTTTTCAAATGGTGCAAAAGATCTCAGGTGTTGACTCAGAACAGCAGATGGGAAGGAAGTGGAAGGCTGGGAGAAAAACTCCCTCCAACATGTTCATCCTCCACAGCACGGTGAAAGAAAGAGAGAACAGCTCACACGCACAAGCACACACAGCTCTGACGCTTTCACAGCTGTGGGGCAACTGCTTCCACGTTCACACACATACAGTATAAATGAGTAGTAGGCTACTCCCTCTCTACAATCATCAGTGTGTATCCAAAATCTATTTTCATTTCTGAGCAAGTTCCTTACCGATACAGTCGGTGCCATCGTTGGGCTGGAACTTGTCCAGTCCTGTGGATGTGTATCCAGAGACGCATGTACAGTAGTAGCTGCCCACTGTGTTGGTGCAGTTCCCCCTTTTCCCGCAGATATTAGTCACATTCTGGCATTCATTGTCATCTGCGGGGGAATAAAGAGGAGAGAGGGAGTCAAAGCTGTTAACTGCTGGAGGAAATAAAAATTTAAAAAAATTAAAGGCTTAAGAACTCTTTGACCTGCGAGGAAACAAATTAGATACTGGATGAAAAAAACGAAACCTTAATTTCAAGTTGATGTAATTTTCAGAAGCAGTGGATTAAACAGGATGAACAAGATAGCAGCTCAAGTCTACTGAGATGTCCTCGTGTTTATTACGAATGAAATAAAATACAAAAGTGATTACATTTATTAGAAAAAAACAAGTTACATATTAAGCTTTTTTTTGGGAGATGTAGAATTGTTATCTTTGGGCGATATTGAGCTGTTTAATAATGCACTGAGAACATCACTTGTTTTTTATTTTTCAGCATGTTGCCTATTATTACAATATTTTTTCTTTGTTTCAGTTGATGATGTCTTGGGACTCCTGCTTCATTTCCTACATTTCCCATGAGGCCTTTCAATACACTCTGGGATAAGGCAGCTGCTCTTATGATGCACCTTCCCCCCTCGTTCAAAACGCTAAATTAAAATCTATTTTGCAACTGGGACAAAAAAAAAAAGAGCAGAACGTTTCTTACACTGTGTTTTCAATAATATTTTTTTTTACCCTCATCTTTGAATTATTCAAAGTATTTGTCCTACCAGAAAGCCATGCCTTTTGACAGCTAACACTGCGGTTAATCCTGAAATAGAACAGTTATCAGCGCTCGACAGAAAACACCAGCTTTAAATTCAGGAGGTATCAATCTTTGTGTCCATGTGCAGTAAACGGTGAGGTTTGAACTGGAAACTTTTTATTCTTTTCTTCTGTTCTTGGTTTGTTTTACATATTTTAACTGACATCCCTGATTGGATTGCTGTTTAAGAGAAGCCAAGTTTTATCTTGATCCAAGGTCTTTGTATTCAGATAAACCAAATGTTTATCTGTTGTGGTCTTTTCTCAAACTCCTCTAAGTTATCAGAGCCCTGATTAAAGCCTTAACTTAAATGCTACCTCTGTTGTTCACATCTGTTATTGCTGAAGTGGTTTTACTTGTATTAAATACAGAGGAACTCAAATATTGCTGCCCAGATTGAAAATGCTCCAGTTCCCTGTGGGTGCAGCTGTAGCCTGTACAGTACAGTAAGTGCTGGTCCAGCTTCCATCTCTGCTCCCCAGTTTACTGGAAACTGACCAACTAAGACTTTCCATTGTTGTTTTCACTTGTCTAGGTATGATGAACGCCGCGCTCTTCCTCTCCTCTGTACCTTTTGCACAAAAGCTGTCCGGGAAGGGAAATCCTCCTCTCTGATGAGGGAGGTGACTGTATGAAGAAGGGAAATACCTTCATAACACACGGGACCCTTAAACTGACACTGTTGCACAAACATTGCACCCACAAACTTTATGACTCGCTTTGATGTCTTGGTTTTATCTTCAAGTGTGCAGGAGCTTGATTGTTTCTTTGGTCACTTTGGTTTTTGGTCATTAAATGGACCCTCAAACATTTGATCGTAACATGTGGTGTGAACTTATTTATGGTACAACTTGTGAGATTTTCCAAAAAGCCCTTTATGCAGGGGGATTTTTGACTTTAAATTTGCATTAGCTCAGTCAGGACTCTAATTTATCTTGTTTTCAAATCATTTGCCACACTTTTCTCAATACTCCCCATGTTTTGATTTAGTTTTGGCTCCTGTCAAATTTGAGCTCTACTCTGATTGTGATCAGGTTTGGTCAGGAAACAGAAAGGGCTCCAGGAATTCTAAACAGGCCAGAAACATAACAGGAGTAACAATGCAGATGGAGAGGCAACACTGGCCACTCAAAATGTTACCAATAAAGCTGCATCGTAAAGATACCGCTCACGCTGCAGAGCTGAAAATCCCCAGAAGAAGTGAGCTGCCAGCTTGATGGTGAGCAAAAAGTGAAAGTATCTGAACTTAACTTTAGCTGGTCACACCGAAACAAACTTACTCTTAAAGGGAGAATAGTTGGCACAAAGTAATTGAAACTTCTCCGCAATGAACCACTCAAATGGAGCCTTACACTTGAAAATCAATAACAATGCCAAAAAAAGAGGGGAAAACAAGTTTCTTTGTGCATAAAAATCTCAGAGGTAGATAATTCCCTCCTAGGCATTTGAACAAAGGACTGCAACATGCTGGCTTCAAAATTACTACAGGTTTTTGTTTGTTTAAAATTTTGTCTTCAAAGAGAAGTGTCATTTTTAAGAATCGTCCTTGCTAAAACAGCCAGCTACACATTAACAAGGTAAATAAAGTATGTCTGGAGAGGGAGTGCAAACATTTTACAACTCTTAACACAGTAGATTTCATAGATTTCTTTGATTAAATCACTGCAGGGAGGATTTTATTTGAATGGTATTTCTTCCTAAATTTTGATGTATTGTTGTCATGCAATATTTGTGCAATATTTTTAACACATCTCGTGCCTGAGATGTTTAAAAACCTCACATCCTTGTTATATGGCACAGATTTTTGTTGCTTCTGTCTGCCAACACAGAGCAACAAACAACAAAGGCCTCTCAAAATAGTCAAGGCTTCCATGACAGCTCAACACAAAGAGAGTTGTACTATTAGATCATTCTAAATAGTTATACACAAAGACAGAGCGAGGTTTTTTCTACGTTCATATTTACCATTGCAAAATGTCGTTCCATCTCCAGTGTATCCTTGGTTGCAGAGGCAGGCGTTGTTTGATCCGTTCAGGGCCTTGCATGTTGCCAATTCATGACAAGACTCACAAATGTCAGAGAGGCTGCATGGGTCCATTAGACTGCAGAGCCATGCTGTAAAGACAAGAGTGTGTAAGTTTGTGAAGTAATATTATCACCGACCGCAGAACGAGGCTCCTCTTAAAATGAAATCTTCTCTAATGTGTTTTAATTGTGTTAACCTGTGACTCATTCAATCACATGAGGGGTTTTGAAAAATCAAGTCAGAATACAAACAGGTAAACAGGCAACGCAAAAAATTCAAAGTCACCAAAAATGAATAAATATACTATTTAATTTTAAAGTCAGTGATTACAATTTTTTATCAAGGAAAAAAAAAACAGTGGTCTGATCAGATAACACAAACTCTTCATAATTGACACATAGGCCCCACAAATACAGCGGCTAAATCCCCTGCTGTTCTCGTGTCAGATACCTGCCGTGTTAGAGAATAGATAAGTTCACATACCTGTCAAAACCACAAGTTTCATTGGTGACTTGAGCAAAGACTCCATGCTTGCGTTGGCTCTGGATTTTACTTTTAGCACAGGCTGCAGTGGGCTGGCTGGTGACGTAGGCCACTTCCTTGCATCAGTTTTCCTGTTTCCCTAAACCGGACCCTTCCTGTCCCGATCTTTAATCTGCTTAAGGAAAACAAGCAGCCAGGTCACTCCACTCAAACAACACAGCACCCAACACACTTCTCCATTTGGTTCCATTTTACAACTTATACAAAGGAGAAGCTTCAGCAGACCTTTATATGATGTTATAATGTTGTCACATTAAGACAGATGTCGCCATTTTGGATGCCTCCACGCCATTGTTCTCAGTTGAAGACGTACAGTATGTAAACACAGGCCAAAACAACTCTGACCGATCTCCCGGAAGGACGACCCCCTTCCCTTCCGCTAAGGCCTACACAATATCACTCACATGGGACGTGTTTTTCAATACCAGTCACCTCCAACCAGACATCTCTTTGAATTTCAGACAGAGGGGCCTTTCAATGTGTGATTATTACAGTCTTCAGAGAAAGGGTGGACTTGAATTCAAAGCTTGGAAATTCAGCTTATGTAAGGAATAGTATTAAGTAGATTCTTTGGTATAATATATGATGTTTATGGTGTTACAGACTGTTGATTTATTTTTTAAATCAATGTTTTTGCCATTACTCTTATATCAAGACAATTAGACAAAACAAAAACTTAAAGAAAAAGTGAATACAAATGTTTTAGATGTGACTTTGTTCTGAATAAAGGTTATGTTTTACTTATACTCAGTATTTATCTGAGCTTTTAAACCCTCTATTTGCACGAAAAGTCTCCTTCAATAAAGTGATCTTACAGAGATACAGTCTATTTATTATAAAGCTGTTAAAACATGGTGCTGATTGCCATTGTTCACATTTCTATGCGAGCGCCCCAGAAAGACTGGCTATTTCTATCAGCATGGATATATAAACAGCCCTTTGTGCTGCTGTTATAAACTGAGGGTGCCTTTGATGATAAGTGAAATAAGAAAACAGACTTTTGTTTCGTTTCTTCGCAACCTGCCATGGACTAATGACCCCATTCACTGCTCGGGAAATGAGCTGGGCTGGGTGCATTTCGGCTTTTGTTGTTCTGTTACTGACCCATAAAAAGTTGCACATAGTTCAGGCAGTGCTGCACCTATTGGCACATGACTGTATTAAGATTTTCCAGCCTCCAAACTACCCCCTTCAAATGCAGATATGTATGATTTTGATACTCAACCACCACACCCTATCATATCAGCCCCGTGAATTGTTGTTTTAAAGCTGAATCTAAGTGAAAGAGGCCGTTAGGAAACAGGTGAATTCAAACATAAAAAATGTGACAATGGTCTAAAAAGAGAAGTGGCCATTCAGGTGTAAGTGAAGTCTTTTCAAAGAGCCTTCCACTTTCTGCACACAAACACATTCATTGATGAATAGTTTCACATGGAAGATAAGTTCTTTGTTGACTGTATTGCAATCTGTGGAGGCGGTTTGAATTGCTTAGGCAAGGCGTTCAGTTTATTGCTGAGAAAGGCAGCTGCTTTGAATGACACCATTAGTACTGTGCCGCATTACTGTCCTGGGAAAGTGCTGGGTGAAAACCACATCTGAATGTCTCGCTCTGACACTCTCCTTAGAGTAAGGAAGGAAGTGATGTTGTCTAGAACAAACCTGGACTGATTGCAGCCTTCCTCCTCCGCCTTTTAGTCTCAGAGAATCTCTCATTTAGTCAGAAATCCGTAAAGCTCTCACAGGAGCTTGCTTTCTCTACAATGACATTGTAAAAAAAAAAAGACACCTAAGAGAAAAGATCCGTTCAACTGTGTGGAGGCCGTCTTGTGTAAATGTTTCCTCTTTTCTTCTCCTCTCTCATGGATATGGAAATCTAGGCTGAAGTAGGAGGACTCTGCGTAGGTGTTTGCATGAGCAAATGGAAAATGTTGTTTATGTGATTCAGGCAATATTGAGATTTTTTTTTTTAAAAAGGGTAAACTGGAGGATCTATTTTGACACGTCTCGCACATATCTGCTCCGATGCTGGCCTTATGTTCAGCCATGATGGGAGGACTTAATGCTGGGGCACAGATGGCAGCAAGTGTCTCATAAACTTGCATCTCTTAAATATTTCAGTACATAAGGTTGAAGAGACAAAGCATGGTTACTGTTTGGGTTCAGAGATGCCAGCTGCTGCACGAGTGGGAAGCCCTACAACATTTACATCACATCACGTTTAGGTGGCACTGCTCTTATGAAGCAGTCTGCACTCTATACAGAGGTAATACCCAGCCTGAAATTGAAAAAACACCTGCCAGGCACTTCAGGAAGTGGCTGGAACTTCGGTTTGGGTTGAAAATGAGATTTTGTCGTTTTATTTAGTCAGCATTTGGTCAGAGGAAGATAAGAGGATCAAGAATATCCTCTTAAAAAGTCACAAAATATCACCACAGTTTCAGGAGTCTTTTACAAGCTATTTGGCTGACCGGTGGGAAAAAAACAACAACTTAAAAACAGCTTAGCTATATTGAATTACTTTTAGAGACCACAAGCTATCATCCACACACACAGATGCTGATTTTATGTAACAGAGGAATACTTTAAGGCTTACTGCATAATAAATCACATAAATGGCATAAAACACTATTAACAAAAAGTGTGACTATTGATATTAGATGTTTGCAAAACATTACATTTCAAGATTGCAAAAACTGAATAAATAAATAAAAACAACTACGACCATGTAACCAGATTAAAAAACACCTAAATAAACACCTCGCAGGTGTCCCTAACAGATTGTTGATAATCTTGTCCAAATATAGTTTCACATTGCAAATAATTCTATTCCTTAAAAAACAAAAACAAAAACAAAAAAACAAAGCTGCAGGACTTCTTTTCCTAATGCAATAAACACCAGATATCTTGACCTATCTTTTCTGGACTGTACTTCCTCATGTCGCTTCAACTCTGACAACAGCAAGTTTCGTGGTCATAACTAATGAAAGGCACCAATTTTTTATGAGATGAGGGTTGATTCATTTAAGCCCACCAAGGATAAAGCTATAGTGTAAATTAGTTTTCCCCTTCTGTTTTGTGTTACAGATTTTCCACAGATGGTAAAATTAACCCGCCAGTTACAGTCCAGTGGAGAAACTGTCAGCTTTCCTGACCACAAAATGCAAGCTTGTTCTCATCTTGTTGGCACTGTTAGCTGTGCAAATAGCGCACCTCTACAAACCAACTAACTAGCTCACTGGCTGCAAGGAAAACCTTGTTTGTCACCAATTAGCTTGCAGTGTCGATGACGTTGAGAAATGACAACGGATACTTTTAGGAGAGAGGTGAATCATGAATTTGTTTATAGTCTAAATGTTTCTAGCTAGCAAGTCTTGACATGCTGTTAAAGACTCACTCTGATGAAAATTATATTTTTCTTGTTGTCTTCATGTTCATATGGCATTTTTTCTGGTGCTACAGGATATATAAGTAAGTGCAAAATTGCATTTCTGATTATTTCTGCATTCAAATCACACAGTGAGATTTCATACGTCAAAAATCCAAGCTCCGCCCCTGGAGCCCCGCTATGCAGGCCAGACTCAGAGAAACAGAGAGGACAATTGCAGAACAAGCGACAATTACGATGCTTGTAAGAAAGCTAATTATGATATTAGCTTTCATCATGCCGGCAAAGATTAAGTGTCCGAGTGCTGAGTGCTCCTATGTTACTTGCTACTTCTACTACACCGGCAATGTTAGGCTGGAAGGTTGTGTGAAAAGGAGTATGCAGAGCAGCGCTGTCTTCGCCCGACTCAGAGGCGAATTGCTAATGAGCTACTGGCACTCTGCAGAAGAAAAGCCCTTGAAAATGACACAGATAGTGTGATTTTGGCTAAAAACTTCACGATCGCAGTTTAAAGATCACTGATAACAATTTAGGTAGTAAAAAAAAAAAAAAAGAAAAACAAAGTCAGAGTAAGACTATAAGGTTTTTCAAGAACGCCTGTTAATGTCATAAAAATGTATTAATGATAACCAAATAGTTGAACTGTTACAAATAATAAAACATTGAAAACTGAAATGGACTATGAGAGACAGCTATCAACTAGAGAAAAAAAATATGTTGAAACCATTATTTCTGACTAAGTGAAGTAAGAAAACAATGATTAGTCAAATCACTTGTCAGTCAAAATCTAAACTTGAGACCCGCCTACTCTCGTGTCAGGACGGAAGCTCAGTGCGAATTTCTTCTGTAGGAGACAGAGTCGGGAGCAGCGTGGAGTTAATGCCCATCACAAAACTGTGTCAGTGACTTTTTCCTCTTTGTGTGTCGAGTTCTAGAGAGCACAATACCCACGGTGAGTTTGGTTTATCAGAGAGTGGTTGGTCATGTGTTGAAAAGAGAAGGCAATGCCAAAGTTAGCCGCAGCGACTAGCATGCTAGCTCCTTAGAGAAACATACGTTGGGTTGCTTTGACTTGTGCGAGCCACGAGGGCCTCATTGCGGGAGCTGCGGTCTGTGTGTTGGCTGTGGCTTTGGCGGTGGACTTAGCATTAGCTGCGTTTACGTGGGTACAAATAATTAAAGTAAATGCCCGATCTGAATAAAAATGCGGCATGTAAACATGTCGATGTGGGTTCAATCGGAAAGAAATTGTATTCCGGTCAAGAGGGGTGCTTTATGCCGATCGTTATTCCGAAACACATCCATGTTAACACATATTCCGATCGGAAAACAGGAGGTTTCATTTTTAACTCTCTGGCATAAACACAACCGCAGGTGCCGTGTCTACTCCTCCGGTAACATAACAAGGCGTGCATACAGCGTAATAATGTCACTTGTGCACGCAGTCGCACAGGGCAACCTTTGACAAAACGGTAAAATAAGCGCCGTCTAGTGACAACATTTAACAAGGGGGAAAACTCCTGAATTGGATGGAGTGAGCCACTACCGCGTTTGTTGACAGCACAGGCCAATACATAGATAGGCTAAGAGTACTTAAAAAATAAGAGTCCTAGTTTCACAATAAAATACCCAAAAAGTGAATCCAACGACAACTGCTAACTTTAAATAAACAAACCTAAAATATAAAAGTACTAGTACTGAACAGGGCGCCCTGACAAATACACTATAGGGTAAATACTGGTTTCTATATTTTAGATATCTTGATCAAACACCATAGAAATGATCAGGTTTGCTGGAGCTCTCAGAATATTCACCTGTTTACAGCTGCGTTTTATTAAACTCTTGGCAAACTACATATTTTAATTCTACCACACTGCACTGCAACATTAATGTTTGTACTTGAAGAGTTTGTCTTTTTGTGTTTTAACCTTCTATTTTAGCTGTTTTTCCAAACTGAGCCAAATCAATAAATTTTCCTTTCCTTGCTTCATCAGTTTTGCTGCCATGGAGGAAAACTTGAGTGGAACTCTAGTTGGAACTTTTGAGACTTCACAGTGTCCTACATATTGCTGGACCATGGTAAGTTACAAAGGTGTACATATGCACAGCAAACATCACCAATCTTCTTCTACATTATCCCAGTAATGTAATGTAAATCTACTGCATCCAATAAGTGGTGGGTTATTCCAGCAAAATCCAATAAGTAATGCTGATTCTCCTCCTGACACGAATGAGTAAGTAGACAATATAATCACAAAAAATCTAGTTTGCACCCAGATAGAAGGACACCAATTTGTAAGTTATTTAGTCAATAGAGCAGACAGGATCTCCAGCACAACTGAAAGTGATTTTTTGCTATATGTGTATCCTCAGGACTAGGGGCAGAGCAGCAAAAAGGCCTGGTTATAATAAAACTTTTACTAGATGCTAAAGGTCTTTAACTCTGTTTTCCACTTTTTAGACCCATGTTTGACTAGTAAAGTCATTTTTCTGCAAAGTTGTTTAGATCTCTTTGAAAAATGAAATAAAAATACTTGAAGTTTGTGTTCCACTCAGCTGCTGCCAAGGATGTGATGAACCAGAACCATGCAGCCCTTGTGTGGTTACAGAGTATAATGTATGACACAGTACAAGTAGTATGTGAATAAATCTCAAGTGTTGTTGCCGGATGCTCAAAACCTTTATCCTTTGATATATTTCAAAGAGCTCTCGATACACAAGTGGCTAAAGGCCTTCATGTTCTGTATAGACTATTACGTAAGCAAAACAGGCACAATACCAGCAACCAAGTTCACTTCAGAGATGCAAGGTGTTTCATGGTCACTTTTCCTTTTGAACGCTCAAGCGAGTAAAGCTGCTGTATCCTAAATTGTTTGCTAGAGTCAAAGAGGATGTTCCTGAAAACAGCTGTCAAGTTTTTTTAAACATACTTAAAACCATTTTAGGTCACAGTAAGAGTAATAAAATAAGATGTCAGGTGAAAGTTCCTGTGTGTTTTTTTTTTTTTTTTTTGCGGTCTGTGTCTCAAACTTTTGGTGTGCGTTGCAACTTGAGCAGCACAAAGTGAAACTAAAAAATGCTTTCTTTAAGATATAAAATAGCATCTTGTGTTAGTTTTCTCCTCCTGTTATTGCTGTACTAAAGATTTATTCCAAAGAGGGCAGGTTCAGATTTGGTATAAAGAAAAGAGCCCATGCATGAAACCTTTTCTTCAGTTTCTAATACATGTTTTGTAACTTTTAATCTATTTTGGTTCCTTAGTCTACCTGTCATATAAAATAATCATTTTTTTGTGAATTGTAAATTTTGTGTGCCAACATATTGATATGGTAAAAAAGTGCAGGGTTTAGAAATTAATGATCAATTATTGAATAGTAAGGCAAATGTGGAAGGATTTATATTTAAGTAAGGAAATTGGATGAGTCTTTTTAAGGAAAAATTGATTGATTTTTGTTTTTTTTCACAGTTTTTTTGTTATAGTGGTATAGTTTGGAAATAAAACATTCTCTGGAAGTAAAAGCAGAGTTTTATTTTCTTGGAAAACAGTAACTGCTGGCAGAAAAAAATCATTTATCAGTGTAAAAATAACCTGTTACAGCACTTCACAGATAGTAAAACACAATATTTTCTGTCATTTCTTTACTTTTAAATAATAAAAAAAAATCGTATGCCATCTGTTTTACATTTCTTTATCTGTTGTACAGGGAAGAGTTAACATATGGAACTAGCTTGATTACATTAAAGCTAAATAAAATACATATTGGTCTCCCATTAGCCAAATAAACACTTTGAAGCTAAATAAAGCTCAAAACCACCACTTCCATTTTCATTAGCGCTTGTCACAGCATTCCCCTTCTCACAACTTTACAACAGCCCATATTAAAGACACAGCCTGTATTAAAGCAGACTTTAACAATCCGTCTTAAAGGAAAAGGATACTAATGAAGTGAAGAGTTAATGCTAAAACAGTTTGAGATTTGTACTTAGTGTACTTCTGGCAAACCTTAACATTTACTTTGCTCAGATGAAACCTCAGCGCAGCTGCATGTATGAAATAGACTCTGTTCTGTGTCAATTCTGCATGTGGCCTTGAATTTTAAAAAAGGATCAATTTCTCCAAAGATCGGGTGCAATTTACAAATGAATTTCCTTCACGCTCGGCTGCTTCATAAAAGAATTTTTGTCCTGACTCAGATTGAACACAGTTGAATGATTCTATCCATATTCCTGACTTCTTTACGAGACAATGTTTTCCATTTTGTCAAACACAGAAGTCTGAAATTTCCATGTGTTTTTTTTTTTTTTTTTTTGGTGCAACAAGTGTTACTGATTGGGCCTTTTTTTGTCTGCCACCAACCTCTTGTTAGGTTAGCGACTGGAACAAAGTGACACTGCAGAAGAGCTTGTGCTCTGTGAAGGATGAAGGGGATCCTATTGAGGTGACAAAGCTCCACTCTGTCACTTTTCAGAAGTGCACTAATAAAATGAGCCAGGGTTTCTTTTTTTATTAGGTTTGTAAAAGTGGAAATAGTTATTGTTGCAGAATAATCATGAAAAAATGATTAAACTAATCAAAGCCAATAATAAAAAAGAAAAGAAAAACACACTCAGCTTTTTAAAGGGAGGGTTTTACTGCTGGGTCAAATTTCAACAATTCAAACTATAAAATATATGCCTCTCCTTTTCTCTCTACCATGTCTTTGATTTGTGCTGGCTCCACTCTATTTAAGATTTAATATATTTTTTAAATATTATTAGTAGTTTTCTTAGAAATTGTTTCGCAAGAAAAAAGTTCAGAGGGCCCACAGCGTTCAAAAGGAAAGAAAAAAGGTGGAAGTAAAAGCAGACAAAATTTTGGATGATGACTTTGTTACTTAAATGATCAAGGTTATGGCCCCATAGATTTTGATTGACTCTTCTATTGATCCAAATGTCAATTTATTTTCCTTTTTTATTTCTTTTTAATGCTCTCTTTTGCCCTTATTTTTGAATTGAATCTGCATGTTTCTGATTTTCCATTCACAAAGTCTCCAAAAATAGATTCAAGGATCATTTTTTTGCACATACAAACAAACTGTCTTTTCTATGACCTCATCTGCTGCTCATTCACACTCCCAAAATGACTCCATGTTACGATGTTAAAAAGCGCATTGATACATCTTGGCATGATGTGTTGTAACCTTTAGTGCGATTGATTTATGCAAAGGTAAAGGTGAAGCCATTAGTTCCTGGACTGAGATCCCCCTGTGAGGCCCGTTCTGAATTTATAAAATTTCAAGGAGCTCTGATAATTTAATATGGAGTGCCCTTTCATAGGTTAGGTCACCTGCAGCGCGGCCTGCAAATTGAATAAAGAACAGTAATAGAAAACAGGATGTCAGGTGGGCTCCCTGCTTATAAAATCATTAACAACAGTGTGTCTTTTCTCATAAAGGAGCCCATTTATTCTGAGGAGGAAATGTTATGAAAGTGTAGGGGAGCAACTCAATTTATTTTTCATTAGGAATTAACTCATGGGAGAAACACTGAGAGGGTTAATAGCTGTTTGTGTACATCAGCAGTGTGAACTAATAGGTCTGGAGAAAATCCTGCTGTACACGCCTTAAATAATGCTCTCACTTTGAGTGTCTTTAAAAGTCAACTGCAGCCCCCATGTGTAACCTTAATGATACTGCAGTGGTTCCAGTCTTTAAAAAACTATTTATAGCTTCCTTTCTCTTTGGTTGTGGAAAGTGCTGCATCTTTACATAGCTGGGATTTTCTCATAAATTACATATTCATTTTCATTGTAATGAGAAAGGATAAGAGACAGAAAGTGAGTAGACCCCCTACTCTGGTCCCATGCTGATGGCTTTGTTTGGGTCATATCAGAATAAAGCAGCAGCTCGGTCAAATCCTCTCCATCTTAAACAGACTTCCACAGAGCTCCCGGTGCTCTCAGCATGACTCAGGCCATGTACCGCAGGAGGTAGAAAACCCTGCCTAATCCCCTCAGTGCTTTTACAAATATCTATATTTCCTCTCGGAGGAGATCTGAAGATTACCGCTACAGCCTGTGTATCTGTGGACAATGAGTTATTATTGTACCCACATGGTGGGTTTTCATCGGCCCAGCAATCTCTTTTATGGCTCAAACTGCTTGTCTGTGGTGAATCCAGGGAATACAGTACGGCACCTGTTAAAACAGCTGCAACATTGAAGGTGTTGCATGTTCTTGTTTCTTGTTTGCAAGGCAGTAATACTCGTTGATGGCACAAAGCAGGAGAAACATTTATTTTTTTTAGTCATGAGTGTGTTGTCCTGGTGTTTTCTTTTGGTTTATGAAATATGTAAACCACCGTTTTTGGAATTGTTTGGAGCAGGATTGATTTGGGAATAGTTTGTTGGCAAATTCAGAATCTTTTCTAAAATATGTTGTCAGCCATAAGTTGATGCTGACTTGGTGAGAGTAATGATGTGATCCTGCTATAAAATGAGCAAATTTTAAAGAGACACGCAAGGTGTGTAGAGAAAACTTTGAAGTTTTCACCTCATTTTGCCTTTAAAAGGAATCAGAAAATCGCATGGTAGACATACTGGATTTTAGGGACAGATGAGTAAAACTGTTTGTAATTTTAATATAATTATTCATGATATTTTAAATCATATTAATGACTTTATTTTGGTTAATAAACTATGCTATAAAGATACATTTTCTTCATATATTAATGATAAAACCTGCTACAGCATCAAACTGTTTTTGATGGTTCTGGACTATCTTGCCATAGATAGCAGAAGTTTGTATTAAGTTAAGAGTGATTTTAATTCTCTTTACTCTCTTCATGTGAAAATTGTAGTTGAATTCATTTTAAATTGCACGTGTTTGATATAAACAATACAATCACTAAGTTACCAATTCGATTAGTTTTTCCTTTTTTGTTAACTCTATAGTCACATTTAACCCTAAGGGATTTTGGAAGTTTTCCGTTTTTGGGAGCTTGGTGTGTTGTTTTAGTCCTACTGTTGCTTTCACATACTGTGAAAACAAATCTGTTATTATCCGTTCTTATTCATGGGGTCCCATATATTTCAACATTTGTTTATTTATTTATTTATTTTTTTATAAGCTTTTTTGTGTTTTTTGGAGCGGGGGCACTTTTGCCTTTATTAGATAGGTCAGCAGGAGAGAGACAGGAAACATAGGGGGAGAGAAAGAGTGGGGGATGACAGTGCATGGTGTGCGCTGGTAGTCCAACAGGCGCCCCATCTGTTGAGATTTTTAAAATCTTTTCCTGTGGGCCACCCTCATCTTAAAAAAACAACAAGCCAAAAACAACAAAAAATACTATTATTTGTCATCACTTGACAAAAAAACATTTAAATGGAATAAAAATGTTAACCATGTCGATCTCAATGTCAGGTTGAATAACCTGCCAAGAAAGCATTGATACAGTATTGCTTTGGTGTCTATTAGTATTTGTGGGTTTGGTTTCTCAAATGTGAGCCTTTGAAAGCTTATATTATCATATTTGATAGGAAACTGAGTTCCTTTAGTTTGGCGGTTGCTTGGATCAATAAAAAATGTATCTAGATTGTTTGTTCTAGGTATGAGAGAATTCCCCTTTGTTGTAGTTATAGGGTCTTGGACTGACTACAGTGATAACAGCAATGCAATCTCCACCACTTATGTTTATTTACCCGAGTCTTGGATCCAATTGGAAGTGCTCATACATAAAGCCTGACTCTATTCCCCTGTCTCTGCAGAGTGGGTTTACATTTAGTGAATAGAAAACTGCATAAAAATAAACACACGTTTTGCACACTGTCATCTGCATACAACATGATATTGAGTATGGAGCCCACGTTTCCCCCCCGAGTTTATGTATGTGCTCATTGGCGTGATCTCCAATGTAAATCATGATTACATTGTCAGATTGAACACCGAGCACACACACATATGGGTTATTTATGCAGGTTGTGTATTAATTAGTATAGAGTCTCTCTAGTGTGTTTCATTTGGGGCCTAGTGTTTGAAGTAGTTCCTTTACCAGCAGAGGATGCTCATGGCATTACAGCGATCTCTGAACAAGAAGAAGAAGAAGAAGAAGAGCCTCTTCGTCTTTCTTCCCGAGAATTTCTCCCACCAGGGACGCTCTGCTAATAAGTTCCCTGGGCCAAACCTAACCTGTTTTCAGCCTTGCTCCATACACAGAGAGAGAACTGAACTGCATTTGCTCTTTAAGACTTTTCCATAGAGTTGAACAAAATATTCTGCTGCATCGTTTTAGACTTTAAAAATGAAGTATTTGTTTCATGAAATATAAAAGAGAGAAGGGAGCTGAAGAGTTTTTTTTTTTGGTGGTGTTTTTTCATGACTTTCAGCTTCTGCTCTCACTTTCTGAAAAAGGATTAAATAAATGGCTTTAGTGAGGGCTTGGCCATGATTGTTCAAATACTTCTACAGAAATGGAAATGTGAGGCAATTGTAACAGCTTTTAATATCATTATTCCACGGTGACCCTTCATTTCACACAGTTTGCACCCTTTGGTGAAAGCAGGTGTTGAAAGTCATGCAGACTTTTATTTTTCTTTCTGTCTGAAGGAGGGACTTGTCTTTGACTTCTCTGAGGAGTGCTTCAGTGGTTTTTTCATTTTTTTCCAGCTGTGTCAGGGTGTCTGACTGACTGTCCAGGAACAGTCAACCGATCTGGCCTGATGACATGAAGGAGGGCCTTGATAGACTTCTCTGATTTCTTGTGGGGAATCACAACCTGAGGATACAAAGCTAACGGGCATTTTTCACAACATTTAGACCTTTAGAGCTTGAGAAACTCATCAAGGAATTAATAATATTTGAATCCACAATGCTGCAACCGCGATTTAACAAAGTGTCTCAGCCTCATTCTCAGTCTTGACTTCTGGAGTCCCAGTGAACATGGTTTATCTCTCCACTCGCGTGCCGAAGCCTTTGGCCATCTTGAGCTGTCTCTTTGTTCTCTTTTTCCTCCTCAGTTCGCCAGTGTGAGAGTGATGCTTGTTGACACATATTTGGACAGGCCAGAGCCTCTTCTATCAGTGGACGGTGTCCACATGCTTGTGAAGTTATCACATCCAGCAGATCAAAGACAGTTCGCACATTATTTATGCATCGCTGAAAGGTGAGGTATTCAGTTGAAGTTGGGCAGCAAAGCAGAGCTGCCTTCCTATTTGCGAGTAATGACTTCCTCTTTAATTGAGTGCTTCTGGTCCAATTCAGACGCTGGCCTTAGTGTCCTCTTTGCTTTGTGCTGTGTGGAAAGAAAAGTCTCAAAAGACAATGTGTTTTTAATTCAAAAATACTGCAATGGAATTTTTTTCACTAGGTGGCATCATTCTGTGTCAAGTATTGCGTCAAGCAACAAAACCCTGAGGATATATTTGTTAAGAAAAGTCACATGATCAGACATAATTACAATGTACCATCTCCAAAGATATCCAGGAAGGCTGACATGTTTGTATAATGCATTTTCTTATCAAAACGTTACTGGAGCCCCAAGTGTGCATCCAAGTCTTAGTTACTCTGATATCGTAGAGATAACGAGTAATTCCCTGTTGTTTTTCCTAGATATGGACTTATTTTCCTGTTTACTTGTTCCTGTTTGCCTGTTCTCCTGACGAACATGAATATTTGTGGTTTTCCCGTGATACTGAGTTTATTTCAGTTGATTTGATCTCGACTTATTTTGGGATAACAAAGCTGGCGTCCCAATTATAGCAGATTGATTTATCTCGAAGATCTAGATTACGAAACTTGATCCCTCAAGATAACAGGATCACTCATATGTTACCTGCTTTTGCTACTCTGGGCAACAAATTATGATCGTCTGATGTCACTGAGGTGTATGTGGTGCAAGGGGGAAATCAAAAATAAGTAGAAAACAACCAGTTGACTTGTTATGAGATAACTAAGTTGATGAAATGGAACAGTGCATGCACACTTCTGATTACCATGAACTTAAAAGGATATTCAGGCTTAAAATTAATGAAGGGTCAAACACATCGTAACACCGAGTTAGACACCCCCTCGAGAGATGATTGTTGTCGACTGCTTGCATCTCTAGTTATACCAACCTTAGTAACGACCACAAGATAGCAATACAAAGGGGTCTAAGGAGCCATAAACAAACCTCAACCAAAACGCCACTCTATAGCCACTAATAATGCTCAGAACAGCACCTAACTTCATCAACAGTACATATAGGGTCCCAGCCACAGCACTAGCCACCAAACATCTTTTTAGCTTTGCCTGATTTCTTTGGCAAAGAGACTAAACACAACTTACCCACTCCTTAGATCGCTGTGTATTGCTATCGTGCGGTCGTAACAAAATTTTGTGTAACTAGTAAAGCAAGCAGTTGGCAACATTCATCTCTCGAGGGAGTGTGTAACTTGGTGTTATGGTGTGTTTGACCCTAAATTAATTTTTATGCTGGAATATCCCTTTAAAATACTGTTAGAGAAGTCATTTCTTAAAGTTTTGTGATTTTAAAATACTCTGCGAGATGAAAACAGCACACTCCAGGTTGTTCCAGGTTGTGTCTCCAAAATTACGAAGATACTCACAACATTGTTTTATAGAGGCAGCGCAGGGGTGAGCCTCAGGCTACTCTTTTGCTCCTCTTTACTCTAAGGCCTAAGGCAACAACCTTGGTCCACACTTTTCAACAGAATTCAAAATCCGATTGGGGGTTATGTATCCTGGCTCTTCATTTATTGAGTACTTTTCCTTGTAGTTTGTAAGCTCGTCTGGTTAAGGCTCATTCACTGCTTAAATTAAGACTTAAAGTGTTCCTGCTTGCTGTTTTGTTGATCTCAGCACTTTGAGCTGATAATGAACCTCCATAAAAGAATGTGTTTGGCTTCAGACAAATGTTTCTGACGACCAGTGGATGCATTTTTAAGCAACTTGCACACTAAGGACTATTTCCACCCAAAGGTCATGGAGGATAAGTGGGTAGAAAGAGGTACACCTCGTCACTTTTTGAAGGACTAAGTGTTCTGCACTGAAATACACCGCTGGGAGACTCAAATGACTCAAAAGGCCATATCAGCGAGCACTTGCGGTCAACGTTATTTATTTATTAATTTGAGGCCTGTCTACTGACACATCTGAGTGGTCTAATTGCTGCGAATTGACACCGGTTACTGTCCATAATGGGAGCTTGGGAGTCTTTCCTAACCGCGGTTCATTCAGCCGCCCCTCGCTGCAACTTAACTGCCCTTAAAATGTCTGATTGCAACACGGGAGCTGTGGGGCGAGACAGGATTATCAGTCTTTGTTGTGTGACTGTGTCTATTATCCTGACCTCTATTCACAGTGGGCCCTTAGGAGTGTCGCTTCCAGCCACACAGCAAACTACCCCATCCCCGACAAACAACAAGTGAACCAGAGATCTCCCCCCCATCCCAAAGCACTAGACACTTACAGCTCCAGCACTGCATGGGCCAAGCGCTCCACTGCAGGTAAGCCTATCAAATCCCTATTGATTTCATAAAGATAAATTGGAGGCACTCCCTCTCGACGTTATTGCAGCAGACGCGATTGATTGTTTTTGTGTTGACTGCTGATATTGTCACTGAGGTGGGTGGACTACTGTTAGTTTAAGAAGTTCATTAGTAGTGAGGAGCTGCTAGTGGAGTCTTTAATAGGGGGATAAAATGCATCCGCAGGGCTTGTGTGGCTCTTCGTGCAGCGTATTGTGAGAGTGGACTGTAGCGGACCGGGAAGGCTTTGTGGCGGTGTGTGTGTGGGTTTTCTTTTTTTTTTTGGCTTCAGTGGTAGTGGTTTTTGAAAAGGGATTTCTACCTTGGCCCACTAATAGTTTTGTTGCAGAAAAGGCAAGTCTATGTCAGTTATTTAGTACCATTTTTTTATGTGTACTGGTTATATATGTGTGTTTGAAATCTGCTGATTAAAAAAATGTATGTTGACTTGTAGGTATCTTTTTATATTGCTCTATTCTGCAAGTTTTTCCTAAACTGTCATTGCACAAGTATTTTATGGAGTCTCCTTTCTGGTAAAACACACACACATAAACATACACACACATATAATATATGCACAATATTTATTTTTTTTCTCTGATGAGATGAGGCTCCCATCCAGAAAAGGGTCTTACACTCTTCTCTCTATGTTTCTGACATACATTAAAAACTATAATGAACAATACCAGAGGACACAAATAAGGATCCTCATTTTTTTGGCTCTTGGGGGTTTGTGGATTGAGGTCTGGCACGATACTGCACCCAGGCGCTGTAAGCTTTGTAATCCAGTTCCATAAATACTCAGCCCCTTACAGCACAGCTGATTAATTCATCACGTTTATTTCCATGGCGGATGTCATATAGCCTATTTATAAACTCTGTAATCATAAAGATGTCAAAGTGCCAAAAGTTTTGAGGGCTTCTGCTGCATATTTTCAGGATTACATTTGACCCAAAACCTACTTCAATGAAGAATGAAGAGAGACAATGGATTTTTTTCTTTCTCCTTTCTTCTGCTTTTACTACGACACAGGAGTGAAACGTCTTTGCCTTCATCGCAGGTTGAAAAGAGTAGCGGGCATCCAAGTTAATATCATCATTCATTAAGCTTTTTTATCAAATCCAAATCTGGCACTGCTTTGCTTTCCTTGCGCTGGCTCTTTCAGGAGAACAGTGCAGGGTAGCTTCCTCTCCATCTGTCTTGAGAACTTTCTGCCACAGCAAGTGTGAATTCAATTTATTTCTGCGTGCCCTGATTCACCACAAATTGCTTAATGGTTTGAAACTCACTCCTGACAGCACCATTAGAGACTTGTGCAGAGATCATTCCCAGTGAAAGCCATTTCAAATGTTTCGTATGTAACTTCTTAAACAAATGTGGCCATCCTATGTATGTGCTCTGTAGGACAAATGTAAAAAAAAAGGAAATAAAGGCAAATTTAATCCATGGTCTGGAAACTAAGAGGTAAAAATGCACAGTTTGGGATAAAAGCCAAATAAATAGACCAAATAGGGGCATCTGGAGGGCACTTTTCTACCTCCATGAACGCGTGGTATAATTAGACACAGTTTTTCGACAATTGTTGAGAACAAATTGGCAGTGTTTGACATCTGGTAGTTGTAGGAAATAACGCTTTAAACTCACTTGGTGGATTGTTATTGCTGGAGTTATCTCAAACTCGTCCCACTGTCAAACAGAGCTGCTCCACTGACTGTGGAGCCTCACTTATCCTCCCTCAGCCCACTACATCAGATGGGGATGATTGCAGGCTAGAAATCAATGAAACCACAAACATCCCTGATAATATTCCCTCTTGGGGGTGCAGTTGCAGATACTGTTGGGGCACTATTTATCCCTCCACCACAGTCTGTTCTGAAGACAAGACTTTGAGTTTCTGAGATGTGTTAAATGGATTGATCCATAAATTGGCATTGTAACAAAAAACTTTAAAAACACAGATACGCTTTAAATGAACTGGAAGCACTTTCTGTTACACAATCAATCTATCAATCCCAGTCTTGTTGTTGTAATCACTGTGAAATAGCTGGTCGACGATGTTTCTACTTTTTATCTTTTGCTATTGAGAGGAAACATCCAGTAACACTTGTACATGATGGCACTGTTGTTCTCGGATTTGTGAGATCATGCCCCTCGGAGAAACATCCACAGATCTCTAAGTGGACCGATTTGACAATATAAAAGTCTCTCAAGCCCTCCAATCAATCATTGCCTTTCACCACATTATTCCCCAAACAATAAAAAGACAATATGAGATTAATATATAGTCTGTTGTTATCCTTGTGGGGCGGGCAGCGTCCCCTTGTCTAAAGTCAGCGAGCAGTAAGAAGGATTTGGTTGACGGAGCAGAGCGGGCCAAGAGATTTCTCTGCATTTGAGGTCACTGGTGGATAGCAAAGTTATCTAAAGCCCCAGTTTGTGTCAAACACCCCCCCATTTCCCCCCATACACACTCCCGTATCCCAGAGTGGGTGTCAGAGATTAGTGGTGCATCCATTCTCCGTGACCTCTAGGAGCTAAAGAGATACTGCATTGCCATCTTGTGACGTGTCTAACAATGCAGGGCCAAGACTGCCATTTCAATGCCACGCTACGCCACAGGATGGCCCTTTTGTTGAATGCTTGCATACGATTTCAGTCAATATGCGCCATGATGGGCATTTTACCCCATCCCTAACTAGCTCTTAGGTTCTGAGAGGATATGTGCTGTTGTGGGATCACATGGAGCAGAGTTGGCTGCAATTACTTGCAAGTATTTGCTGCAGTCGAACCACAGGAGTCTATTTCCGAGGAGTAAGAAAATGCTTGCCAGAAATTCATGAGTCCTTTTATAACTTTTTATATAGCAAAATTATTGGTTTATAAACGAAGAAAAATTATATTTTTTTCCCCCATGATGGCAATGATACAAGCTTTATAGATATGTACAGTTTTTGTTTTTTGTTTTTTGTTAATGGGGGATGAAACAAAAATATTTAAAATGTACTGTCTGAAAATAAATCCCCTCACTATACGTCCAGTCTGATCTGTGAAAATACAATCAGTGCATTCATGTAACAGGCTGAGTTAGTTAAAGAGGTTCAGTGTTAATCTTATTTTTAACTTATCTGCTACAGTGCGCTGTAGGGTTGTGAATCACTAGTGGCCCCATGATACTATATATTACGATACTTGGGCCACGATACGATATTATTGTGATTTTTAACATTTTGCAATACCATGAGTATTGGGATACAATATATTGCAATATATAAAATTTTCGACTGTTTAGCTAACTAAGCATTTGTCTTTCTTTTATATTTGTCTTATTTACGCTGTATTTTATTTTCATGTAGCACATCTTGCAAACCCTATATATTTTTGTTGCACTAATCTGCTCTGACGTCACCTCTGCTAACCTCAATGAACAAACAGTTGATTTTATTTTTTTCATTGTCATAGATTTGACTATATTAGCAATTAATTTGAAAAATCCATACTTGGTAAATGAGACGATACGATCTATCACCAGACAAAATATCACAGTACTATGCTGTATCGTTTTTTTCTCCCACCCCTAATAAGTAAATTACTATATATGACTAAACAGGGATAATTTCATTAAATATTAGATCTTAAGCAAAACTGTTTGTGTCTTTATGTTTTCAGTATCCATGCAGAGTCATAACTGGCAACACAGAATCACCACTTTCGTAAACTTCATCTCTCAAGTCCATATTTATACAATTTATTTTGGCATAAGATACAAATTGTATTGATTTTTTTCTCCCACCCCTAGTGTGCTGCAGGAAAAAAATAAAAAACTGTCTCCATGCATTTCTTTTTTTTGACTTTTATTGATGATTTTTTGATAACCCAAATGTATGTCAGTAAAGAAGCTGCAGCCAGCTACTGTATGACATGACCCACTTGCCAATAAATGATTTTGACATATATGAAAAGATCGACTCCAACCCAAATATCAGTTTTTGTCACACAAAGCACAGCTGTGTAAAAACATGTATTCACTTGGATCTTGCTCCTCTGTAGTACAGTATCTGATTTGATAAAAGCCCACAGTCTGATAATTAATTGACGGTCCTCCATGCGCGATTAGTCAACCGTTATTAGACAGCCAGACCTGAGATTCAAGCAGCTCCCTCGTTTTGACTGACAGACCAGTAGTGGAAAAGAGTCGACTTATAGAAGTCGTGTCAAAATGTCAAATGGACCATCTTGGAGAACATCAACAAAACGTCTGTATTGGACCTCTCTGCGGCCTTAGTATTCCCAGGCCAAAACCACAGAGCTCAATACTACCAGAAAACGGGTATGAAAACCTCAGTTAGAAAATCTGACATACCCATTTCTGAGGCTGTCAGGCCTTCTGCTGGTTTCTGGTGTTGTGTGGTGTGTAAATCATTCCCTTGAGGAAGCTGAGTTGCTCAAAATACTATAGATTCAACCCATCATGCTATACAGGAAGGCATATTTTACAATATGTTATGAGGAGACTGGCTGAGATATATCAGAGTGGGTATTGGCATAGCTGAACTCTTATATTAAACAGTGTATACTTGGTAATAACAATAAAGAGATAACCTTGAAAAGTGAGGACAATTTCACCTGTTTTCTGCAAATAAAGGATTGAGAGAATGACTGTTAGAGCAAATATATCCACATACTTGGACAATCTACTCTTTCATCTGTCATATTTAGTCGAACAACATGGATACTACTATGTTTTATTAATGCCTTGGCCTGAACGTATACAGTGTTTTTCAGTGAGTGGAACTAACAAAGGCTTCTCAGCAGAGACATGCTGAAGGTGAGAGGCTTCAATAAAATAAAATAAATCTCTTCACTACATCTTTGGGAGCCTCCACAGTCTAAACATCCGTCTTTAACCATTAATACTTGTATTTTCTCTCTATCTCTGAGTAACCTGTCATTCTCTTTATGTCAGTCTAGATATAAAATATAAAATGTTCAATTGATTTAAAAAAAAAAAAAGGAAAATGAGTGATAGGTCTTTCTTTATAAAGCAATTAATTGTAGTAAGATGTAGTAAGAGCGGTGTCTTTTTTTAGGGCGAGATGCAGCATTTTTGCAAAGTAATTATATCATTATGTTCTCAATGGTAATTCTCAACTTATGAGTTTGACTGAGAAATCATTCACATAAAGAGGTAGACCTCTGGTTATAGAGAGTTTTTTTTTTTTTTCTAAACAAGACATTAAGTCCTGACATTGTGTCCTGTACACACAGAGTCCCCTCACTGCTTCTGGCTGCTGCGTGGAAAGAATAAAAAGAGTCATTCTCTGGGAAGAGAAGTAAATTTGGTCCATGATGCTGCTGGACCATACTGAGTGTTTGAATTCACTCGGTTAATAGCGTGCGACATGTCCCTTCAGGTCATCAATTGTTATAAATTAATGATTTTAAAAGCAGTGATGACACCTGAGGTTATGAATGATTTAATAAGCCAGAACAGGGTTAGAGGGATAGTGTCCACTCTGTGCCAGTTTTTCCTTGCATGGTGGTGTGCTGCTAAGTTTTTATTTAGTCATTTGTAGTTTTCAGTGAGCGGATTTTTAAACACATAAAACCATCAAAAGACACGAGAGCATATTTTTACCTAAAATTGACCTCATAGGGTTCACAACGCAGAAAAATATATATCAGTTTAGGTAAATCATTTTGTCCTTGTACTTAATTTCACTCATGACAAACAAAAGTTATCTTTACATTTAAGATGAAGTTTTTATTTGATTCATCTTAATACATTTCTTGAGGTAAGTTAATTCCACTCCTTGAGTGCTGCTACATCACTTTGTTGTCTGAATATTTCTATTTCTAGAGGACGCGGTTGAAAGAGTAGCTTTGACTGTGAGCTTTACCTACTGTAGGTAATCAGGGTGAAGTAAAATTGGGCTGGCTCTTTATTATGTGAATGCTTTTGACTGCCAGAAAGCCACAAAGAGGTGCGTGATAGGTCATGTTTATTGTGGAGGTGTCAGCAAGTCCCCACAACCACACTGGGCTGGTATAATAACCATATAATTCAAGTAGTCAGTCCCTTTCTACGTCGCAACACAGAGAAGAAACTGTCCATCATGAGCTGCAGATTTCCTTTTTAATGTGTCTTTTCAAGTGATGCTGGCCACTTGGGCCTTTGCATTCCAGTTTCATGCATGGCGCTTTCATTACATTACAATTTTGAGAGCACTTTGAGGGCTGTTTAAGCAGTGTTTAAAAGGAAACTAGTGGAATTACTCTTAACCGAGTGGAACAGAGGGTCAGGACCTGAGTCGTATACCACCAATGATATGGCCGTGCCTCAGTACAGGCTCTAACAATATGCCTAGCAGTCAGTAGTTAATGATGAGTATTGGATGGAATGACATTATCTGCTTAGTGCTCACTGCCACATAATGTGCTACCTGGGCCAGAGGCACAATCTGTGCTCATACCTAGATAGGACCCCAGCTGTGTGCTCCAGAGAGATAGCAAACCACAAAAGTAGCCATGACCGAAATGCTGATAATAGAATCAGTGACATTTGATGTGTTAGTTTAATCCCCCCACTCTGAGACTCCATCGCTTTATTTATCAATCCATTCTGTGGATTTGCTCCACCTCGGCTGGGAGGAGTCTGGGTTTGGGGCTGGAGGTGGTGCCTTCCACTTGATTGATGTGTTATTCATACAAAACATGTCTTTGTAAATTTTTTATACATTATCTGTCCTCAATGGAAGACATGCAAATGTACCCTTAAGTCTGGGGAACTAAATGCATGAAGTATATTTATCTCACAGAGAATTTCTGACATTTTTTAAATTTTCAGGTCCCATAATCTCTCAGACATGTGGTTACTTCCTCTGATGTATCTTGAGCAGAAAAGAAAAACTTCAAGATCCAGAATCAATGTGAAGTTTGTGAACAGTTACAGTGAATCTGACCCCAATTTATATTTCTCTCTTTGTGCAGTTGCAAGAAGACGATGTAGTGCGGTAGAGGCAAAAGAAAATAATATAGCTGTTTTGTTGACAGGTTCCTTATATATAGAACTGTAAGATGGTTTTGGAATATATGTTATTGGCTGTAAATATATACAGTATTTACCGTTGAATTTAATTATCTTTTGATATGAAGAAGTCACCCTAAAAATACTCTGCAGGTTTACACTATAAGTAACATTAAATGACAGACACCGTATTTATTCATTTTTTCATCAAAATATGGTAAAACATGTTGAAGCTTTATTCTTTTCTTTTTTATTCAGTTTGCTACAATTCTTCATAACTCTGGGAAATCTGACCCTCTGCAAACCAAAGCAGTCTTTGTGTTGTGCTTGTTTGTAAGAATAACAAAGAAATGCAAACTAAAGTTGAACCAGTTGAAACTGTGACATGTTACATGTCCCCGTCCAACCGCGACCCTGCATACCATGCTGGCTGCTCCATATGAAACTCTAAATGGACAACTAAAGGGAGCGGTACAGCTCACTATTGGTCGAGTATCATACTTTGACTTCTCATTTAACTGTATTTTTTAATTATGATTTTTATCTGTTCTTACACTTAAAGTTCAGAGTCCTCTGCATTATTGTTTTCTGTTAAATATTGCAGTTTGAGTTTTTGCAATTTTAGTTGTTTACTTTGAAAAACCTTGTTTAAATTTTCTCTTTTCTTAAATACAGGTTTTTTTTTTATCAGAATATCTTTTATATGACCCAATCAGTGCTTTTCATTCTGAATATGATGATGAACTTTTTTAAGAAATAGAAATAATCACCATAGACATGATTATTATAGACATGGTGTTATTTAAGTTATAATTTGAACTCATATCAAGGAACTTGTTGGGCTGTTTCCAGAGGATGTTAAAAGTTGTTAGATAATAAAATAGATTCTGAATTCAAGTGTTTTCAGCTAGTTAAGTAGCTGCTGATGAAAGTCCTGATAGTAGTGCGCCCTCTCACAACCTTCTCATCTCTGATTCAGAGTAGCTCATGCGCAGTACCATGCAGTCAGGGAGGTATTATTGAAGCACAGGAGCTTTACTTCTAACATCAGGAAAACATTAAAAAACTTCTTGGATCAACAGCTAGCATACAGTTTGAGATTCTTTTCAATGCATAAAAAAAAGATCAACAATAAGCGTTGTTTTATCACTGCTGCCCTACAACTAAATCTTTCACTAATGAGCAGAGCAGCAGAAACAGAGAAAAGGGATAGGCTGAATATGAAAAATCAATGAACTAGCTGTATGACAGAGGCTAGATATCATAGGCTGCTACTGTACGTACAGTGTGAGCTTGTTTTAGCTGCCTGAGATTACTCTGCTTCTGTGCTATTACTCGGCTTTCTTCATTGAATTGACTTCAGAGCAGGCTGTTTTCAGATGCCTCTCCAAGTTCTACCACATGCCATGATTAATTCAGCCGTAATGTATGTTAATGTATGTTAATCTGTGTCACTGATATGCTAATGAACACCTTACTCCCACAATCCAACTTGTCCATGCTGGCAACGCACACTCATTGAAGGAATAGCCATTTTGAAATTCAGAGGACGGATCGTCAGTACACATTGTGATTTTACTGTACAGGGCGGTGCTGCTTTGTGAGTTGTTTTCTCCTGGCAAACATGCAGTTTATAATGTAGTCCAGTATTTCTGGAGAATTATTGAAGTACATTACAACAAGCTTATAGGAGCAGGATTAAATTTATGTTATACAAGTGCTGATAGGGCTTTCTCTCTTGTTTTGAATGTAAAACTCTAACAGAATTAGGAAATCAGCCTTTTCTGCATTCACTATTATGTCGTTTTCAATGTCTTTTAAGAAACAAAGATTTGTTTTGGACTTGGTATGTCATAAAACAATAACAAAAAGAAAAAAATACACATTGAAAACATGAAGAAAGTACATCTACATAGGTGTTTTCAAGGCTGAAAAGTGTTTTTTATGAGTGTTACATTCCTCCCAATATGATCTCTATATTAACAGTAGATGGCACCAAGTCATCATGATGTAAAGGCTGAGATTGAACTCAAATATTATTTTGGCTCCACACTCACTGTGAGAAATTGGGTTACTGGAGGAAAAGGAAACGTACCTAAATCCACGGAATAAAGCATATTTTGGGTATTTTTGTGTATTACACATCTTCAAAGAGAGCTGAAGACATGATACCCTGGTGAAGTGTAGATCATTTTGAATACAACCAACCTCCCCACCCAAAAAAAAAAAAAACAAGAAAAAAACTGAGTGTAATCACATCAGTCTGATTCAGTTTGGGAGCTAACGGTGCTGATATTATTATCACACAGGTGATGCTAATGAAAGCTGAAAGCTCATTGCGTGTGTTGTTCCTTTTGTTGAGTGTGCGCTGCTCACTCGAATGGCTGCAGAGGTGTTTACAACAACATCAGAATACAATTCCTGTACAACATGTTGCAGCATCAACCAGTAGAAATGTCAGGGACAGAGTGGAGGTTTGTGTTTGCTGGAGATAGCTCTCTTTGAACCTTGACCTCCAGTCTTCTTGGCTGCTATTACTTGCTGTACTTTAAGAGGCCTGAATGCCTTGCTGACATCTGGTTGACATTTTTCAGCCGTGATGCATGTTGTAAGAGGGGAAAAAAGGACACTAAGAAAACCCCTTCAACACCTCCGCACAGCACCTATTTGTTGTCCTTTTACCTTCAAGTTCACGGTCATGTTACCTTGTCTGGACGTGGATGCTGCCATCCATGTATAAACTACTCTGGAATTAGTCATTTTCAGGCCAACACTCCAGTGAATATTTCATGATTCCATTCCACTCTGTTTGTCTTGCTTTGTGACAATCAAGCCGTCTGAAAACATTCATCAATTATTCACTTTTGCTCAACAGGCTCATCAAAATTTACCAGAATGGTCAAATGAAGAGACACCTGGTAATACAGGGGAAAGGCTGTCGAACATTTTTGTTTTCATAATTAAGTTTTTCAGCAAGACGTGGAAACACGGGAATTAATGAGGACAAGATACAAGATGTTTGATGATATTGTTGGATCAGGGGCACAATAAGAGAGCAGGAAATTACAGGAGGGAGGAGAGCATTCAAGGTGAGGATTGGACTCATATTAGTTTACTCTGGTGTAATCCGCACGTAACACAGCCATCATTTTCTTTGTATTTTTTTTACATCTTACATTCAAGATTTTAAAATTGTAATGTGAAAGTAAAGATATTATTTATTTTAAATTAACTATAGAAGTGAAGTTTATCTTTGACTTATGTTGTAATGATTTCTTTGAGGGAAACAGTCAGTACATCCGTATAAGTAATAGGGGTGGGAATCACAAGTGGCCCGATGATACGATATTGTCATGATACTTGGGCCACGATACGATATTATCACGATACTTGGGCCACGATACTAGAGACGCACCAATACTTTTTTTTCGGATCCGATCCAATACCGATACCTGGGCTGAGCCTATCGGTCGATATTCGATGCGGATCCAATGCTAATGTTGAATGAATGAACTGTATACCTTGCCCTGTGAGTGAAGGCATCAGGCATGACATTAGCCTTGTTAAAAAAAGGAAACAAATTAACACAGATATAAATTTGCGAAATGTTATTTATTAACAAATAACAAATTGCACATTAGCACACAGCAAAAAGAAGTAAGACTTCCATGTATTAATAGAAAAATTTAGTCATTCATTTGATACCTGATCCAGTTTATTTTTCAATATCGAAGCCGATATCCGATCCAAATATCGGATTGGTGCATCCCTACATGATACGATATAATTGAGATTTTTAACATTTTCCAATACAGTGAGTATTGCAATACAATATATTTCGATTTAGATATTTCTTTCAACTGTTTAGCTAATTTAGCATTTGGCTTTCCTTTATTTTTGTCTTATCTACACTCCATTTTATTTGCGTGTAGCACATCTTGCAAACCTTTTATAAATTTGTCGTACTAACTCTCTGCTGATCTGTGATGTCACCTCTGCCAACCTCACTGGACAAACAGTTGATTTTGTTTTTCCATTGTTATAGATTTAACTTTAAATAAGCATTTAATTTGAAAAATCGATACTTGGTGATGAGACGATACGATATTTCACCAGATGAAATATCGCGATACAGTGCTGTATCAATTCTTTTCCCATCCCTAATAAGTAAATGACTATATATGACTAAACAAGGATAATTTCATTAAATATTAGAACTGAAGCAAAACTATTTGTGTCTATATGTTTTCAGTATCCACGCAGAGTCATAATTGGCAACACAGAATCACCACTTTCGTAAACTTTATCTCCCAAGTCCATATTTATACAATTTATTTTGGCATAAGATACAAATTTTCTTTACTTTTCATATCTCCTAATCAACTTTTTTCACTCATCCAATTATTAATGATCAGGATGTCCATTCGTTAAGTCAGCGTTGTGAAAGATAATGACATGTTGAAAATAAATGAGCCCACTCATAATCATGCCTAATCTGCCATTGCAGCCCTTCTCGAGACAGACATTAATCAGGTTTGAATCCAGAGGGATACTTTATTTGCGATGCCTCGGGGATACAGTGAGTGCAGACACTTAAGCCAGATTCGAGCTGCTCTGACTTTAATACAATGACCACTAATTGCTAATTATGAGAGCCTCTGATGGGCAGAAGAAGAGTGTGTTCAACCTATTATTGTTTATTCCTCATTATGTTGAGCTCTGTGCTAATGATTCCATTTTATTCACAGTACATACACTGAACAGTTTACCTACTGTCATGAGCAGCACATGCACTGTGCCGGATATAGTGACTGCACATGGGTCAAGACTGCAGGAAAACAAAGCTTTAAAAACGGTGCTGTTTCATAGTCTTAATTGAATTTAAACGATTGTTTGCTTAGAGGGCCATAAAGTCCCTCGACGAAATGTCTCTAGAATGGAGCCATAACATCCAGCGAAGTCTTTAAAACAGTCAAGGAGACATAACAACAAATCTCTGAGCAGCTCAACTGTAAAAACTAATTGTTATTGTTTGTGGAAAACTCCTCTCCAAAGCCATTCAGCGTTGAATCAAGACAAGATCTAAGCAAATATACATAATGTGGTTTTATAGCTAAGTTGTGTTCCTGCAATTCCCAAATGGTCACCCTCAGGATACAAACTGAAGATTGCACCGCAGCAGGGCTGCTAATGACTTTAATAGTTTCTGGCGTTGTGAAAGTACTGCTCAGCAACCAGCACTGATCATACAATCTAAGTTTGAGGACATGCAGTGCAGACAATCATTGTATATTGAGGCCTTAATACACAGATTCTACAGTAGGTCTCTGCCACATGTTGTTCCCAGGGCGCTGTGGGGCTGATAATACAGCAGATCACCCTCGCAGGGCCACTTTTTAGACTTTCTAGTGCAACATCATCATTAATGACTTCTAAACCTGTCATCAGTTTCAAGCAGAGCATTTGTAATCTGCCTTTTACATATTACAAGCTCATGTAAAAGTCATTAATTCTCATAGAAAGAAACTATCATGCTTCAATGATGTGGAGAAAGTTTTAGGTCCTCCTTGATTTCAGCGTTGAATTTTTACTTACTCTTTTACCCGCTTAAAGGAGGTTTTTTAAAGGAAATAAGGGAGACGTGAAGACACATGAGCAAAGGTAGGCACATGAAGACAATCCCTCGGAATCGAACTAAGCTAATAAAACAATATGTCATAAAAGTAATAATCCTACTACCTTGAACCCCTGATTATGAGCCTCAGATTTCCTTTGTCACAACATGGTGCAGTTACATAAGAGCATTTGCAGTTTTGATGTTCAGAGCAAGTGATTTCTTTGCAGGCATATGAGCTCCAGCTCATTTATTAAAGTAGGGCACCCCTGCGCAGCCTGTCGATCCGCTCTGCAGTGTTATTGTACAGTACGAGAAGCGTGACGTGACAGGAATAGCAATTTGTTTCGAGGAGGCATTTGGCTCTTCCTGTGATTGACAGTAACTTCTGATTGGGTGTATCGCTTCGTGCTTCTGTATGCTGTTTGTACTGAAGGGCATCTGCTGGGTTTTTATGGGGAATGCTCTCAGGTCATTGTTGTCACGTTAATACAAGAGACACTCACTAATGAGAACTCAGGCAAGGTGAACAGCAGCGTATCAACTTGTGATCTGCTATACAAGATACAGTGTGTTGGTTTAATCTGAAGTGTCCTCCACACCGTAGATAGATATATTCACGATGAAAGGTGAAGAGAAGTGTTCATGAAGGTCTCCTCTCTGATGAGGATTTTGTGTCTGTAGTTTTTATAAGATTTCATCGACAGTGGGCAGGGAATTTAAGGAAACAACCCAACAACTGACATCAGCCTCTGTTTTACATTGGGCTCAATCCTGATTGGTGTTCTGAATATGTGACACCACTTCTGTATAGCCCCGCCCACCCCAATTTGATCCAAAAAACACAGAGGCTAGAAAAAAGGGTATAAACTAGGATCTCGTTCAAGAAGGAATCAAAACTGGTGCAGCTTTTACAAATAATATATATATATATATATATATATATATATATATATATACATTTTTTTTTTTTGTAAACAGTCTCGCTTACAGAAGGGGGAGATTAAAAAAAAAAAAAAGGTTTTCAGGCCATGAAAAAGTTGTTAAATGCAGGTTCAAGAATGAAGGTGCTTGTTTGTGCATTTGAATCTCCACTCGATCATTTCAGTCTTGTGGCTTTAAAACCTCTGCACTCCTCTCATTCTGCTCAAAGCAGGATCAAATGATAAGGTTAGCTCTGCATTTGAAAAAGTGAATTTCTTGTGCGCTTCTTTTTGTATGACCACTTGTCCGAAAAGACTAAATCCACAGCACGTGTAAAGCCCAGGGACTGTCTCAATAGATAAAGTTTCACCTGACCTATATGTTGCATTCAACTGGCCAGGGAGCGAGGCTAATCTAAGTACGCAGAGTTGATATTTGTTTCACCCCTGGCTGTTGTGTGGATCCTAAATTATACATCTTTAGCTGCACTTGCTCTTTGTTGTCAAGGCAATATCGCCCCGTCAGTGGTCACACAGGGTCAGAACCCCTTTTTCTTCTTTTACACTGCAGTCTGTACATATTAATAGGTTTCCAAAACCTGTTCTGTGACTTCATTTGTCATTTTTCTGCTTTTTGTAATATGTTTTCTTGCAAAAGTATTTCCGATGTCAGATTTCAAGATGATGACAGGGTGCTCTTAGACCACACTTCTGTGTTTCAATAGTTGGGAGAAACGGTTTTACTACTTTAGTGCTCTATTATTACTTTTTCATGAAGTAAAATAATTTATTCAAGTTTCTTAATTTGTCAGAAGCCTGACTGAAAGTTGCAGGGGTTTATTTCATATGGCATTTACAGCACAGAGAGATACAGTATCTCATATCATCCGTCCATCCATCATTCATTTTTTATAGGGTTGCTTCAGGGTGAGGAATAAAAAAGAAACGAACTCAACGGCACTTTGGTTTTCTTCATTTGGTGTCATCAAAAGGAGTCATTTTTGTATCAAGTTTGCAGCGGCTATAATTTGATTGAATCCCTGCCACCAGCTCAACCATTACGCTCCAAAAACACCTCTGTTCTCCTGTACTCTTTCATTTTTGACATTCCAATTATCTTTGCATCAATCATTAAAACCTATTAACATTTCATGTGTTTTTTTATGGATTATCTTATATTGCACTTCTAGTCTTAATGCTAAAGATTTTTTTTCCGCCTGAATGAAAATTTAACTGCTCATTATATTTGACTCTGCGTGTCACTTTATCATGCAACATCCAAATGGACTCCCCCTATCATCCCTTTTGATTGAGGTTATAGCAGGATGTGGTGTTTTATTACGTGCAGGTTTAATTAAAATTTAATTACACTTTGTGCTTTTTATCAACTTTTAAAGACAAAAAGTTACTTTAAGAGTTAGTTGTGATTGATGAGTGGTACTCTTTTTTGTTTTAAGGTTATTTTCAAAACACAGAGGTCATCAGTTGTGTCTTTTTATGGGCTGATTTAACATCCATGCAGGAGTATTGTGGAAGGTTTTGGCAAACAGTATCCTGGAGTGTTTAGATTAAAATCAAAAACGTGTCCTTTTCAGCACCTATTTTTATAATTAGTGACTTGAAAAAGCACAAATGATAAGGGCAAAATTCTATGCAGGAACAAACTTTTTGAATTTACTTTAAAATTTTAAGTTCAAACTTTAGTAAATTTATTAGTTTGTTACCAAGTCCAAAATGTGTCAGAAAATTCAATAAAAAGTTCTGAGAAGTAGTTCACTGTTTTCTCATATACCAATCAGCGTTTTCCCAGTCTCATTTCACAACAGTATTAAGCATTTAAAATCAGGGTATCTTCACATTTTAGAGGCTGTTTTGAAATTGTGTGTTTGAAGACAAAAAAATAGAATAAATAAAGATGTTTGTTATTCGCCCCCAAATTGATAAATTCAGTGAACACTGTAGCGCCAGAGTAAATATGTCAAACCTGTGTATAACCAAGTCTAAGCATCGGTGACACCATATGTGAAATATCCTCCACCACGCCAGTCTGTAATACTTGCAGATTGACTGGCTTCATTTGCACCCCAGGGTTTATCAGGCACATTTTCAGTCCTCATTCCCCTCAAAAGCTGTCACTCTTTGGGTGACTTTGGAAAGAAACCCCACGGTAAGATTAATTACAGCCAGGAAGCGGATCAGTGCTGACTAACTAGCTCACAGTGGCTTTTAACGGCCTCAGACCTCCGTAACAACAGGAACCTGTAACTCAATACCCAATCCATTAAGTGCAGAACTTAAGATGGACAACACTTCCACTAACTCCACTGAATGAACCTGATAGGATTATATTTGTCAGCATAGGATCAGTGTCAGACTCAGACCTGGGTCTAAAAGTCAGGATAGAGGTACATGAGACAGCGGTTTATGTTTGCTGCTCTACCAGGGAAAGAAAAGTTACAGTCAGAAATATTTGAGCTGAAGTGCAAAATATTGAAATGAAGAGGAGGTTTTGCATGTCGTGTGTAGTGTTATCGCAGCTTCTTTGAGTTAAATGTGGCTAAATTTGCTCGAACACCATGTTGACCTTAAGACGTTTCATTTTGAAAGAGGGATCTACTTAGATTCAGGGTCTAGCATTTGAAGTGCCAGTATTTATTCATAAGTTACCAGCTCCACATTACTGTTCAAGGAGTGTTCCCCTCATGACTCAGACCAACTGTGACTCACAACTACAGTGCCAGAGGGATGAAAATTGAGAGACTCTGTGATTGTCTGCACATAAAGTGGTGCAGAAGTAGACCAAGTTATTAAACGATTAAAGCAGAGTCGTGCATTAACATCCAGAGAAAATCTTGTCATGGTCCTGCGAGTGGCTGCTTCCAAGAGATTGAGAGATTGGCAGGACTGTATGAGTTGTACTGTTTGAATTTAACTAACATTGCCTAATAATTCACTGAAGGTTATTTCTGTTCTGATGGTATTAACGTAAATACCGATACCACAAATATGTGATTCATGCTTGACTACATTTCAGTTTAGATCTCAAGGATATTAAAAATACATATTATTTAGAAGCTTTTAAAAACAATGCACCTTGTCTTAATGTTTTCTGTTATTATTATTTTTGGATAGAATCTTATTTTCTTCATGAAAATAAGAAGTTGTCTTTGAAAAATAAAAAATGAATTTTAAAATGAGGAATTGTTTTGATCAGGATCATCTCATATTCAGTCCAGTATGGCATTAGAAGAACTCAGACAAGTTCGGCCAAAGTATCGCCCTGAAATTTCAATGAAATTTTTATATTCCACTATTTTTAAGGACTAAAATGTTCTTTTTGGCCAATTTCAAGAGTTACAATGTTAGTTTTTCTCATACAAAACACAATACAACCTTTTTTATCAAACAAGCCTTTAATAAGGGATTTTTTTTTGCTGCACTGGTTTGAAGTAGTGAGCAGAGTGCGAAAAATGACGGGACCAGATCTCTGTAGTTGCCTATTTTCTTCACTGCAGCTAAAACAAAACTACATTTTTTCCCTCTAGAAACATCCTTTCAGGTCCATGACGGTATCGAAACACTTTTATTCTCTCCTAATTATAAAACTGACACACAATAACTGAATCACTTCCTGTTTGCGTGCATTAAATTACTTTAGCTGACACCTGGTTGCAGCAGTAACAGACGCTAAAAGTAACTATATAGAAAATCATTTTTCCCTCTGGTTGTCAGGTTTGCTTTTGTAGGTCATATGGAATCATCAGTATCACTTTCAGTTTCTTTTTTAACCTAAAAACCTGCTGGAGCTTTAGCTAAATATAAAATCATGATACTTTTGCAGCTACTGTAAGATGTGAGAGCAGAGGTAGAAAGGGAAAAGCAGCACCATCTGGAGATGATACATCCGTACGCTTTGATATAGGCTGACAAGAGTTTTTTTATGTCAGTACTTGCAGGTGTGGGTACATTTTTTTTCCTCTCTTGCTCACTCATGTTATTAGTCTTTCTTTGGATCACTTACCACCTTTAATTTTCTCTCATGCATACTTTTCCCCTCACACACGTACCTGCACTCTTCCACTTCTGTAACCAACAGCCTGAGTTAAAGAAAGGCTACAGAGGCCTTTAACTAAAAAAAGGAGCAAGTTACAAACTGTTGCACTCAGATACTTGAGGATACTTTTAACATATCCTGGGAGTAAATAAAGAAAGCAAGTAAAAACTGAATGAGATTGAAATGAGGTCCTTGGGAAAAGAGAACAGCGTTTTATAGTTGCGTAATGAAAAAAACAGTGCGATGCCAGTCAAAGAGATTGATTTCCATGTTCACAGGGGGGTCAGCTTACATATCAAAGACGCTGTGATGTGATTTTGATTATGACTGCTTCAGTGCCACCCTACTGTGATGATATTTTTGGTTGCTGTCTCAGACATTTGAAATTACTTAAACAACAAAATGAGCTGACAGACAGGCATTTGAAGGAGCAGATGGAGGATTAAGAGCCGTTTCTTAATGAGTTACCTTTCAATTTAGACTTGAGTAATAAGTGGATGTGCGGCATTTAGAGTTCACAAAAGTTCTTGCGTAACCACAGAGCAATGGTAGTGTTTATGAGATTAATGAAAGGGCAGTGGTGTTCACGGTTTCCTCCACTGTATTATAACCAGAGACCTCTGTCAATGCTACTGCAAAGACATCCAATTAAAATCAGAAAATATGGCCTTTGAGCTGGAGGTTACCCCTCCCAGGGGTGTTGGGCAAAAGATTGTACATGGACAAATGTCCATGAGTGGAAATATACTTACCCTTGACTGTGTAAGGTAAATCTGATGGTTCGGTTGTGAGAGTCGAAGTAATTGCAGAGCCTGTTGGCAACTTTTTAATCTTCTGGTTGTTGCTTCTATATCGTTGTGCAGTTTTATATGACAGCAACATACTTTGATTAAAAATGAATTAAAAATTGAAAAGTCTCTTGAGATAGAATGATATTCCATTTATTCTTCTCTGATTAATATTATTAATACATTTTTTCATATTAAGACCCTCTATTATTTCTTCTTTCCATCTCTACGTGTTTCTCTCTCTTTCTCTCTCTCCCTTTCTGTCTGTCAATCTATCTAAATCCTTTTCCGTCTGTCTGTCTGTCTGTTTTGTCCATCACTGCCAAATTCCCCCAGATCCATTTTTTGGTCTGTCTCCGCTCTGCCACGGCAGCCAAGCTGAAAGGTTTACATCTTAATCAATAGGTTAACATCCGCAGAGATGCGTCTCTGCTCAGTCTCAGCTCCACTAATCTAGAGCCCTCTGCTGCAGATACGCACGGCTTCTTTTTTTTTCTGCTGGGCGCCCAGAGCATGACACATCAATCGCTACAGGGCAGATAGAGGAAGAGTGGAAATCAGACATTGAAACAACTTTAAAATATCTGCTTAGTTTTTAAAGAAAAACACAGTTTTGGCACATGATTTTATTTTACTCAACTGCACCCAAAAAAATTAATAAATAAAACATGAGAGTGAGCAGAGCTTGGCCTGAAGTCAACAGGTAAGTGGTTCTCAGAAATCATTCTGAATGTAGAAAACTGATTCTGTATTTAACGTGGGTAATCCTTGGTCTCCTGAATCCAGCTGACCGGTGGCGCTGCTCCGTGCTTCGCTCTGAGAATGAGGCGTGGTGGGTGTTGACAGATGAGAGAGCATGGTGCAGTATGCAATTTGTGGGGTATACACGCTTGCCGTGATGAATTAAAAATCCCATTGTGTGTTTTAGTCTATATAAATTATTGATAGACGCATGCTGCAATGAGAAACTGCCTCATCACTGCTTCAGTACATGATTTCCACCTGACACCCCAAAAAGTGGCACAAGTCCCTCCACACAGACTTGCCAACTGTGCGCACTGATTACAAATCCATACCCATGGGTTTGTAGATGCCTTGTCCTCCTACAGAGTCTTTCAGATGACACTGATCTATGGCAGCAGCAGCATATGCTGAGGCTATTTGCCAACTGCATCCAAACAAAAGAAGTAGACAAGCTGAGTGCATCATATTAACGGGTTTTATGCTGTGTTCCAGTTATGTCGGATTTCGAAGCTGGGAATGATGTTACACCCGGGTTGATGGTGTTCCAGTAAACGAGTTGTAAAACCAAGATGGACGCCTACAGTTAGCTGTTGTTTACGATTGTCAGCTGTCATTATACGTTGTCAGTTGTTGCTAGCGGTTGTTAGCTATTAGTTGTTGTCAGCTGTTGTTAGTTGTTGTTAGCTATACCAGTTGTAAACAACACATAACACAATATTTTACTCTTACAAACACTATAGCACAGTTAGATGTTGGGCAGTACAACATGTTCTGCTTATTTAATTTCACAAAAACAAAAAAGAAGTGCTAATAAATAATACATTATGAGAGCTTTCACTGTTACTCTTTACTGTTGATGCGCTGCGCTGCCATCTTGGAATATGATGTTGTCAAGTCAAGGGTCTTCCTCAATGACAGGTCACTAGTCAGACAAAAACACGCCTCTTTCTGCTGAAAATGAGCAACTTTAATGAAATCAGATATCTGAGTTTGGAGCCGTATTTACTTGCAAGTGACCCACACAATCCACTGAAGGCTTCTTAAAGTCGCCCTGTCCACAGTCACTTTCCTCACACAGGAGTGCCACATGACATTTAAAAACACTGAAGCTCACTGCTACTTGGCTATAGGATGGGTTAATGATCCCAAAGTTTGTTATATGGAGATGAAGAAACTTGTCTTTTACTGAGTGGTTATAGGACTACATAGCTGGTGGTTGAACTAATAGATTTGTTGAGTTAAGCTTGCATTTGTGTTGTCACCTGCTGGCAAAGCCTTCACAAAGCCTCATTGTGACCCCAACTCACCCTGTGGCGGTTCTCCTGTTTGTCTGTCAGGGTGTGTTTTTTTTTTTTTTCCCCCATTGTCACTGTCTCCTGACGAGACTACCTGCCTCTCTGCCCACATTTTTGTTTGTCTTTAACTATTTCCATGCTTCTGCTTCCCTTTTGTGGTGGAGGTAAAAAGTTGCCAACCATGAGTCATGTCTAGGGGTGTCCCAATACAACTTTTTTAGCTCTGATACAATACCGATATTGTAGCCTTTAGTATTTTCCGATACCGATATTGATCTGATATTAGCACAAACTTGTGCATGACAAGTTTACTACTCAGCTGCAGCGTCTTTTTCAGACTTTAATGGAAAACACAGCCACGGGGCCGACATCACTCTTACTCCTTGGTACTTTGTTAGTACCTTAGTACACACTGTTGTTGTGATCCCATGGGCTCTACATGCTGGATCAGGGTAATGCTAGATAGAGGTGCTGGATCGGAGTCTGGAATGGACTGCTTGTATCAGAGTGCTGATATTGGAGATTTTAGATGCAGGCTGAAATAATCTGATAGATATCTGATTCTGGACTAAGGCTGCACGATATTGGAAAAAACAAACATTGCAATTTTTTTCAACCATGCGATATATATTGCGATATTAAAAAATACAGGAATTTTCACCAGATGACCTGAATAGCACTCTATGCTATGCTGCACTGCTGAAATCTTGAGGACATTTAACCTGCACTCATCATACCTCTTTTTTTGAATGTTAGTGGAGTGGCTTCTGTCTGTCTTAAGATATTTTTAGCTTGCTTTTATTGTGCTGAGACATTATTGAGGCAACACATTAAGGCACTGCCGACAAAGAGCACGTGTTCAGTCGACATTGACCTTTTTGTAACCGAAATGATTCCAGACAACTGACTTTCCCTTTCTTTTTGGCAGCAAGTTTTAATTTTTGGTGGTTTTCTTTTGTTCGTTGCTCATTTTGCAATTGTTGTTGTTACCGTTGTCGCGCCGAGAAACGCATGTCCTCCGTGAATTGCGTGCGCCTCACGTTTTTCATGCTACTGTGACAGGGTGCCTGACCATTGGTGAGCCACTAAATATGATAACAAAAGGCACAACTGGATCTGTGCGATATATTAAATGATCTGGTGCCAATAAAAGCAGAAATTGTTGGTTTGATTTAAGGTGGAAATATAGATAATTAACAACTTCTTCTGTAGAATTTAAAATACTGTATGTAAGACATCCATGAAGAAAAAAGGGGAAAAACTCCACAGCTGCATGAGTATATTCCAGTGTCTTTTATGATTGAGTTGCTTCTAATGATTCATAGTGTTAGATGCAAGCATGTGTGTATAATTTATCACATCAAATTAAGTTGAAGTCATTATTGAGATTGATCATTTGGAAAAGGGGGGTCACTATAAATCACTGCAGCTGTCTCAAAACTCTCAGCCATAATGGTTATGGTTAAATACCCAGTACATTCCAACAGTAAACTGACCGACATTTGGTCTGCTCGTGCTTTACACCTTGTCTGTATTAGTTCAGCTTTGCCTCCCTGCCTGTAATTACTGCCCCCATCTAAATGGGCTTAGCAGGCTGGTGTGAAGGAGTCCCAGTGGGGCCCAGCGTGGGTCCTTTCAGCCTTGTATATTCCAGCCATGCCATTTCAAAAAAATGTATTACCGCCTTGCAGCTCTGGTAAATGTCATGCCATTCTCTCCTGTGTGGGAGGAATCGCAGCTTCGGCGGTGGTCAAAGAACCCCAGCCCTCAAACCAACAGGAGGCTGGGCATTTTGAGGAATGGGGATAGATGAACAAACAATACGTCTTGCTCTACTTTTTGGAGAGGGGGGGACTGAAGTGAGCGAGAGAGAGAGAGAGAGATACAGAGAGAGAGAGAGAGAGTGGCGGTAACACGGAAAAGATGAAACAGAATGTCCTGAATGTGTTCACAGAGGAGAGGCAGAACATGCTCGACATTAAAATTCACCTGTGGTCCTCTTTTATTGGGTGTCAGCTGTGTTAGGTCAATTTTTATTATGCTGGATGCTGACCTTGTTTCATGGACTCTGCATTTATACATATTTTGAACAGAAAGGCCTCTGAAAAGTCTTGGCTTTGCAGAGTAAAACCATTTTTGCAACATTTACTCTGTAATGTTAAATGGGGATTGTACAGAGGGACAGTACAAGGGTTTGTTTTGATGCAGTTAGTCTCAGATTTTTATTGAACATTTTGGCTCGGGCAAGAAACTCATAGTTTAATCAAAGGTTAGCGCTGTGTTGTGTGCCATGTAGATGTTCAACGATTTTATACAGAATTAACCAAAAGTAGTTTATAAATGTGTGGATATTGCCTAAAAGTAGTCATATTTAAGCCTCTACAAAGGAACAGATGAAACAGACTGTCACTCAAACTTTGCATGCACATTTTGCAACCTTTCTCAGCGATGCAGATAAAAACGTAATTGGGACAGCTTAATTTTTTTTTCCCCTAATGTTGGTCAGGAAATGGGACAATCTTGATTATGTGATGACGCCACTTTTCAAATGCCTGTCCTTGTCAAAAGTCTTTCTGAAGCTACAAAACAGTTTCAGATGAGTCTCTGAGATACTATTAGTTCAAGGAGGAGATAATTCTCAACAACATCGCCACAGCCTTTTCTCTCGTAAAGGTGAAACACGAAATGCTTTGGCGGAACATAAACGCTGCGTTTGTTTGCGGCGCTTATCTATCAGTCACATGCTTGCACGCTCCTGTGGGACTCTTGAAGGTGGGTGGAATAATTTTTAGTCGGTCAGCAAGTTTTCAAACAATTTCAGGTCTTTGTTTCTTTTGGAGCGCCGTGTGTCGTTTGTGATACCTGCGAATCTTCAAAGTGAAATGAGTTGGTCCTTGTTTGTATCTGTGTAAAGACTTCACGTGTGGGTAACACTTTTGTCGTAACAGTTGTACAGCTGACTCACTGCCTTTAACCAGAAACATAGATGTTTCAAAACTTACCGAACTGACAACTCATAATTCAACACCGTGCTCCTCTGCGACTACACCATTCCTTCCACTCAAAAGTCTGCTAATGTTGTAAATATGAAAGTGTATTGCCCTTGAACGTACCACAACCTCTCTCTCTTAAAGTGTAACTTTTTTTTAATAGGAAAAGTGTCCTTTAATCAAGTTGTTATGGTTTGTGCCGTTGCAGTACATTAGTGTGCTTTAAGGAAAAGCAGTTGGTACATTAAAACAGTCAACTATCCATTTAGAATTGTATGACATCCATGTGTCTTGTAGCGTATTAACAGATAGTTGATGAGTGTATCTTTGCGCTCACAGACGATTCCTCCATTTCATGTCGCTTCACTGTCACTTGAATTTTCTTCTTTATTAAAGGTGCACTACCAAAGAGGTATTTAGAGTGCCGTAGCTCTGGGGATGATGTATGTGTTTATGTCATGCGACGCTGAGCCTGAGGAATGACTTGGAACCAGAATGAATGAGTACATGTGATTAATACCCAGACAAAAAAAAAGGAAAATAGATAGATTGACAGAAGTAAATGCAGTTTTTTGACTGCTTAATTGCAGCAAAGAAGCTGGTATGTTGTAAAATTTAAATGTCATAAAGCAACACACACTAAATTTTTTTATTCTCAGTGTGAGCTTTCATTATTGGTCAAACATCATTAAAACTAAAGTCAGCTGAAGTTTATTTAAAATGTGTAGCTGTAGATGTGTTCCAGTTTGAGAAATAAATCAGAAAGATCAAATGAATCATCTTCATATTCCGAGGCAATTAGCCAAGCAGGGAAGGTCTCCCTTGTGCCAGAAGACTCAGAGTGTGTATTTTTACTCAAAAGTGAACATTCATCATATCGCAGCTTGGTTTCCCGATCAGCTTAAAGTGTCCCAGAGGTGATTCTTCTTTAAAGACATTAATCATGAATGCTTATTACACATGACCTGCTGATTCCAGGTTTCTTCATTTATTACTAGGAGAGGAAGACTCCCTTCGAGCGCGGTCAAATACCTACACCTGATCTCTGTGAACCCCAGAAACACCTCCCATCGCAGTCCTCGACCCACATCTCAGCCCCCATCTGAAAAAAAAGAAAGATTTACTGTAGTGCTGGTCTGTGTGCTTTTTAATGTGGTAAAACAAGAAATGTGATATTTAGGTTTTAAAAAAGCAGAACAAAGAAAACCATCTTTCACTTTATTCTGAAAGGGAGGAACATTCACAAGAGACACTGAAATAACCCAAGTGTCCATAAATAATAAAGAAATACTTTGTTCTAATGTTTTACCATGTCACGGAGGAGGAACAGTTACTTGATTTTGTGCACTTCACCGGCTGCCATCAAACTGTAAATGATCACAGCCATACCACAGTCATTACACATGAGGGGGATCAACTGCACCGACAGTTGATGTCTCAGTAACACTTCATTTGACCCCTATCTCTATAACACATAAGTATATGTAAAATGCGTTATTATCATGTTATAGCACTGTGTAACCATTGTTATAAACACTCATAAATGATCATAATGCTTTATAGCAATAAATATAACACATTATGAAACATGATTATAACGCATTATACATTTTTTATAATGTGATAAGGAGAGGCATCAAATAAAGTGTTACTGATGCCTCTTCTCTTACTACTACATTACGTACCTATTTGTATAACTAATAAGTCGTTTGCATTTCTTATTCATGTTTTACTGGTTTTAAGGTCACGTTGTTTAGAAAAACACATACAGATGACATACAGGAAGAGCTCGGCCTTCTGCGAAGGTTTTGTTTCAAGGTGACGCTGGTCTACTTGAAGCACTTTTCTGTTTCTTTGTCTTACAAACGACAGAGCTCTATGAATTTTGTAGTTATTAGCCCACCTTTCATATTAAAAAACTGTTTACTTAAGCTTCAATAAAAATAATGGACAATTCTCCTCATTACAAACAGAAAAAACCTTGAATGTGTAGAAGATTAAAAAAGGGGCAGGATACACAATTAGAATTTAAAATATAGAAAATATTTTGCTGAGGTTTACAAAATGTATTTTTTGCTGTGAGAGAAAGGTGCAAGGTCGTTGTCCAAACTCTTAGCCCAGTAAAAGTTGACTTAAAATTAAACTGATTTTTTAATTCTAATGAACATACCAGAGTGCATGTACTCAGGAACTGCCACGGAGTTGCATATGAAGACTAATACACTTACTAGGGCTGAGCAATATGTTGTTTTGACACTGCAGTTGTAATGTGCGCATTAGTCACCACTTCATTGCTCAAGATTCATATAAAATTAATGTCTCTCATATACAACCCCTAATGCAGCCCCTCTTGTGAGGAGCTGATCACCGTGCAGGCAGTGTCTGTATCTATGTTGCATGATTGTAGATTGCAAACATGCATGTGAACCACAACAACACGGCTGTCACAGATACCCAGATAATGCTTGATTGAGTAAGAAGGTTTCAGGACGATGTTTACGCTAGACATCTCCACCTGCAGTGTATGTACATCGTGGTGTTGTAATCCTCATATGTAAAAGAAGACAGCGGGTTTTCAGGTAAATATTAGTTCCCATCACAAAGCTGGTGACACAGATCAAAAATCGATTTTAGCATCAACACAAAATACTGAATATGTCTAGATAAATCAGTTTCATTTAGTACAGTTGATGACGTCTTGTCCTTCCAATATTCTTTCCTCCATGCTGGTGTCGGAGGACTTGACACTAGGGGTGGGAGAAAAAATCAATTCACATAAGTATCACAAATTTTTTTTTACAATTTTTTAATCGATTTTTATGTTCAAAAATCGATTTTTTTCTTCAAATTTAAGAATAAACCTTAAAAACTGACTTACATGTGATGTGTACTTTTTGGGGAAATATGGCTCCTGGAATAGTCAGTAGACAATCATAATCATTCATCTGTTTCACTGGTGTTAAAAATGCAAACTAAAAATCGAGAAAATCGACAATATGGTAGAATCGCAGTTTAAATCGAATCGGCGTCCAACAAAACGTAGAAGAATCAAATTCGGGAGAAAAGCATATCGTCCCAGCCCTACTGGACACCCTTTGATTAAAGGAGGGAGATTTGATTTGAAAGCATAAAATAGACTTAAAGATACAAATTACAAGTTGTTGTTATGTCACTGAAACTTTTGTTTCAAAGTATTCTGCATTTTTCAGGTATAAGTTCCTTATTTTTTTTTTATGAATATAAATATATTTTGCAGAAAGAAAAAAGAATCAAACTGCAGTTTTTTCAATGTCATGCAGCCCTAATATTTACTATTCTTACTTGCGACACTGTACTACATTCTCAGCCGCTCCAAGCTGTAGGACATAGAGCCACCAGGCAGGTTACATCGGCTTGTACACAGGGAGGGTGAAACAAAGGTTATAGAGGCTCTTCAATATTTTACAGGGGAACCCCTCCCTCGACATAATTAGGCAGATTACACGTTAGCCATGCTCCCGTGTGCAGAAATGTTTTAAAACCGCTCTATCCTCCAGGCAAATGGAAAGAAAAGTCAAAAAGAATTTCACGCTGTCCGAGCAGCCGTGAATGTGCTATTAATGGCCAAAGCCACAGCCAGAGCCAAAAGAAAGAAGAAAAAAAAGAAAGACTTTCTCATGTCAAGTAGGTATGAATTTTTTACAGGTTTGGAGTACAAAAGGTTTGGTTAAAAATTTAAAGGCCTCGTGGCTGACAGTGGCAGTCAGATGTCGAGACAGTTCAATCACTCCTGCTGTTTCAGTTTCTGTAGCTCCACACCGCTCTTCAACCACTATTTATCATTTACATCTACAACACTGTTTGGTACAATGTTTCACAAATGTTAGTGTGACAGAGAGGAAAACAGTGTCTGTATGTGTGTCACTGGTGTCAGATCCAGACTTTTCTATCATAACTGAAACTTCAGCTACCAAAACAATCATATTGGTCCAATCAGACTGCAAATAACACGCTATACAAAATAGAAAAGATTAAATCAACAATCACCAGTCAAGTTAGAATTTTCGATAATGACAAAGCTTTGAATTTCATCATTCAGATGCAAGGTGGTTATTTTAGAGCATAAGGGGGATTAAATAAAAAAATGTAAATGCAAAAGATCAATTGTGCAAAAAGGAGGCTATATCACTTCAAACCTATAGGTCAATGTTCAACTCTCTTTTTATCAGATCTCTCAGTCACAGCCTGTAGTTTTGGCAAATCATAAAATGTTTGATTAAAACCCCTCTGGCAGGACAGTTCCAGATGCCAAAGTATCATCATTAATTGCAGCTTCCACCAGCCATGAAATTAACCCCAACAATAGTGATGTGAGTAACAAATCACAAATGTTTCCCAACAAGACTTGAACCAAAGGCATCTGTGTATAAAAGACTGCATAAACAAGAAAGGAAAAAAAAAGAAGGTGTATTCAGCAGGGGCAGCACAGACGAGGCTGCTGTGGCTGCAGGGCAGATCAGTTTTTTGAGTGGTGTAGGGCCAACTGGATGAGGCACGGCTGCCATGGCCTCTCTGCTCCCGTAATATCCCTATCCTCTGGTTTCCTAACAGACCAAGAGCACGCATGATTTTTTTTTTAAACATGCCTTATTTCCTGTGGTACAAAACAGTTTGAAGGATTTCACAGCACTCCATGACCTTGTTTAAACACTGCTTGTTTCTCTGGTTCTTTTTCAAGGGGATAGACTTAGACTTTTAGCTGTGTCAGCATCATATGTTGATTTATTTCAACTACACTTTAATAATCTACCAAATTATCAGTAAAAACATTACACATGGTGGTTGATATTCAAGTCTCATCCCACTATTCTGACTATCCAACACAAAGTCAAATTGTCAGGCTTGCAACGTCCCTGAATGTTTCTGTGCATAATAGGGGTGGGAATCACTAGTGGCCCCACGATACTATGTTATGACAATACTTGGGTCACAATACCATATTATTGCAGTTTTTAACAATTTGCAATACAGTGAGTATTACAATAGAACATATTTCAATTGATAATTTTTTTTTTCAACTGTTTAGCTAATTTAGCATATGTCTTTCCGTTGCGTTTGTCTTATTTGCGCAGTATTTTGTTTTCATGTAGCACATCTTGGAAACTTTTTATATATTTGTTGCACTAACTTTCTCCTGCTCTATAATGTCACCTCTGCCAACCTCACTGGACAAGCAGTTGTTTTTATTCTCCATTATCACAGATTTGACTTCATATTGGCAATTAATATGAAAAAATCGATACTTGGTCAATGAGACGATACGATATATCAACAGACAAAATATTGTGAAACCATGCTGTGTCAATTTTTTTCTCCCACCCCTAGTGCATAACTCTTATAATCTGCTTTTATGATACTTATCTTAGATTTTGTGATCAGTGTAAAACCTGTGTATTAAGCTCTTTTAAAAAGATGTGTGTATATGGTGTATATATATATATATATATATATATATATATATATATATATATATATATATATATATGTGTATATATATATATATATATATGTATATATGTATATATATATATATATGTATGTATATATATATATGTATATATATATATATATATATATATATATATATATATATATATATATATATATATGTATATATGTATATATATATATATATATATGTATATATATATATATATATATATATATATATATGTATATATGTGTATATATATATGTATATATGTATATATATATATATATGTTACTATACTGGTGTGCGTCATTCTTGAAATCTATATGTTTTTTTCTATTTTGAATGTGCTTCTTATCAAGTTCATCTTTCTTCAAATATGTCATAAAAGCCTTGAAATGCTCTGCTCTGTATGGAGTAGGATGTGCTTCCCTCATACAGCAATGTAGCAATTAATTGCTTCCTACTTTTCCAATATAATCACCTATGCTATATTTAAACCTCGTACAATCTGTATGATGTTTCCCCAGTGGACAGGAAGACCATCTGTGTTGTCATTTTTTTTTTGCTAATGACATAAGTGCTACAGTTGCACAATTTTTTTCCCTCAACTTGGTCCAAGCTGGATACAATTTCCTACCTTGTCTTCAGTCTGGTGTTTCTTCACAGGAGTTCCTCATTAGGTCATTAGCGCATTAGGCTCTTCTGGTCACATGCTTTCTTGTCCGGGAGGCCCGGTTGTCACATGAGTTTTCATTCATCCTGTTTTGTGTCACAGCATAGAAGTGGCATTGAAGTAGGTGCATGATATGCTGCCGATAGATGCTCTTTGCCGTACGTCCAGGAGGAATCGTGATTAACTGGAGGAGAAGTGGCTCCAGACAGCGAAGTTGAGGATTACTCCTCACAAAGCTGGATAGCTCTTTACATTCTGAGTGTAACATAAAACAAAACACTTGTATGTGTTTGTATGTACATGCACACTAAATACTGTGTAAAAAGACTGAGTTTTGATAATTCTAGTTAGCCTCCGTCAGAGTCAGTGAACCCTTGCCAGTTAGACTTAGCCCAGATAAAGCCAGGATATATTAATCACCAAACAGTGATTCCTGTCATCTTATTTTCATCATGCGCTCGCATCAGGCCCCCGCCTCGGGTACTCTGATTGAATTTTATGGAGGTCAATTGTAAATGGCAGGAGGGGTTTTAAAAATAAAAGTACAAGTGAAATCCTGATGCAATATTTCATCTTGCAGAGGCTGGATAAAGCCTAATGAAATGCGAATGCATCACTGTATACTGCGCTCCTCGGATGGCAAGCCGCACGCCTCCACATTCAGTCCATCAGTATGCAAAGCATCGGACAAGAGGCTGTGGAATCACACGTCTCACGAGACCCCACCACAGAAGGGTTGAGGACATGCAAGTACCTTCCTCACATTTAACTAAACTATTCCTTTTCACAGAGCAGGGAGAAAAGGGGGAGTTGTGTAAAGAGATGTCAGATCCAAAGAAAGGCAACAAGATATGCAGTGTCACCGCCTAGCTATCAAGAGACTTTCTCTTTAATCAAAGGGCCCCATCAGAGTGCCCACAAGCCACTGCAGGCCGTTCATTTGCAGCGGTCTGTGCACAGACTTGCAGAAAACTGCTGGCATACTGAAAGCTCCAGCTCCCTCTCTCTCCCTGCTGCGGTTTCTCTGTAGATCATCTTTGATTGACCCAATTAGGCGAGTCCACCGGGTGATGCTTGCTGCTTATTAGTGTTTCACATTGGCTTAATCATGGGATGCAGAACGTGAATGAGGTGCAGAGCAACCTGGCAGAGGGGCTGACACAGGCCGCCTTTCAAGTGCAAATGAACCCCAAAGCATGGTAACCTGTGGTAGCTCCAACAGCTGCTTTGAATACTTAACAAAACCAGTCTTAATACAATTTAATAGGTCACTGGTTAGGAGAAATATTTGAGGAAAAAACCCATTAGGGCCATTGTTTGACATTTATTTTATTAACACGCGAGGAACAAGGCACGCAAGCCAATTTAATTTCCTCCCCTGCGACAGTTTTAAATGTGTCAACTAGCTCTTTTTGTGCATTATTTAAAATTTGCAGCATTTGTGACATTCTTTCAAGACATAATGGAGCAATATTTTATGAGACGAGCCGCGGAGAGAAGTGTAAATGTGAAAGGAGCGAGCAGCAGAGCATTATGCTACAGATGCAGGTGAACTCCCATGTGAGACGAATGGAGGGGAAAAGGTAATTTGTGAAGAGACCTACCTGCCAAGATGATGAAGAGTTTGCCTTTGTTGATGTTCCCAAAAGTGTCTCCCAGTCAGGAGTCATAAGAGAGCAGAGCTTACAGTGACACCTTGACTGGCAATCAGGGAGAGGCAGTCCGCTACCTTAGCTTGGTGTGTGTTTAAAATAAAGAATATTATTATGTTTTGATATGAGTTCTCTGTCTCTTGCAAAGGTAATTCCTCTTTTCCCTCTGACATTGCTGCCTTTGGGCTTATTGTATGACAGTGTTTGTAAATAGATTAAACTTTCCTTGAGGAATGCAAGAGGCATTCAGTAACCTAGACTATAGTTTTGTTTTTGAAAAAAAAAAAGAAGGTGCAAGATGTTCCTGCTGCTTGATTGAAACGTGAAGAGAAATGGATGCCTGCAAGTTCAACCCTCAGGTTCTGAATGAGGAGATGCTCATTGTATAAACAATATCGTTAACTCTTGAGAATCAAGGTGTGCTTTTGAAAGTTTAATGCCATCATCAAGATCCCAAGGCTCATGACAAGTATGGATGTCCAACAGGGGGTGGACCCAGAGGGTTGGTCAGGGGTGGCATGGACCCTGTTTGAAATATGATTCCAAGGTGCCACCCTGACCCTAAAAGGATTAAAGTTCTCCATCACTACGGTGAATTTCCATCAAGTTCATGATTTTTTAATGATCTATCTGACAGAGAGAGAGAGAGAGAGAGAGAGAGAGAGAGAAAGTATTATATCAGATATGTGATGTGCATCCAAGACATCCAACTCTTGGTATGTATTACGCTAATTGAACATTAAATTTTGCATTAGCATAGTGATTATTGAAACCTTTTTGGACACATTTGATAGCCCTCTGGGCGCAGGTACAGAACACAAAAATTCAGGAGGGCCCGTCTGGGGAAAAGCCTGATCCCTGTAGCTATTGCCGCCCTTAACAGCAGGCCCCGCTGACCTATCTGACCAGCCTGTCACCTTTTGCTGTTGTCACTGTCCCACACTATTTATGTCTGTCCTTACTGTCTGTTGATGTTTGTAATGTGCAATGTCGTCTTTCCTATAACGTACAGTCAGTGAAGATGAATTTCTCCAAGGGGACCAAATAAATCAAATCTCAAAATCTCAATCTTCATTTACTCCAGCCAGGGTGAAATACAGGAGAATGATAATCCAACATTTGTGCTGTGCATCGCGGCCAGAGATCAACAATCATAGGGGATATTTGTACGGCAAACGTGATCTGACAAAGCAGCTTGCTTCGACACAAGGGCTGATACAAAAAGCAGTAGCTGTGTCACACAGCAACACATTAAAGATGACATTTTAAGTTACTGTTACACAGCACATATTTGTTATGTTGAATTGTTTCAGCAAGGTAGCTTTGTTCAAAGTGACATACAGACCTTCTCAGCTAGCAACATTAAACATTTGAAGTGGTCTTAAAGCTTCTGTGAAGAACATTTAGTTTCTTTTGGTTCTTGAGCCCTCCTTGGATTAAGTGACACCTCTTATATTTTGTATATGTGAAACTAGATTTTTTAGACAAAGACCTCTTTGTCTGACCCTCTTTTCTTTTAACTATGACAAGTATGACTTAATGTGAGCTGGTTTTTTTTCAGTCAGCTTTCAATCATCTGGCCTGAAACCTGCCAACAATACCATGCAGTTGACAAATTTGAACCTCAACAAATCAGTCACACCACAATAGCCACGATCATAACAAAATGTATCTTCTGCCAGCAAAGCTGATATTTATATAGGAGACATAGGACCACTTATGTTTTTTTTTTGTAAACACCAGGAGGTTAGAAGTCAGCTAGCAGCAACTTTTTCCCTGCTACTCAGAGCCAGTGTGTGTCCTCTCAAACATCGCTGAATGAAGCCTTTTACTCTGAATTCCCCTCAACTTCTCTCAAAATCACAAAAGCACTTTTATGCTCTATTTGCAAAGACTTACGCCCCTACAGTGTTGTTGGTAATGAAGACTTCAGGCTGCTGCTTAATGAGTCTAGGCCCCGCTATGAAATCTCCAGCCGTCAGTTCATTATAGAGACTGCAGCGTCTAACTCGTATGCAAAGCATAAAAAGGTCACTGAAACATTTTCATGTGCAAACAGAGTTGCCATTACATGTGATACCTGGATGTTGAGAGCACCACGGTCACACTTGACACTTACATGCTAACAAATTTAGCCAAAATGGGACATGGCCTTTCCTGTTCTGCAGACCAGAGCTGTGTTTGACAGCCAGCCAGGGTCCAATCCTGTTGGTTTGCCACAGGATGTGATGGATGAATGGGAGCTTCCCGACAGGGATCCAGCCTTGATGACAGATAATGCATCCAGTGTGACCATAGCAGCAAGCCTTGCAAAGTTGGTGAAATGTTTTGCACTCGGTATGTGTTTGGCTGCCCTATATGCATGAAAGTAACCCACTGTTTCCTGTAGACTGGAAAGAATCCACAGTGTCATGGCTTTATTTTAGGAAAAAGCATCATTGCAAGCCATACTCTGGATCCAAAGCAGAAGCTTCTAATCTCCTTGAGCACAAGCTCATGAAAGACATTGCTATGAAATGGAACAACACCTGTGATACGCTGAAGCGGTTCCTAAAGCAGCAGACCGCACATTTACTTTGCTGTCTGCTCAGGTGCAGCAGAAAGCCAAAGTTATGGAGCAGATTTGAACTGTGCTGGAGATTATGGCTAAAGCCCTGAAGCCAAAAAAGTCCCAACACATGTCATGTTGAAAGAAAAGACCTCGTGCTGTCTATTATTGCACAGCTGCATGCCCAGCTGTACCATGGTACTCAGGTTCAGGCAACAGACTCAGCAGTTGTGGTGAAAACTGAACATGTAAGTGGAAATCTTGTGAAAAGATATGGGATGCACATGCTTTTCTGTGCATGACCTCCGCACTAGATCCACATTTTAGGGCACTGCCTTACCTGGAGGGAGATACATGGTAGGACACCTGTACCACCGTGGCAGCAGAGGTGTGTGTATTTTTCCCATTCAAAATCTCCAGTTCTGCCAGTTTAAGGCAACATTTTTATTTAGGTATGATCAGAGGTATTTTCTAAAAAGAACTGATATAAATAGACATTATTGGCACCCAGAGTCAAGTGAAACCAGGATATTTTTGTTGTATTAAAGACCTAAAGGTAACAAAAATGATACTTAAACTTCAGAAAATTAAATATTTCATTTGCATTTTATAATATCTCTGGGACCATAAACACAATCGTTTATTTTGCTTTAAGGATTTCTGGCGGCTTTTGATTTTAAGAGTTTTAATGATTCAGGAAACTCCGCTTTGCTGATCAAACACCATCCATGCACGTTCATCCAAGTCCATGCACAAGGTGAGTCACCTCAGACAGGTACAGTCTTGATTTGGCCCTTAAATTTTACTGCACATGCACTAAAGTAAAAACTTTGAAGTTTTCTGTTCTTGTTGCTGCATGGATGAAAAGCACAATAAGACCATCGATAGTTGCAACAACATAAACAGCGTTCCCTTGAAACATTTATATGTTCTCTTTAAGCCACTTTAGTTTCACTTGTATTTTACAGCCCAGCACTTCATTTTCTAATGATGCTGCAGTTGATAAATCTGATATGATCTTTAATTTTCTCTCAGATATTAACGATAGAAAGGCGGCTTTGTGCTGGTTTGATGTGCACATGACAGTTTGATAATTATTTGCAGTGTGATGAAGTAGGTGTTTGCTAATTATTCAGGTCACTGCAGGCTGTCTGTAAACTCAATTCGGTATTCAGAATCGCTGCCAATTTTTTGCTCTGTTGGTCTTTAAATGAATCCTTTTTTTAAAGCCTGTCTATCCATTCAAGCTTCTTTATGTCGCATATGTTGAATTCAAAGCTGAGCTGTTTGACTCAAAGTTTAATCATGCTCACATTTAATAGGGAGACTCCTGAGGTGGTACTGTGAACTTGACGGATACAATTTCTTTGGCACCACTGTTGCAAATGTTCATAGGTGTTTGTGTAAAAGTATTTCAGTATTTCACACTCAGGGATGTACAGTAGACAGGTGTTGCTTTAACAAACTACACATCCCTTAAGTGAGATGCAGTCAGGAACACGAGGATCCCCATCTGTCAGGCAGAGATGGAGTCTGGCCCACAGGAACTCACACAGGTAGACTCGGCAGAATCAATAAGATTGTGTCTTTGAACATGTGTTCTGTGCTGTCGAACATCTACATGATGTAACTTTGTCATTTGTTTCGAACCAAATTTAATTAGGAGTTGTTGTAGAAGTCTGCATGATGTACCTACTTTGAGCAAATTTAAGTTTGAGAACAGTGTTAAAAAAGCTTAGAAAACACTTGAAGCTACATGGCGTTCATTTGGTAACACTTGTGTTTTATATTGAAGTTCTTAAAAAAAATAAGAATCCCTCCGTCAGATTAAAGCAGTTTAATAAAAAAAAAAAACGCTGAGTCAGAAGAATTCAGCTGTAGCAACATCAACGGATTAATCTAAGGTCGTGTTCACACCAAAAGGTCTGTTTTCTGATACGAGCCAAAGCGAGGACGATATATGACGAGGATATGACGTGTAAAACGGCACGCTTCCTGTGATTGGTGCGGATGGGGTTTACACCAGAAGTATATCGCTCTAGAGTTTACTTGATAGCGGTTCGAGACCACCCCTACTAGGCGTACCCAAGAGTGGTTGACTGGTCTGCAGCAGAGTTTGAGGCCAGCTTTCGCATCAACCAAAACCAACCGCACCAAGGAGGTGAACGCTCTAGGGTTCAGTTCAACTGGACCAAACAAGGCTAGCGTGAACGTGACCTAAATGTGGTACATATCAAGGGTGTAATGGTACACAAGTTTGGAGCATACCATAAATGAACTATTCGGTTCATTCATGGTACAATAAGGGAGCGACTTAAAGAAGTTCAAAACTGAACCACAGCGTCCCTTTAAAGAGAACAGAGGCTTTGTTTTAAGATCTCAGTGTTAGTTTTACCAGTGGTTGTTTTTTGTTGGTCATTTCTGTAGATAGTTTGATAAACTGTCAAACAGAGAATAACAATCTTTATTTTCCTTTATTTGAGATTTCTGTGGATCTGGTGGGTTCTTGGATTTTATGCTCGATTTGGCCAAACCATGTTGTACCATTGATCAGAGATTGGGATCACAGGGTTACTCATATTATCATACAACACCATATATCACTTAATATAAAACGGCTATACAATACGAACTACACAGAATGACTTGATACAATATGATTACTAATATATTTCCCAGAACACTGACAACCTTAGAATAGAAGAGTTCTGCAGGAACTGAGGAACTGCAAGACAATCACAATAAAGAATACATCATGATTACTGATTTACTGAAGAAAAGAAACACCTCTGTAAGGTCAAGCTCAGGGTTAATGCCATTTGTTGAGTGCGAGGAGTCAAAAAGTGGTGACTCAGTGAGCCAGATTAGAGTTTGAATTTAAAGGGGGCTCAAAACATCTGATCTGATTAATATTTAAAGAAAAAAATTGTTATTCAAAAAAGTCGCTTGAATTATTTTCAGATTCTTGTGATTATTCACACACTGGTGTGAATAATTTGCACAGTTTTTAGATTGATTTGCTGTTAACTTAAAATATCACCACCGCTGAGCCCCCCCAGTGTTCTCCCTTTTGGGGTACCCATAATGCCGTCTGTCAGAGGAGTGATGCCCTCTCACAGTTGTCACAAGTGCTCTGTCTCGTGTCTCCCCTTGGACTGTATTAGTGTCAGCGTGCGCTCTGCTCTCCTCATTGTGTGTAATCATTGCTTTGTCTCTGGTGCCCTGACACACACCTCACTGCATGCAACTTCCGCAGTCTCACTGGCCCCCCTCCTCCACCGCCACCAAATCTCTCGCCGTTCCCTGCGCCACTGAGCTGCGCTCGCCTCACACCTAAAGGGATTGCTGTCACGTTGAAAAGGCCGGGTTTGCTATGCCTGACAACTTGCATATTTGTACACGGCGATGCAAATGTTTCCCCACTGATATTGTTTTGTCACTTAATGGTGACCCCCACTAGTGCGCCATTAAAAGCCAGACATTCCACAGTCACTCAGAAACGAGGCATTTCTGCAAACTCGTCCCCATAGGACATTTTCAATACTTGTCCTTCTTGTTATCTATGTGCTATTGTATGCTGCACAAACCCATTTTCTGCTTTATTCGTCCCCCGCTGCACGATGTTGCTAGGAACCCATGGGGGGGTGACAAGAGCCCTTCACCACTTTTCTCAGTGAAAACTTTCTGCTTTTGTCTGCGGTCTTATTTCTGTGTTAAGATGACACCTGGGAATAATCCCGGGGGTTTTGACATAAGTGGAATTCAAATTAACTGGATTAAATGCTATAATCATAACAGGCATAATAACTATTACAACTTTGGGTATGTTTTGATCATGTCCTTCATTTTATTTTCACGTTTTTTTCCCCCCACTCAGCGCTGAATAGAGCAACACACTCTGGACTAAATTTGTAAATGGAATCAGATCTTGGTAGAAGAAAATGTTTAGCAAAAAAAAAACTCAATAAAACTAAAGTAGTTAACAAAAAATTAAAACAATCAACGAAAGTTGGACTTCTTATCTGGAATTTGCAAACACTGTAAAAATGTGATCCAAATAAAGCAACCCATATTAACCAGAATTGCCTTGAAAACAGTTTGTCTTAAATGTAAACAGTAATAAATCATGTGTCCCACTTTTAAATGCAGCATGCAACATACGAGCCATATGGTGCCACGCTCCTCCGCTCCCGCATAAGGGATCGGCCTGTCTCCATGGCGCACAAAGTTTACCCTGTTACCTGTCATCACCTCAGCTTTGAAAGACTCTGTGTCAGCAATCACTGTCACCAGTCACATGGATATGAATAAATTTTTGAGGTAATGCTTTGAGTCTCTCACTTCTCTTGGTGGTGTGCTGGCAAAAGCTGTCACGAAACCCTTTTGAGTTTCATTTTTGGAAACAACCGTTGGCCGAAAGCTTTCTCTGTAACATTTTTTTTTTACATCTTGATAGTAATTTAGCCTGCTGACTGTTGACAGCCAGAGCAAAAATATCAGGAAATTGTGAGCTGCTATCAATAATCAAAAAAAAATAAAAAATAGTTTGAGAAGGTTGCGTTGTCCTTGAAAGTTAATAACGGTCATTACATTGTCCAAACAGATACACTTACACATTGTGGGGATTTCAAATTGTTTTGCACACCATCATATTGTGATAAGTTGGGTGCACTAGCAGGCAAGGCTTTCTTGTTATCATGTGCAGCGTTCACTAAAGGTCAGAAGGATTAATTGAATGTATTCCACTTTTCTATATGAGTGCTCTTCAACAGTCAGAGTCCTTGTCTCCACTTTATGCAAAAGTTAAAGATGCATCAAGGGAAAAAAAAAAAGAAGATACTGTCTGCTAATCTGTGTTGCTTTCAAGGACATGCCATACATAGCAGGATAAATACCTGGGGGAATTTGTTTTTGTAGGCTTAACAGTACATCGTTTATTGTATATAAAAAGAAGTGCATCCTCTTTCCTCACCATTTTAATTAATTGTGAAGACTGTGATACTCGCATACTTACGTGAACGCTGTTTCTAAATAGGTAGAGGGGAGCAGAACAGCCATATGGCGTTGTCTGACATGAAGAAATTAGGCCACCAATGCTGTCTGTTCATTGTCATCAACCTGGCCACCTGCTTTGCTTCTTCAGCGAGTAAAACTAGCGTAGACCCCCCTCCTCCTCCTCCTTCCCTCCCACTGCTGCCTTCCCAGTCCAACTTGTTATATCTTTATACAACGAGCTTGAACAGAAATCCAAAAGTACTCAGGGACAAGTCAAGTTTTTGGTACAAATTAGCTGAAAAAGGCCAGCGGAGGTCGCCTGGCTGTACTCCACAGGGTTCAGCGGTTTTTGGTCTAATATTAAAAGTAAACAAATATGTTTGTTTGTGGCTTGAGCTTGGTGATACAGATGGTTAGACTGGCCCCTGCCATATCCTCTAAGGTTGTGTCCTTGACGTGGAGATTCTGGGTTTTGATGCCAAAGCCTACACACTGAGTCGCCTTACTTTTAAAACGCCGTCCAACCGGTATTTTCCCCAACACCCTCCATATTTTTGAAGATCTTTTTGGCCTTCTTTTCAGTGAGATATAAAGTTTGCAGTCACATATTTCCCCAGACCTTGCCCCTAAGGCCACCAAAGCTTCTGTTTGTCTGCAGTGTAATCAACTATTTGAATTTACCGTCTTGTGATATGCCAGTGAGAAAACATATGGTGGGGCTAAAGCTCAGACTTCCAGTCAGCAGACAGTTACTTAGGTCACATTACAAGCTGCCGGGTTCCACTCAGAATAGACACATTTAAAGTAGACCTCACTGCCGGGAGAACAACCTCTGGGGACAGACTACACACTCTTCCTGTGGCACTTAATTTTTTTTGGTGTCTGAATTAATTTTTCATCGTTGTGCTCTCGACTCAGCGAGGATGCACAGTTTCACTGATCTACGATGCAGTAAACTGTCATATCCATTTGGCAACAACTCACAGGCTGCACCCAGCTGCTGTGTTTGTGGCAGTGGTACCATGATACAGATAGTTATTTAGATTGTCCTCTGTCGTCCCGGCTTAGCCCCGTGTCCTTGACTTTTGGATGCTGTGAAAAAGTGCCAAAGCCCACATAACACCAGGCTGCTTTATTGTCAAAACACCTTCCAACTAAATCTTAACTCTTTGCTGCCTCTATCAGCCTCTATTTCAGTTGGTTGCTACTTCTTTTCAATGCAAAATGGAGCTGTTTACCCGGTTCAGCACGCAATCAATACCAAGCTTTCTGCTTTTCACTCTGAGTAACCTGAATATGTTGATACACATCTCTTATCTCCTTTGAAATGCAGAATATAACCCAGCTAAATACAGTGCCCAGTCGTGTCTTGTAAAACCTTGTAATGTTTTATTCCTATGATCGGCAACAAAGCTCTGAAGAAGCTCAACAAAAACCTTTGGTCCTGAAAGAAGATAGGTACTGGCACATGCCTCAGCCATGGGGCAGAAGGAGTTAAAAGGTCTCCCCTGTTGATTTGGCCCCCATCAACTGTCAACAAGTCTTCCAGGGCTTTTCCTGAACCTTGAATGTGCAGGATTCAGCCCTCGTTCTGGTTTTGCAGGGAGGTTTTTACTCGCTGTGGCCCTGCGGAGCCTGAGGAAGGATTAAAGATTGATGAGAGCTCTCAGAATCAGTTTATTGCTCCAGAGATCTTCGCATGTGTTATGAGTGGGAAGATTGTGTTGCTGTTTTTTGCCTCATAGAAGTTCATGAGGCTGGCACAGCACTAAAGTGTTTGACAATCAAGGTTGGATTGGTCTTTTTTTTTTTTTCTTCACAGCAGATAGCCTTTGGATTGCTAGAGAGCTGTGAGTGGGCAACAGTGCCGTATATTCAGATGTGAAATGTGATGAAATGCTGGTCCTATCAGTATGAGAGGCCTTCATTTTTTTCAAACTCTCATACATTTTGCCCGACTTCAAAGATGATAAGGGCTACGCTCACTCACTATGGCAGATAATACCTGGACCATCTTGAATAAATTCTCACTTTTGCCCCTTTGCTTCACTACATCTGTGAGAAGAGAACATAAACTGTATCAGTTCAGCTTCAGTGGAGGTATATAATGCATTTCAGTTGAGCGGGATTGGTTGGTACTGATGTTCAACTGAAGAACATGCAATGCATACAAGAGATCAGAGCAGCAGAAAAAAAAAAAACACTCCATCATGTCCATCCATGCTTTTCCATCTGTGATCTTTCTGTGGATTTTAATGTGGAGACCGGAGAGGAAACAGTCGAGGTTTAAATTAAAGTTTAAATATTGTGGATGGAATATAAACAGCAAAATGCAAACATCCACTAAAGAGAGAAGTAACAAACCACATCCTCCTAAGAGATAAAAACCCCTGACATTTTCTTTGAATTTATTTTTATATTTAATTCTTTTCTATGTTGCACTAATACTTGCTGTGTCCACTGCTGTTCTTTTTTTTTTTATTCAAAATTGACTTTACAGGTGACTAAAAGGATTTGTGTAAAAAGTTGAGAACTTCTTTCCTCCATTAGGTACACCTGCGGCACATATTTCTAAAGTTGTATTCTTCTAACATCCTCTCAGATTATGAAAAGCATCTATAATTGTGTTGCCATTTACTCTCGTCAGCTTGCTGTGTCTGCGCTTGATCTTTTCTGCATCTTTTCTCTACCAGCAACTGATGCATTAGTAGACTTGTTAACAAGAATAACAAAAGCAACTTCTTTGTGTTGCTTTTATTAAACACATTTCTTTTAACTCAATCATAGATAACAATAAGACATGGCCAGTATTGGTTAGTAATATAGTGAACATCCCTCCTAACCCCAATATTGCAATCACAAGTGCAGATGGAGACAAATTTTAGGGCAGTTTTTATAAATTATGTTTAATTTTATTTTGCAATTGGTTCTAAATTGGAGACATAATGGATTAAATAACATTATATCTTTGTAAAAAATAAAATAAAATAAAAAAACTTTTCATGTAATAAAGTTGACTTGTTTCTCTTGTATTTGACAAACATCCTTTGATTTTACTGTGAGTCATGTCCATACAGTCATGTATTGAATGTATTAATTGAATGAATGTGGCACTTTTTGGGCCAATAATTACATTTGCAGGAATTTTAATATTAGATTAGGTAAGATTAGATTGGATAGACTATATTGATCCTTCTGGGAAGGTTCTCTTTCCCTCAAGGAAATTAAAATTACAGCAGCATCAGAAAGTACAGAAAAACAAAATGATTAAATAAGTCAGAAATAAAAATGCAATATATATAAAAAATAAAGATATAAGAAAAACGTTATATAAATCAAGTATTTACATAAGTAAAATATAAAGCAATGGACATTTTCATATTGCTGTTACTACAAACACTGCTACTATTACCACTACTAATATCTGCTGATACCAGTAATGAGCTTTCAAAGCTGTTATCTGCCAATATTGATAATGTGTCACTGATATTGTGCATCTCTAGTAGTACTTACATTTGAGTTTGTCTGTCAGTGGTGCATATGCAGTGCACACCCGCACCCAAAACTGAAGCCAAGAAAAAAATAGCAAATATATTGAATAATGTTAAAGCCTTTTTAATTATTATTATTTTTTGTTATTTATTTAATTATGATTTTTTACATAGAGGTGATATTTTTTATGCCTGTATGAGGCGGATACAACTGTGAATGAAATAGGAAACTGGAAATGGAGGATGGGAGATGACAGATGACCAAGAGCTGCCACTTTTGAGGGCTGTAGTTTTTTTTTCAGGGGGATACTAATTCAACAGAGTTTAAGTGGAGCCCCATAAGTGATTATTTATTTAAATCTGTGCCTGGAGGTTTCCAGTAGACCTTTATTAGTCTGTTATTGCGAGTTTATAACCTGACACAAATAATAACCACAATAAATTATCAATCATTGGCATCAATATGTAACATGGCAGCAAAATCTCATATCTGTCAACCTTTAATGATGCATTTGAAACCGACCTGAAGCAGTGATAGAAATCTCCGTAGGGGAACATAACCCACTGTATTACAACAGGTTAATTTTTTGGTGTTGACTTTAATTTTTCATCCATGTGCTGTAGACTCAGCATGGCTCCATGCTTTCACTGATGAACACCGGAGCAAACTGTCATCTTCATTTGGCAGCCGCTCACAAGCTTACACCCAGCAGCATCCTACAGCACAGGGTGGAGAGTAAGGGGGGTAGGTGGGGTGCTAACAACACGGGGCTTTATTACCTGGGAAATTAATGATCTGAGAGACCAAGATGAAATGGCTGAACCATCTGCAAGAAATCATGGTGGAGAGGACCTATCCCCCTTTTTCCTATCTGTGTCTTTCTACCCAAGCGTAATGCTAGAGGAGCATAAATCAAAGAGCTAATTCATACTGTTAAGCGTGGAGACGCCACAGTTAGCAAACACAGCCTTATGATTGATCACCTGCAATTATAGTTGAGTGGGTTAAGTTATGTTTTGACTTCCGATTTTAGGGAGCTGATGACTTTTCTAGTAATTTCTAAAAGTCATCGCTGACAGAAGTGGAAATATATATATTCTCAGATTTATTTTGTTATGCTCCGTTTCTCAGTGCTGGTTTGTTTTATGTTTTGAAGCAGCAGTTTTTTTGACGGTTAAATATTTTATCAATGACCTTTTTTCAGAAAGTAGGTGTGCAATGACACCCACTACTAAATAAAAGAATCAATCCAGTGAAATATTGAACAAATAAACATACATCTTTGTTAATTTAGTTTGTCTTTCTCCCACTTTTTCCCCCCCATCAAAATACTTTATGACCTTTGGAAATTATTCGGTTTACTGCAGTGAGAGTAACTGGGAGAAGTCTGAAGCTCAATAAAGTAGTGGTTGATGTCATTACTGGTGCAGGCCTGGTTTCTATGGAATGGTAGAGCTGGGCTGTTTGTGATTGGCTGACAGGGTGTTGGACAGAGCCAATAGCATCACTTCCTGCTTTATGTTTGGAGCACACGCTCACCAATAATAAGTGGAGAAGCACCCCCTGTTGCACAGTTGTAGAATTCACCCTCCTGGCACCATTTTCAGCCCTGTTGGGGCGCACTAGTCCGCTTTTTTTTCTCTCAGAGATTATAACCTACAGTTACTGAGCACAATGCCACGAGGCCTCAGCAGTGATCTACTTTAACGGCAGATTTACCCCATAAACCCCGAGGATCCTGTAGCTGGATTTGGTTGCACTGCGTCTGTATGGTCATGATGTGTTCTGTCAAGTCGGCATTGTGAGCTCAGATTCGAGAGAAAGAAGTTGATGAAAATCGGGCTTTTGCACCAGGACTGGAAAAGAAAAGCTGTGGCCTTTCACAGTGAAATTTGATAGGATTATGCAGATGATCACACAAGTAAAGGAGCAGAGCCTGACACCAAACTTTGTTCAACTCTATTAATTGCCATGAGGGTCTCGGTTGTATTTGCACAATTTGGAGCTCAACAATTCAGTCCTTGAGAGCTAATATTTTCAAATATTAAATAACATGTTATTGATATAATGAATTCCATTATTAGCCATTAACTGTTCAAACATGGTAATAAATCCTGGAGAGGAAATGAGGCGGTCAGTTTGACCAAAAGCTGCTCTCTGTGGCTGTTTTTGAACCAACGGCATCTTGACTTCTCTCTCGTCGGTTTTATAGAAAAATCTCCAGATCCTGAAGAGTCAAATATCTCCCCAGCTGCTCATCAAGCCCACTGGACCATCCCCGCTTCTTTAGTTGTAGCTGCTGTTCATCACATGTGTTCTGGAGACATGCATGTCCTTTTAATTGAGCTGTTAGCCGCTCTGCCATTCAGACTTACATACTGTATTCGTCCCCTCAGCTGACAGGGTGCTGAACCAGGAGCTTCCTCATATGAAAAGCTCTGACCTTTCCTTTGTGGTGCAATCAAATGGGGCTGCCTTGGTCCTTGGCTCTGAATAATTAATTCCTCCCCTCAGTAGGAGTGTTTGCTAAACAGTGGGGTCCTCTGCAGTTCACTTTTTCTGCACCACTGCCACTGCACCCTAGGGGAGAGACGAGTGTACGCTTTAGTCAGACTTAAGATGTGGCTTTCAGAGAAAAGAGAGACAGTCAGGAGATATTGGAAAGCCTCTCTTTGCCTCTTTTCCTCCTCTGTAGAGAAAAGACAACAGCGTAGAAAAGACGATAGTAAGAAAACTTTGCATATTCTTAGTCTTTTTATGATACACACAACTGGGGGACTATTTCCTGTCAAAAAGTGGGGCTCGTCACATCTTTTTATCTTTATGAATTAAGCGCCTTACCGCGAAAGTGTGTGCGTTCTTCTCCAGTTAATTTCTCTGCAACACACCAATAACAGGATATTAACTCTGCTTTTATAACTTTGTAGTTTATTTTTAGAATCCTAATGCACTGAAACGCCTTTGAGTATATTGGTTCGCAGGACAGCCCCAATATAAACCAATTGTTCCTCTTCCCGTCCCACAAACCAATCCCCTGTGAGGGGGGCCCTAATGCAACGCCCCCTACTGCATTTGCCTCGTAACAGTGTCATCTCCTCCCCCGGTGTGCACGCTTTCATCATCCATAGAGGAATAAAATATTGTAGGGAGATGCTCCTGAACTCGTCCTCCACTGGCAGCGTGTGTGACAGCACACTTTGATCTCAATGTGAGAGGCTGAGGCTCCAGGAGAAATTATCAATGAGATGAGGGGAGAGAGAGAGAGAGAGAGAGAGAGTGAGTGACGGGAGAGCAAGGAGGTGGGAGCGAGTGCGAGCTGTGTGTGGAGGTGTGGTGTTTAAAGTGTGTGTTGTGGGAGTTAAAAGTGGCCCTTACAATTAGAAAGCCAAATTTGTTTTGTGGCACACAGGGATTATGGGCCCAGGCAGAATTAAAGTAATAGAAAAAAGGTTGGAAATTCATTAAAAAAAAGTAGGTATTTGCTATTCAGTACCCTTAAATTCTGAAAACACCATAAAAGCTGCATTCGTGGCACCATATTAGCAAAATAACATGTTCCATCCTGCACTCTACAAATGCCTCTTTCATTGTGTGCAAGGGGGCAGTGCAGGACTTCATTAGAGACAAAAAAGTCCTCTAAACTGCTCAGCCTCCATGAAAGCTTGATTCGAGCTAAACCCTGTGATGAAGTATTAGCAGTGAAGCAGCTCCACGCTGGCTCTGCATTAAAGCCAGAGGATTCTGTCACAGAATAAATAACCTAACCTACTTTTTCCACTGGCAGATATCAGATGATCAAATGCTTGCTTTTTTTTTCTCACTGAACAGCAGTTTATTTGTGGAGTATTTGTCATCACAGATTTAGGGGAAATGATGATGCAATCCCTTGTTATTTATTTATTTATTTATTTATTTATTTATTTATTCAGAAAAAAAAAAAAATCCCTCTCTTTGAGTAAGCTCTTTTAAAATACTTTTGCATAATTTTACAGGGTACCTCAGGTAATGTTTTGACATAATACTGGTTTCTTGTGAACAGTACGTGCACATACTGCAAGAACATATGAATAAAAAATGCAGAAATATATATGAAGCTCTTTGCAATGTAAGAAAGAGGGCTGTAAGATATGATGCCTAAAGACCTAAAGTGAACTGTATTTTATTCCACTATTTACATACGTAAATAAATAAATAAGTAAATACAAAGTTTGAATTTTCAGTGTAATTTAAAAGTCTACATGCTTGAAATCTAGTGTAGAATAAGAGGATCCAGCCCGACTGAGGGAGTTTCCCCTGAAAAACGAACCTATTTGGGACCTCTTTATGACTCTAAAATGACTCATTAATCTCACAGAGCTTTATCTGAAACAACAACCAAAAAGACGACTTCCTACACAAACTTCAAGGAACTTTGAAGGAAAAAAGGAAAAATTCAAACAGAGAAACTTAAAGCAATATACTGCCTTGTACAAAACTGGGGGAAAACACTTCATGGCACATCTGCATATGAAAAATTGCAGTGTAATGAAGACATATTAGCCCATAGAAATGTTATTACGTGCACAGAGAGAGGGGATTGTTTTTTCAGAGCGAGATCAGAGATGGTGCTGTCCTCGCTGCTTTGCTTTTTTAGTCCTGATCTCATCTGTTTGGCATGAAGGGGGAGCTGTGGCTCCTCCTGTCCGAGCAGGGTTACAGCTCCGGGGCTTCACCGTGTGCCTCGCACATTTTCTCACACTTTTCTGGCCGCGCTGTGCCACATTGATTTAAATGTATCTGTTGAGGGGAAAATAATCAATGCAAATTCCCTGGCAGTGCAGCCAACAAATAAGACATGTCTGATTCATCAAGCGGACAGTGCTATAAAGACCACTCTTTCTCCTTTGTCCCATTTCTCCCTCTCTCTCTCTCCCCTTCTCTATCTCTCTCTCTCTCAGTCCTCTCTCTCTCTCTCTCACCTCTGGGCCACTTCACCCCTTTTTTTCCTCTGTTCACCTTTCTGTGTCTAAAAACTCTTAGGCTGAATAAGTGGAAGGAGCTTTATGGCTTTAAATATACCTATGGAACTGCAGCATAAACAAAAAAATAAGGTAGGTGCAACTATACTCATCAAATAGATGTTTTAATCTTTAATTCTTTAATTCTGCTATTTTAATTTAGGGATGGATTTATGTTTATATTTTCTTATCTGTTTCTAAAATAGTTTTAGCTTGGAAGGGAAAAAAATGCTCTCAAATTTTTTTTTAGATATATAACTTTTCTTCAAAAGTTCATCACTTTAAAAGAAGAAAAGTTTTTAAAAAGTTAATTTAAACCATGCCCCTGGTTCTTGACCAAATTAAAATGAAAGTATGTCAACATGTCAAACAGGAAGGAAGTCTCACCTGACACCTAACCTCAACATTTTGTTTTTGCTCCAGCTTGAACCAAACGGTCAAACTCTCTGGCTCCTAACAAGGGCAGAGTGTGTCGCCCCTGTGTATGTAAATTCACTACATGTGTGCGAGAAATAAAGGCAAGGGCTATTTGGAAATTCCTGTGTGATGAAAGGGAAAGAATACCCCCCAAAAAATGATTAATGTGGTGTTCAGGTACACAGAAGATTGAGTGATCCTGTCATCACGCCATATGGTACCAATTTATTCCGGCTAGCATGAGGCAAACTCAGTGGAGGAGCTCTCACGACTGAGCCTCTAGCACTCTTCAAAAACAGAAAAAAAAAAAAAAATTAAATGGGTGAACACATAAAAAATATATATGCATTATTACATTTACAAAAAGAGAGTGCCCAAGCTGGGTCCATATTTTCAGATTGTTCGGCTAAGTGCTGCCTGTTATCTGTCTGGTGTTATTTTTAATTTCAAAATGTCATTTATTGTGGAGGTGCTGGCTTAGAGAAAGGCCATAAATAATTGCTCTGGACATACTGCTAAAAATCCTCTCCCATTATGATTATTATTACTGGCATCTTCCCAAATTCTATTTCTTTTCCCCATGCATGGAAATTAAATTAGCCACTGTGAAGCAGGTTAGAAATGTAGGTGAATGTTGTGCAGAACATGTCATGAGCGTTGTCTCTCCATTTCCCTGGTCCTCCACCCCTCCTCCTCCTCCTCCTCCTCCTCCTCCTCCTCCTCCTCCTCCTCCTCGTTCTCTGTGGAGCCAGTTCAGATGAAAGTTTGCTAAGAGTTGAGAGAAAAAAAAAAGCTGCATGGAGTAATATCCTTGAATCCGTACCAGCAGGTTCAGAAGAGTTGCAGCGTTTTCAACAATACGGCTTTTATTTTTGACAGCAACTCCAGAGGTTTCATTCAGGGTGTACCGACACTGTTTTTAAATCTAGCCAGGTAGGAGACAGAAATGTAGTTTGGATGTGACAAGCCTGTCTAATCGGACTGAGAGCTGTAATTTGACATGGTTTGTTCATCCTCTAGCACCAAAAAAGGGTCTTTTTCCAGAAATAGACATTCTGAAATAGTGAGAGCTCTGTGTTACTCACTGACCTAAAAACGACTGCACAATGCATGCTCAAGGTTTATAAATCTGGATGCAGAGATGTAACTATTAGTAACTATAATAAACTTGTTGTTTGTGCCATTTTAATGAAAAAACGTGACAAACAGTGCCTTTATCTATCATGTTCAGGCTTTATTTTAGTCCTAAAAAGGTACCCCTGTGAGATATGACTACAGCGTACTGTGTGTGAGGTAGTGTTTCCCTCTGCAGCCTATGCGGTGCTTGACATTTCGTGACGTTTCTGAGATGCACCGAGTGCAGCTTCCCCGAATCACGTGATCCCAGTATCTCCTTCTAATGCTGCTCAAACATGACTTTCAACTCTCTAATCTCCTATCTGGAGTCATGAGCGGAAATGAGTGTTTTTTGAAAATGCAGATGCCATTGGCAGAGGAGGAAGAAAAAAAAAAACAGAGCGGGTTAGGGAGAGCTGGACTCCTAGCACTTTTCTTTTTCCCTACCTTGTTATTTGTCGCCTCACCCCTGCAGGGCATGCTGACAGGAACTGATAAACCTCTTTATGGGCTGAACTGAATTGGCTCCTATTATCCAAGGTGTGGAGCAGCTCAATGGTAGAAAATAAAAGACTTTATCCACTGCCCATCTGCCCACCCGTTACTCTCTGCCCAGTTCCCTGGGATTCCACGAGGCTGTGTCCCATTTGTGCTTGTAATAGTTGTATAGCTTGGCCTGGAAAAAAAAAAAAAAAGACAACATTAACGTCTTTGGAGAAAAATATATTTTTCTGCCAAATGCCTCATTTGAATATGAGCCTAATAGCCACAGCTTTTGCCATGAAAAATAAATTGGAGTCATAAAAAGTATTTTAGTATATGGGTGTTGCTCCTGTTGTGTTATATAGGCGCATATCTGGGCGTGATTGTAACACTGAACAGAGGAAAAGGATTTGCTTATAGAGGAATGGAGCCAGATCTTTAATGTTTGACTTGTAATCAAGAGAGGAAATCTTTGAAAAGTCACTCTTGTGGCTTTTGGCTTTCTAAAAAGCCAATCTGGCATCATTACATTGTAACAGTGTTTATTTTAAGGATTTTGCTGTTGTAGCACAGTTTGATTCTGATGCCAGAGAAGGTCATTCTGAAAAAACAAGGGGCCCCAGAGGGTTCGAGCTGTAGTCAGATCACTTTGAACATGTAGTGAGTTGACTCTTTGCTTCTTTTTAAAATGATGGGTAATATTTCCCCAAGTTAAGAATAACAATTGTAATCAACATGCAAACTTAATCGTGATTTATTCTGAGAAATATCGAGAAGTCATTTTCTATGTTAATCTAAAACTACGTGGGATAGTTGTGCAGTTGTGTGATAGTTAGACTAATTTTGGACTCAGCCATGTTACTTTTTTTTTCCTTTCAAGCGCTGTACAGAGAGAAAACATAGGATCTGTGTGTGTTTGATATAAAGAGCGACTTCATTCAAACTTTATTTAAATGAGGTGTAAATGAGAACGTTTTAATGAGAACTTTTTTACACTGGATTCAGCTGGTGAAATGTGTGCAAGCTGAAAAAAGAGTACAAGTTTAATCAAATTGCATTTTTTATTTATTGCGATAAATTCAGACCTCTACACCGGTAGTCGATAATGCTAATATTGTAAAGAGAAATTTATTTTTTGATATACGTTTAGAAGAAGGGTTTCATTTTCATTCATATCTACACTGGAAATCGCTAGCATGTTTCTTCAGTGTCACTTTCAACATTTCAGTTATCAGGATGACCTTATTCAGACAGGAGGGAGGAAGAGTTTTTATTTTTTCACATGAGTTAGACAGTTCAGCAGTCACGGTAAATATAAATAACAAAAAAGTTAATGAAGAGAAAAATAATAGTCATATCAGAAATGAGTTATATATATTGTTATTCATTCGTGTATTTGTTATAATTTCACTGGATATTCAATCAATGACTGTTGGTAAAAGACAACGTTTATTACTGGACAATAAAAAAAGAACCAAGACCCAGAGAAAGCAGTGAATGACACATAGTTCAAGTGGATAATACTCGACTTTTAAGAAGTGCTATGATATTTACAAGTGCTACCGTAATGCTCAGTTTGACTCAAATCTACTCCTGATCGCATCAAGCTAAAGCGACTAAAGCTGATTTTTGATTGCTGACTCACTGCACAAACCTCCTGTCGGACTGAAATGACATTTCAGTCTGATTATTGGCTTTAAAAAAATGTGAAGATGCAAGATGACGGTTAAAGCACGCTGTGTTGAAAACATATGGGAGCCTTGAGGCTGGCACATGTCTCGCCAGTTTAATGTCTGCTAAGTGCAGGAGAATCACTGTCGCAGTGATTTGTGTCTTTAAACGGGCTCTTTTTTTTTAGCGGTTTGAAGCAGGATGTTTCACTTTTTTCGAACACTAGAATAAATTGATCTTTACACAGAGTACAGCCTGGTGCTCATTAAAATGCAAAGAGGCTTTATTCTTGATTATAGGGCCACCTGAACTGTACTCATAGTGACTGAGGGCTGCAGACTGTCTCCAGTAACTGCATGAATTGTAGTGATTTGGAAGTGTCCTTTTGGAAGCTGTATTACATACTCTATTACTATTCAAAAACTTGAGTCTGCTTGAAATGATATAACTATCAGAAGTACTGTAATTGTTCTTATGAAATGGATTAACATGATTTTAAATTGAGCTGACAGTCTGTTCTCTTAAGTCAGACTGTCAGAAATCCAAAGAAAAAATGAGCATACCGCCAAAAAGTCACTTTCTAAATTAATTTGGAGCTCACTGTTTGCCTTTTTTTTTTTAAGTGGAGGAAAATTATTTCACTGAATGCCAAATAACTGTTTTGGGATTAAACTGGCTGTGATTTTAAAAATAATTAAATTATTGCAGTGATGCATCGACAGTATTTCATCTTCAGTAGCTTATCGAGAGCAGACTGCTGTTTTAAAGAGCCAAGTAATCTAATTTATCTCACTTTTGAGCGTTTTGGTTGGTATTGATAATAAACAACCCTGTTTTATCTTGCAAATGCATACGTTTCTGGATGCATTGCCGTGCTTTTAAGGATCTCATTTTAAGCAATTAACAAAATGGCGAAATGGCGACGATCGACAGACTCATCAGCGTTTAAAGTGTTTCAAGGTCAAAAGGGGATGTCTCACAAAGATCACAGTGTCACTTAAAAACGGCGCAGCGTCGGAGTCCAATGAGACCTAGTTATAAAGAAGTTAACTTATTCAGTGTCACTCTGAGAAGACAAAAAAAAAAAGAAGCGTGTTGAAATGTGAGATTGTTGAAGGTGTCTGGATTCAGTTGCGCTCACTTAATATTAGTATCAATCGTCTGGTTTAAGAAAAACCAATGACAAGGATCCAAAATCCTCGAGAGAAGAGGGTTAGGCTCTGTGACAGGGAATCTCTCCCTCAAGCCAAGTGCATAATGACTCTGTTTGCAGTGGAACGCGTGGAGCCAAAGATGGATGTCTAGTTTACTGTAGCACTATCTGTGGAGTTTTGGACTGCTTTAAGCAAGTTATCAAAGCCATCTGTTAGGGCCCAGGGGCCGAGGCTGATTAATATCGCCAAGGATTGGGAATGTCACAGAGGAGCTGAAGTCACAGACTCAGACTACAATATTTCTTCAGCTAATTGAAGGATTTAAGGCCTCACTCCAAACATTGTGATTGTGATCTGTCAGCAAGGTAGCATCAAGAAAGGTATGACTCTGGGTCACGCTGTTTCTCAGTCAGTTTGGTCTGAATACAAAAGAGCTGAAAATGTGTTCAACTGCTTGTTTCGCATGTTTTCAGAGCCATATGTGTGTCCTCTGTGGGATAGTATGTAAGTTAATGTATGCATCCTGGCAAGAAAGTCAGCAACTGAGCCTAGAAACAGGCAAAGTTTTGGTCAGACTTGATTGGTTCGAAGGAAGAAAGGAGAGTAAAAAGCCCCCAGGCTAAGATGCCCAAGTGTTTCCTCATGCATTTTCTTAGAGTAATTAAGCAGCTCACCATAAACAAAGTGCTATAGAGAGAATTTAAGGTGTCGTGTTAAATTTAAGTTGCCACAAAGTTACAGTTAGTTAGCAATCAGTGAATTACTACCCCAGTTATAGTGAGCAATTTTAAACCAGCTTTAATCTTATTAGCATTTAGATGGGCATGCTAAATGGGATATTGCACAGGACACAATAAAAAAAGAAAACACCCAATTCATTGACTGTGTGCTAACCACTCACAAATACATCAATAAAAACAATCACCAGTCGTCCTGCACTGCCCATCCTTGCCATTTGAATTATTTCAGTTCAATTTAACTGCAGCGTCCCTCCTCTCTCCGGCACACACCACAACATTGGAAGTGCTCAGTGACTTTCTATTTTGGACTAATAATCCAGAAAACAGATTTCCCTTTCAGACCAGTAAGCTAAGCGTCATTGATAGTTAAAGGAAGACATTAGCATGAGTCGGTGGTTAATGACATTGTTTAATGGTGTGTTCACTTCGTTAATATGGCTGACAACACAGACACATTATGCTCACAACTTTGAGTTGTTGGGAGTTCAGTATGAAGAGTCACTTTCAGGGATAAGTTCACAAATTTTTTAATAAATCATTTTTCAAATGGCTTTCTGCCTGGAGGCGAGTCTACAGGGCGGCTGAACGGGGACTGATGAGCAGGTTAAAAGTGCTAAACATACAGGGCAAATAGCCGGGAGCAATCACATAGATTTCAGAAGATTTAAATAGCCAGCAAATGATGAAAAATGATGATTTAAAAGAGTAGAGAGTGAGGGTTTTAAATGGTGGCTACCCTGAGACTTTATTAGTGAAGGCTTGGAAAGCTGAATAATGAAGTCTTTCACACTAATTTAGATGCTTCATTAAAATAAAAGGCTGTTTTGAAGGCTGGTCATTTCTGTCTGCGAGTTCACAAAACAAGGGTGTATATTTGCCTCTTAAAGAGACCCATATGACACAGAAATGCACACAAAGAGCTCTGATCCTATAGTGAACCTCCAAGATAGCTCACATAATTAGTATAATCTCTGCAGGATGCATTCACTCCTTACAGTTAATTATAACAAATTCCCTCTCCGTGATCCACAGCGTGCACGGATCAAATGTTCCAACTGCAACAGACAGATAGAAGCATCTGTCACAAGTCTCCGTCTTCACAAACTCTAAGCCCTATGTGGTCATCCAGAGCCGCGTCGCCTTGTCTTCACATGCTCAGATGAAGATAGCTCTTTATAGCTCTGGTGCTCTTATTGCTCTCTAATTGTGGGATTTCAGACCTGAACGCATGCCGTTTCTTAAAAACCCTTTTCATTGCATTTAGAGGCCCTTAAAAAAGCGCGACGCACTCAACCTTGAGAATGTATCAATAATTCAAACACATCATCCTCTCATGATGGGGCTGTCTGAAATTGGGGAGGCTGTGTCTGAGGGATAATATTGCTCTCTGTCACATCTGACTAGCTGTCACCTGCTCGAGCATGGCTACACTGGGCTAATAAATGCAGAGTCAAGGCGGGCACATTTTCATGATTCGCAGAACAGTACGGGCTGCCCTTTGCAGGAGATGTGACTTTCAGATCTTACAGTGAGCATGCAGGAGCTGAAAATATTTTTTGACTAGTCGTCAGTTTAAATAAATATTTCATTCTGGCCAAAACAGAACAAACATTTTCCCTTTTTTTTATATAGCGAACAACTACATTTAGAAAGTGGACCGATGCTGAAATGAGTTAGAGCAAATCTGACCGATTTTTGACAACCCCAGTTTAGATGAAATAACTAAATCTGCTGGCTGCTGATTATTTGCTCTATGCACTCTACATCTAACTTGGTGTTGCGCTTTGTGGTTGTAAGGTGCATTACAGAATGGGACAACTGATGTACCTGCACCGAGGATTCATGACAAGTATTATCAGCACTGCACCATACTCTTAAACCAGGTATCAACTCTTGTAATTGCACTGGAAATCAAATTCAGTCTCCAGTGTTCGTGCCTTTCATTACTCTTAAAAAATGATCTTAGGGACTACATTATGTTTTAAGTTATATTTTATAATGTATTATAATTTGTCATACTACATGAATGTGCATGTTCTCTTGCTGTAGTTTCAAAATTGAAATTAAATTAGTTGAATGACTTAAAGAACCGGAACTAGGCATGGGCAATCTGGGCTGATGAATTTATCACAATAAGTTTTGCCATTCTGGCGATAACAATAAAAGCTACAAAAACTAAATACATAAATAAATAAAAAAATTTCTAATTCTAATCCATGTTTTTCACTCATTCTGTCTGGACAACCCTACAGTCATTGTTCTTGAATGGCACTTATCAGTTAGCATATTCAAATAAGATACTTAACTACAAATTTAAGTGGTAAGTCATGGAGAAAATTTGTGACATCAAACAAGTCTGAAATGTATGACAGAGTATTAGGGCCACATTAAGAAAAAAAAAATATTAAGACTTCGTAATTACTTACGAGAATAAAGTCGTAATTAGATCATTATGTACGAGAGTAAAGTCGTAGCTAATAGCTATTCTAACCTGTTGTTAGTTGTTTAAATGAGCGCTGTGGAGCATTTAGATGAATTGAACTTTAGTAGCTAGGTTTCACAAACAAGGAGATAAATCCTTTGGTGTTTCAGCATCACATTGTCGTAAGTATCAGGACATATGCAAGAAATGTATCTTTTCAGCAGAAAGAACCAGGCGGACTTGTAGGGAATCGCTGTTTTTGAGGAGGTGGAAATGGCTGTGCAGAGGTGAAATCCCTCAATGCAGCCGTTTATAGCAATAGCATATGGCTTTAGTTTATCATATGAATCTATGGTGCCTCTGCAGGTGTAGGTTGCTGCTGGTGTTGTGCTGGCATCAGAGCTCGACTCCCTCTGAATCACAAATGTTGATCATCAGTTGGATTATTTCTTGAGAAACCACAAAAGCCCCCTGAATGGCCCACTGATGCACCCACAGATAACTCTGCAGTTGACCAGTTTCAGCCATTTCCTCCTCCACAAAAGCAGCTTTAAGACTTTATTGACTTTAGGACTTTATTCTTGTAAGTAATGATCTAATTCTAAGTAATCTCAAAGTCTTGATTTTTTTTTTCTTGATGTGGCCATAATACTCGTAGAAATGTGAAAACACTTTGTACAATAAGAGTTTTGAATACATGTTTAGAGTGAACGGCAACAGATCCACTGTCTAATGACAGGCATACCTCTTTGCCTTTTTCTAAGCCCCAACCTTAAAGGAAAGTTTCTCGCATTTATCGTGAGATGGCAAAAATTAATTGTGGAGGATTTTTCTGACGATTAATTGTGAACGATAATTTATCGCCCATCCCTAACCTGAACATAACTTTTTATACTGTATGTGCAACCAAGATGTTAATGGAAATTTGTTTAAAGCGCGAAATTACTTAACAGAATCTTACTGGTTGAGAATTTTGGTTGGACAGATAAAAGAGAAAAAAAAAACAGGGTTAGGGTTAAGTAGTCTAATTGTTGGTTGAGATGAGTTGAAGTCAGAGTGAAATCAGACACATTCAAACAGAAAAACTTTTTTCTCCTCTCATTGTGGACAGTTTTACTTTGAGTCGACAGCAGTGTATCTTCATCTTGTGCAGCTTTTATCCTCAAGCTCCAGCCTGCTTCCAACTCTTTATGTGTCGTCTCAATGGGAGAACTACAATTATGCATGTAACTTCAATGAGAAATCTGATACATTCTCTCTTTGCATAAAAATCCTGCCCTTAGCATTAAAAGACTGCGCTGCTACTGTGGATTTATCGAGCTTTATCTGTTTGAAAAAAAATCCTTTTCCAAATTCACATGTGATCAATCCAGTTCTGTGATCCATATTGTACATCGCAGCAGTAGAAAGCCTGCAGTGACTGAAGTGAAACACTTGAGTAAGCTCTTGAATATTTTATTGGGTGTGATGCAAGAGTTGGGTGCTGTTGTCGAATCTGTAAAAGGCCATCGATGAAATTCATTACGCAGTGTATCAACTTTATTAAAAGATCCGCCGATTGAGTAAAGAGGTCTTGAAAATCTATTACCTGTTGTCATTTTCCTTGATGAGATAACAATGGATTTGACTTGACTCTTCAAATTAGATTCATACATCATTGTGACTCAAAATGAATACAAGGTTTTTCTGATCGATTTGGTTCCTTCCCAGTAACTCCTTGTACCAGATAACCAAACATGGATAATAAGAAGATAGGAGAAGTCATTAGCCACTGTTAATCACGATGGAAGTTGGTCTTGTTCATTGTCGCTCCAGTATCTTCGACCTTGTGCGGTGAGAATATTTTGGTGATGTAATGTAATCAGAGATGTCTATCTCAGAGAAGTTTTGGCTCAATTAGTCCTCCTGAACACTCGAGGCTGAGTGCCGTGCTAATTTTATCCTCCACTCAGCACCTGCAGTGCAGTCAGTGCGCTCTCACATGCACTAACTTTGTGATAAGGAAATATTCATGAGGCATGTTTTGGCGTTAGTTATCCACAGGAGTTTCTTGTCATTTTATTAATAGGGGAATTCTTGGAACTTGTGCAGGACTACAAACACATTAAGCAGATTACATCAAAAATCAACAATCAATGTGGTTGGAATTAGAGAACGCTGCCGTGCTCATCTTCGCCCATTTGATTATCTTGCTTAGTCGCCTTTCAACAAACATCCCCCAAAAATAAACAGTCATGAAGAGATAATGTTAAGTTTCATCGGGAACGTGCTTTGCCTCCCCTGGACTGGGGAGATGTTTGGACAGTCGAGTGAAAAATTGCCCCAAAATCTGACCAATGAATCGTTTTACACATGCTTTAATGCATTTCATAAATAATCTGCCCGAGAAGGTAATTAGTGCAGGTGTTTACACATACTTCTGCCATCAGGGTGCACAGTAGGATCGCAGTTGGCTGAGTGAGTTTGAGGTTATTAAATTAGGCCCAAAGTAACAGGAAGAAGGATGAGCTTCAGTTAGGCAGGTATGAGGCACAGCATATCGGCCCTATTTATCATCCAAACAAAAAAATACACATTCAGGAAATTATGCATGTTCACGTTATCTCCCTTATGAGACACAGATTCAGTGTTTCCATAATCAGGCCAGTATGCAGAAAAGATTTTTCATATTCATGAGCGGTCAATAGTAAAATAACATCTCCCAAGGGCAGGTTTCCAAAGACGAACAAGGGGTTGCTCCTAAAAATGTAAGAAGTAAACTGCTGAACTTTATGCAACCAAACAGGAGGGTAAATCATCTACACCAGGAATTAACAATATACTGCAGAAGGAATAAGAAAATAGGAAAACTGAGATGGTTTTGCTAGCATCTTAAAACTTTCTTTGCAAGGCCTTTGAAGATCCTTCTCTATATTACATTTAAAAACCTCAGAGACCTCTTCATCAGTTTCCCCTCACTGACTGGGACCTGCTGTCTGCCTGTGTCCTACTGGCATCACTGTTGAAACATTTCCTTCTGTCACTTTTTCACAAAGTCAGGTTGATGACAAGCCGATCCCTGGGGGGATTCTTGAGCAAAACAACACACTTGTTTTTTAAGAAATTTACAGCAGACAAATATCATCTTTGTCTATGGAGGTTAATAGGCAGGGACGCCATATGCTGGAAGGTGGGTGAGGTCCAAAATCTCTGGTTGCCAGCCCATGTAAAAAAAAAAATAGATCATTAGGGATGACCATACTTAGACGGGAAGCAAGGATGACAGGTGGCGTATTGTAGTGCATTGTAGTTTGCTGGTAGTTTGATCTAGAAATTGGAGATTAAGTTGTATATAGGCCGTCTGGTGGGACTAGCTCACACTTGAGGGTTTAAACCTGCACAGAGAACCAGTGGTGCTAGCTCTGCCAACCGTCAATGGAAGTTAAGCTAAACACTGGCAGCAACTCAGCTGCCTGGTACATCCATTGCGATTGCAATTTTCGTCCAACTCCACTCCTTTTCGCTTTGTTTGTGGCATGATTTTTGTACATTTGTTTTGGTATGCTTGTTGTGCTCCTTTTTCACTCAGCTTGCTTTCTGATTGGCTGTTGTTTTGTTCTACTTGGCTGTCATTGGGGTCCTCCCAAACAAATTAGGGTATTTGATTATGATCAGCAAACAGGTTTAAGACAAATGATTTCAAATCGGGGGGCGGCCCCAATCCTCTTGTGAGCAAATTAGGGAGAGTAAATCACTTTTAACAAACACCAGAGGTCTAGATGGAAAATCCTGGAGGAAAATCTAAGGAGCTTTGAAAAATCTCTTTTTTTTATTATCATTATTTTTACCTTTACACTTGTTGAATGTCAATGATAACGAGAGGAAATCATTCCCCCCAGAATATACGTAGTTATATCTATTTGAGGTGTTTGATGTTTATATGACTTGAAAATAAATTAACATAAATTACATATGTTATATTTGCTGATTTACAACAAATCTTTGTCTTTAGCACGTGTCCAACCATAAAGGGTAAATAATCTAAGGGAAAAACAAGGGTTACTTTTCGATTCGATCGCTTATGAAATATACAGTATAAAGACACCAAAATTGTCATGCAACTGTGTTTTCAGCAGTTGATTTGCACACAACAGCAAATAATCAACTGAGCAAACAGTTTTGTCTAAAAATAACAAAGACAGAAACAAACAAAAAACACGACTGATCTCATTCTGCATTTTAAATGCGAGCCCAGTCACGGTCATTTGAATGCGGCTGGTCTAAATAAGCAGCGGGGGTGCCACCGCTGTTAGATTTCAAGGTCATCCAGCAAAATATTAATCCTTCTTAAACAAGACAATGTCATGCAGCAAAGCGATGCATCAGACAACCAAATGAATGCACATGCATGTTCCTTGTGGATTTCTTTGTTGTGTAAAAGTGGTAGTTTAATGGATTACCTCCCACTAGTTGGGATGAAGCCAAAAATAATTGCTGCTGTATTTTGTTTGCGCTGTAAAAACCTTGCCTTATAAACCACTATGCAGCATTTGGCATCTGAGAGCCCATCCAATTCAAGTACCTGTCACTCAAACTGGACTCCCTGGCCTGTGTTTCATGTCTGTCTGGTACCTGAAGCTACATGCCCTCTCTCTTTCATAGCTGAAGCTCAGGGTTGCTCTCAGTGTGAATGCTTGGGTTGGCATGAGTTGCCTCATAGCGAGACCTCGCTGTGTTTGATTCATGGTCAAATCGCTGTCCTTAGTGAATATGTTCTCCTTTTGAATGTTGCGTGGGAGAACTGTTTCCTTCCATATTATAAAGAGTCGGGTGAAGTGGAGACTGTAAATTACCCATAAGTGTGTCTCTATTAGTCTCTCTAAGAACTGGCAACCCATCCAGTGTGTCATGAAAGGAGATAGAAGCCTTAATATGCCTCAATTGGAAAGAGCAGAAACTATAATGGCCCTTAGTTTAAGGACGGTTATGTGAATGGGTTGCTTTATAGTTGAACACATTGGAACAGCTGGTGCTAATGGACTAAAAAGGTGGCACTAATTGAAAAGAGTTTGGTGTGTGGTTTGCTGTTACCATAGTTTATTACCTGCTGATGTTATGAACTACTTCACCTAATGTTATTTAAAATTTATCACAGAGGCTGCGCGGTGTTTAGATTTAAAAGAGATTTCTCCAGCACCTTTGTTGCACTCAGTAAAAACTATGCACTTAGTAGCTGTCAGCCACCACTTAAACCAGGGTCCTGGAAGGGATTTATCAAAGCTTGCGTTCTTATTAAGTAAAACTATTTAAATCAACTTATCTGTATGACACTTTCACTGTGTGTGTGGAGAGCCCCCCGATTGTAAGGTAGCGCCAGTCGGCGGTGCCAGTAAAGTCCTTCAGAAACAGATTGTGTCGGAAGTGATTAGTTTCACACCATTCATCAAAATCAAAAAGCAACCCATAAAGCAGCAATAGTTTTCACACTTGGCAAGCTGACACATCTTAAACATTTTCAGATTCAGATTCAGTTTGCCAGAACATAAGGTTCTGAAAACAACATATTTAACACGGTCCAAACATCACTGCGGAAAGAGCCAATAACAGGGGAGGGTTACGATGTGTATGATTGTTGAGAAATTGGTTTAGCACATAACAGAAAACAGTGACAGTCCATGTTGGAGTGCCTTAAATGCCTGTGATGCGCAGTAGTTGGTAATTATGTGGTATGAAGTGTTGACTGGTGATATCTTGATCAAATGGATAATTACTGGATGTAAATTAGGGGAATTTTATTTTATATATATCCTCGAGTATCCTCGAGATAATGTTTGTATATAATTAAAACAATTATGTACATTAACATCTTCCAGTTACATATTTTCAACCAGAATGAGACAATGAAAGGTTGACATGTTACATCTGATGTGAATTCCACTTTGTTATATAACATTGCCATTAAATCAGTGACAGTGCACTTGGTTAGTTTCTACAAACCCCGTTCTTCCCTGAGCTGTCTATTTTACTTTAGTTTCTGAAATCTCACAAAAAGTTTGGATGTGATCCAGGGCCTCAGGTGTTTTGTCCACAGTGGAAAGAAAAGTGAAGTGGAAGAGTAGACAGTCGTGTGGGGGTCTCTCAGTAACTAAGCGGAGTATCATCCTGGTGATAAACTCAGAGGCATCTCTACCTCAGCTGACCTCAGCCCTTTAATTTCTGTAAAAGTTCGTAGCAACACGAGGATAATATATGTTTAAAATAGATTCACTTTTTAAAAAAAGGCCCAAATTTTGAGATTTCAATGGCAGCAACTTATTGAAAGTCATCAAGTGTTACTTTACTGAGGAGAAGATTTGTTATCATTGATATGCTTGAATACAACAACACTGATGTTGATCATATTACCTATCTGGTAGCTTTTTAAGTCATATAAACTCGTATTTATAAGAAGATAATGCAGTAATTAATGATATAAGATCAAGTAAATTGACAAAAGTAAGCCTTCCAAAAATAAAAGGACAGCTGGAAATAAGTCATATGAAGGCCAAATCGAGCACTCTGTTTGAAGACAGCTGAAAAACAAAGAAGAAATGTGGTAACATCTGTGGGCTGTACACGGCCATGTCTGAGAATTCATTCCATGAATCAAATGAACTGTGAATCAAACCTGGTCACTGGCGTTAGGAATAACAACGTGGAGAAAGTAGATCTCCCTTCAGGATGGTGTTGTTTGCTCGTGTAGATCATACAGGGGACAAAGTTGATCAAACTAGACTTACAGATTTAAGGTAAGCAGAGAATCGTGGTTTTGATTAATGTTACTAAGAGATTGTTCTAGGCTTGCTGTATGTAGAAAAAGTGTCACAGGATTACTTTGTAGTCATTCAGCGCTTAAAAACAATATGTTTGTTTGAATCACAGCCAACACTGACTTCTATCATATGGTGTTTCGTTTTGCAACAGCCAAAACCAAAGCGTTTTTGCAGGTTTCACCCTAACAGAGCAGGATTTTTTTGGAGTCAGGTTTACAGAGCTCAGATTTGTCCAGCCAGTACAAGTTCTGTGCTGAGTAATAAACTTTGATGTATGAGGTAATCACAGAACTCTGAATTATTGCCCACCTTGTTACACTTTCTGGCATCAGGGAGAGTTTGCAGCAAAGGCACAGATGGTTGATTCATAGAAAATCAACAAAACATATTTAAGGATTGATGTTCATTTTTACACTTTCGGGAGGCAAAATAAAAACCGACTCCCAAAAGAGAAGAGGGGGTCATTTTTTGATGCTTATGGTTCACTATTTTGACAGAACCCAGCTTTTTTTCCTTTATGTAGCTCAGTAAATACTGAGTTCAGCACTTTGATTTTTCAGTCTGATGAGAGGAAGACCTTTGTGTGTGTGTGTGAGAGTGAGTGTGTACACGCAAATGGTAAAACAGCCTACAGTACTCCTATCTATCTATCTATCTATCTATCTATCTATCTATCTATCTATCTGTCTGTCTGTCTGTCTGTCTGTCTGTCTATCTATCTATCTATCTATCTATCTATCTATCTATCTATCTATCTATCTATCTATCTATCTATCTATCTATCTATCTATCTATCTATCTATCTGTCTGTCTGTCTGTCTGTCTGTCTGTCTGTCTGTCTGTCTGTCTGTCTATCATTAGTTTTTGTTTTGTTTCTCAGGATGAAAGTCACTGAAAACTGTGCAGGTGACAGGTGTTCAAATGTCTTACTTTGTCTCGCACGTTAATTGAAATCACAGCAGCTTCTGAGGAGCATTACCACTCATTTAATGTCGTGTTGTGACAGCCCTGTCATGCAGGCTTATATGGCAACACCGAACACAGAAAAAAAGGAAAAAAAAGAGTTGTCCACGTGTTTGCTCATGCTAAATCACCACCTTGAGAAAAATTCCCTCAAATTTAAAGTGTAATTAGCTGTATGAAAGTGCATGGCAGTTGTGCTTTCTGCTCCCAGTCCTATCTGAACACTCAGTATTTTGTCTTTGGCACACAAATAGGGCTGCTGCAGTGTACAAGCACTGATGGTAACAGTCTTCATTAAATTATGAAATATTGATACAGGACTAAAAATAAGCAAACGGTTTTAACGTGGGTTCATAGCGGTGGTCTTTTAGACTGGTGACCACATGTTATTAAACATAGGAGAGCTGAAGCAGCAGCAGATGTCTGCTTTCTTAAGAGATTATTAGATACTTTTAAAAACTGGAATTTTATGATTTTTTTTGTCAATCTAGAATCTAGCATTGAAGCTTGTGTCTGTGGGTAACTAATAGGGTTGCAAAATTCCAGGAATTTTCAAAGTTGGAAACTTTCCATGGTAATTAACGGGAACAAATCTGAAATTTACAAAATTGAAGGTTAGCCCTCAACAGGGAACTTAAATAAAGTTCGGGAAAATATACTGTAGCATAATCTTGGCTAAAACAACCAGATTTAATGCAAGTACACTCCTCAATCACATGCACACAGCACACTGCGTACTGCAGGGCTGTTGAGGCCACACCCCCTACATGCACTGTGCATTCCTCCATCACATGCACAGATGATTTCTTGAACCCTGGAGGCCACACTTTTGAGCCCAAACACTATATAAAGTCAAGTAAGTTTTGATAACATTATGGGGTAAATCTATTTGAAATATAATCTTATTAATTTTTAACTTGCAAATATTAAATAAAAATAGGTGTTAAATATAAGCTACTTTTCATTTCATTGACCATTTAAGGGGCCAGCTTATTATGGTGGTGGTAGCTACCTCAGAGTGATGCTGTTTCTTTTGTAACCATACAATAATTTAAACATCAATTGTCAAATATTTTGAAGACCATTCCAGTTGTTTAGCGAACTACATTTATGTTCATGCCATTGCATTAGTGTTTTTACAAGCTTTTTAGTTATTTTATTCTACAGTTTCCAATTTGGAATATTTCCAAAGTTCCCCAGCTTAACTTCCAATGGAAAGTTTCTGAAACTTTTCTTGGAAATTTTCCACCCCTTTGCAACCCTAGTAACTAATCAACTGAATGCCTTTACCTTACTTTCACGTTTTACCAAAAGTAGCACTTAAAAATAAAAGCATAGTTTTAAATTGAAGGGAAAAAAATAACAAAATAAAAGCATCCAAAGAAATCGTTTCATGAGGCTTTGTATGAGGTAATCTATTGGGTAATTTTGTAATATTGAATTTCAGATTAATCTCATATCCTAATCTTACTTGCTGATAAACTTTGTAAATCTCTAGTTTCTGTTTGTCTGAAGGACTTCTGTGTGCCTCCATGTCGAGGTTCAGGTCTACAAAACCCCTCCTAACTTGACTGCAGGTGTATCTTTGTTCAAACCAAAGTCATTCTGTGCATGTTAAAAAAAACCAAAACACATAAATATTCCATCCGCTTTTACCCCCTTTAGTGACAACTAATTATTCAGCACTTTGTTGTGATTTCCCAAAAGGCAGACATTAACATTCAAACTGATGAAACTCCCATAATCAAAGAGTATTATGGGTTTTCTGATTCTGTGCATTGATGTGCATGACTGTCGGATAATGCAAAACATCAGAAATATCAAGTATCAAACCTGCACCCAAAAATGGAGCCCAGGTATGCTGAATGATTGACATGCAGTGAATCCTTCAATAATCAAAGGGTGCAGTAATGCTGCTTGTTTCATGTGCAGCCGTCCTCTCCATCTGATTGCTGCCTGTGGAATGTGGCTGTGCCGCGGACCAGGACTTTAATTAGAAACGACTGGTTTGAAGTCAGACCGGCCATTATCTGGCCACCAGAAAGAAAGCGGGAATATACACAGACTCTGTTTTCAAAGCTCGAGTAGATATGTATCAAATAGTTACACAGATGGATAAATGTGATTCCACGTCTCGCTTGACATCGTTGCTAAGCCTGTCTTCCACTTTTCATGCTACTGTGAAATTACTCGATTTGCAGCTGCTGCAGGCACAGGCTCGAGGACAAGAGAGTGGAACAGGATTGCAGATGCTGAAATTTGTGCAACACCATAACAGAATCAGTGGCTCTGTCTGGATTTATCTGATAAATCACTCACTGATGCTTTTACTGCAATAAAATGCAACCCGAAATTAAATGAAAATAATCGTGAGGGAGTCGTCTTTGTGAGTCGCCTTTGCTGCTTTTTGTCAATGAAAATTCAGAGTGTGTTCGAGCTTAAAAGAAATATGGAAAAGCTCGTGCTTGAATGAGGAGGTAAAATGGCGGAGAAGCCCTTCACTTGTGCCCCTGAGTGTCAGCTGGTTGGTGCCTCTTGATGTAGTCGGTTTGCTAGCAGGCCTTTCTTTTTGCAGCACTTTTCACTGTGGCTCTGTCGTCTTGGGTAGTCTTTTGATATTTGTCAGGTTAGACTAGAACCATGTGAAACTTTCAAAAGAAAGCTGTTGGGGGTTTTCTTTTTCTTTTTTGTTCAGTGTTGAGGAGCCTTGAATTGTTTTGCTAAATTCTACAAATCCAGAGTTTTTCATTTCTGAGACTTTTTCAATCATTATTTTGACCTTTGAGACACTAAAAGATTTTTTTTTCTTCCATTTCTGTGAATTTATTGTTTTTCTTTCGCCAGTCAAGTAGGTATTTGTCAGTATTATATTTGAGTGTTTGGGCAGCTTTTTACATTTTGTGTCTCAAGGCTTCCCAGCAGCCATTTTGACATAACTTTGTTAATAAACTTTGTTTAAATAGAACAAATACAAGCAAAATACAGTTGGAAAACAGCAAAGATGAATAACTATGAGAGTTTTCTCACCAACCCATCAGTGGAAAAATTAACCAAGAATAAAGAAAGTATTCCTCAAAATTTGGCCATTACAATCTTTATGAAATCTCTACAATGGTCTTAAGCTTTAGCCTTTTACTTGAAATAACTGAACAGCGAACCGTGTGCTGTGAAAATCCAGGAAAGCCCCCCTTTAGCCATGCCACTTGCTGTCTTCAGCTGTGGTCTCTTTAATTACAGCAGAAACAATGGGTCAGTTGTCTCTATACAGTTTAGAGAGTAACATCTTTACAACATGGAGCAGCATGGAGAAAGCAGCTGTCAGCGAGGATTTCTCTCTCTCTCCATTTTTCCTCTCTCCCTTCCCTTTTATCTGCTCGGCTGCGATGTTGCTAAGCACCGGGGTGAGCGCCCATGTTTGAGGAATATATTTGAGTGAGGAAAGCCATCCACATATTTATTCCTTTCCTCACTGCTGGATGAAACCACTCAGCATTTAGAATATGGGATGAGTTTCATCTGTGCAGGTATGCCACGGTGAGCTATCACCAAAGCCCCATGATATTTCAGGGGAATTTTAGACATGTGCATTGCAATGAAATAGCTGTTGCAGTGTTGTATTTACCAGATATAATGTAATATAAACAATGGTGTGGGTATAAAAGGATGTTTGTTTGTTGTGATGCTGGCCAAGATGGAGCTGAGGTTTGAATGAGAGTTGGAGGATAAAAATTTTGCGTGGTTTAAGAGAAACAAGACGCTTGTTTAATTTTAGGGTGATCGCAACAAGGCTTTAAGATACATTTTCTCATATTTTTTGTTGATATAGTCCTTTTTGTAGCAAGCTAAATCACCTAATTGTAGCTATTATTAAAAAATGGATGAGTTGAACTAATGCAAAAGTTATTATAGCTAAAAGAGAAACTCAAGTGTGATCTAACCACACAGAAGTATAGTATTTATCTAAAGTGACCTGGTGCAAATGGAACCAAAGAGCTGTCTGATTCTGTATCGTCCAATCAAGATTCCCGGTGTGAAAAACCTTCTTCTTTGTCACGACTGTCTGATGACAGCAGTGGGATTTCCATAGAATAGCAAGCTGTGCAGCGAATACACAGCGCGGTGGGTTGTCAAACAGTTGTACTTATGAGATGCATAAAATAGCTTGAAATAAGGTATAAGCTGGTTTACACCCAGACGGTTACATGTTATGTTGCAGAGTCAAATTGAACAGAACAAAGTAGTGTTTAACCGTCTCCCCTGCAGTGCTGAAATAATGACCCGTCTTCATCTGTGTGTTGTGATTTCTCTCTCTCTCTCTCTCTCTCTCTCTCTCTCCCTCTCTCTCTCGCTCTCTCTCTCTCTATAGCTCTCTAGCTTTTCTTCCTCTCCGTCTCTAACTCGCTGCCACTTTTTCCTCATTTTAGCCAATCCAGATATGTGGCTCAGCAGGAGAAAAACTGCTGTACTGAAACAAGACCATGAATAATTAAAAAACACTGTTATTAATGAACTTTCAGACATTATGTTAATGAGCGAGTTCAGTCTAATTTGTCAGCCAGACTTTTGTTGTCTGTTCCATCACTTTTCTATGCATATTAAGGGCCTAATATAATAACCCCAATTATGACAGGGGATAAGAGTTGCATCCTTGTATGGAACTAAAGTGCTGTTGGACTGCTAGCTTGGAACTAATGACGCAAAAACCCCTCTTATTATCATTTACTAATGCAGGATTAGTTCAGCTGTGATTTTTGTCAAGTTTAAAAGGCATTTGTTGAGAGTCACTTTCTGAAACTGGTCCAAGTTTGGCATTGAAGTTGTATTTTTGTAGTTTGAGCAACTTGAAACTAATCTTTTGCATTAAAAAAAAAGAACTCTAAGGTAGGGCTGGGCAATATGGCCTCAATTTAATATCATGATATATTGAGCGGTTCACTTTGATAACGATAAATGGATGATAACTACTCCACAAGCTGCTCACCCCCTCCCGCATTAACTTTGTCAACTTCAGCCGCTATAACTTTTGAACCGTCCTCCATCTCCTCACCTGTCTTTCCCTCTTTGTTATGGACTGGATGGGGTGGAGTCACGTCTCTGACGTAGGACAGCATCTAATAGAGACATGAGACTATAGCCTATCGACACACATCCAAAACCAACTTTTATTTAATAATTTTTTTGACACCGAATATATCAATATGGGGAAAATGACGTGGGTTATTGTAGTAAATTTCGGTATCTGTAAATTTTCGTTTTATCACCCAGCCCTACTATAAGGTCAAATGAGTAATGTGAAGTATAAATCAGGCTACGTGAACAGCTTTATCACCATGCCAACTCACTTGCTGTAGATGTTACAGACTTTTAAAGACTTAATAAAATCTCCATGTCAACCCATTTGGAAATGTTCAATTCCAGCTGATCTGCAGACTGGTCAAGCTATTGTAGTTTTTCGCCCGGCTTATTGAGTCCACCTTAAGTGTTCACTCAGAGATCTGCACTTTTAATCGCACTCCCACACTGGGCACTCTTTTCAATAATTGGGCTTTCTGCTTGTCTTTTGGTTGTTGTGTTCAATCACCGACTCAAACCAACTTCTTGGGGAAATTTGAGCAGTGAGCTTGCAGAGTGAAGTCAGACTGAGCAGGTTTGACTGTTTGCATTCACACACATAGCCCACCTGGCTGATAACAAACATTTCCAAGCGTGCAGTGCATCTATAAGAGTATCTTATGAAAATAACATCCATACCTTTTTTCTGATGCAAGATTTGTGCATTATAAGGGCTGGCTGACATTTTCATTTCACTTTGAAAACACAAACCTCTGAAGAACCCTGCCCTCAGACCTCTACCTGATGTGTGTTGCACTAGCAGATGTTGATTATGAACTCTAGTCAGGGTCAATTTCAAAACCGACACCAGAAAACATCACTTTTTCTATGATTGAGAGATATTTAATCTGCTGAAAACACATCATTGACTTCCTTTAATCCTCATGAATACTGCTCTCTACCCATGAGCCCTTCATGCGAAAGGAGGCAGCTGAGAGAGTTGTAACAACTATGAAAACACCGTCCTCTTCTTCCTCTTTGAAGGGGCAGCTGTTCCTCAGTGGTGGGGCAGGTCATCTCCCAATTGGAAAGTTGGAGGTTTGATCCCAGGTCCTGCCGTCCTTGGGCAAGACACTTGACCCCAATCTGCTCCTGCTGGCTGCGCCCAGCGGTGTGTAAATAGGATTAGTTAAAACTGATAGGTGCTTTGCATATAGCAGCAGTGTGTGGTGTAAAAGGGTAAATGTGACACGTAACAGAGAGAAAGCCCCCTATAAACTGCCTCTTAACCATCCTTCTACTCTTTCTTTATTTGTTCCAATGATACACAGCTATTGATCATAACTGAGGAAGTGCCACTATAATATGTTCCAGTGCCTATTATAAAATTATCATTGAAATATCAAAGCTAAGAAATCAAAAGAATGAAAGAAAGATATGAATCATTACATTACTGATTGATCTCTCTGAATACAATGTGAAGAATAAACACTTCATCACTGAGCACCACATTGTAACCCAGTGGTGATATTCAGAGAGAGTCTATGAGTGCCAGTTGTGTCTTATCATCACGACAAGATGGTACTGCTGAGACCGAAGATCCCAAAGATCCATTAGTGTCCTCTTTTTCATTTTGACACCGACTTCTGGATATCTGCCATCACTTACTATTATATTACAGCATCAACAACCCCCAGTTTGTCTTTATTACCAGCTCCTAATCTCTGCTGACAGCTAATCATGTTACAAGTTCTTTGGGTCGCTTCTCTCGGTCACAGCTTTTCTGTGTTTTCTTTGTTTCTGTTAAGCCATAAAATTCATAACCAGCGATCGCTGAACAGTCCATAATGCGATGCACCCCCCACCCCATCCCACCCCTCTCTGTCTCACAACTTGTGTCTCAATAAGAGAAGGCAAACAGTCTCTGTCGCTGTGCTGCTTGTGCATGCTGTGATTAATGTCTGCACGGTCTGGTCAAAGTGTCGATATCTTCAACAGCTGGGCCCATCTGTCATCTTTCTCCTGTGACACCCCTGAACGTAACTCAGGTCCGATCAGGGAGGCCATCCATCAAAGTGGTAAACAGAGACGTCTCACATTAGCAGCCCCGAACACTTCTCATCATATACCATAACAGACAAGCAATCATCTGGTATTATGTCGTGCCACAGGCTAATGTGAAATATTAACGCAAATATACGGCGCACCAGCTGCCGATCGGACGGGGCATCTGTGCTTTAGCGTAATGGGTGGGTCACAATTTAATATCGTGGAGACAGTAGGTTGTAGATTCTCTCTACGCCTGTGTTCCACAACGTTTTCTGGCAAATCTCCCTGTCGTCACTCTTTTTGTTTCTCTTTTTAACAATGTTTTGTGTGTTTAAATCAGAGGCACAGAGTCCATTTACTCTGCAACCGCCTGCATATTGATTTGTGTTGTAAACTCTGTGCTCTTTAGTCTGAGCAGCAAAGTAGAGAAGAGCATTCACTTGCAGTTAAATTAGATCTGCTTTATAAGACACCCATAAAAATGAGTGATATGATGCATTCAGGTACATTTATTACATTTGCCTCTTGTGTGTGTGTTTTTTTCCTCTAGGGGGCAGTAGATTCAGAGACAGCACGCGTATCTCTTCATCTGTCCGATTGGTGACGGATTCACCACCATTACTGCTCAGATAAATGCTCGAGGGGTCGAGGCCATGGGCCAGCTTGCGAGGGATCAACCTCATCGTTCTCACCAATACACACGGACACATAGACAGAAAACACACACCAGCCCTCATCCCTCTGCTCTTCTTGCAGTCCTCTGCAGCACTCACTCCTGGCGGGGATTATGCTGACACTGTAGTGGGAGGAATATATGCATGTTGGAAATCAAGATATGGACCTTTTGTCAGTGCTGTTGTCAAGTGATGGAGATAAATGTGTGTGAAATATGTGTTTTCAGTGTTTTGCCTAAAACTCAGCTCCCGTTAAACACAGCCAAATTTCCATTTCTATATTTCCCTCACCCCCCTCCTAGGAAGAGTACTCTTATATTCACAATCGTAAGTAAGAGAACAGTCTCAGTAGTGGGTATTCTTCTGAATAACTTGTTAAATTTAGAGATAAAAATGTGATATCAAAGATAAAACATCAGTCTCTGGGCTCTTGTGGCTGACCATCGTGATCTATTATTTGGATTCAACCAACGGCAAACCACATGGTGTTTGAAAAAAAAAGAAAAAAGGAAAAAAGAAAAACTCTATTAGATGAAGGAGGGCCAAATTAAGCACAGGTCCCCTGAAATTGAAGCAAGATAGTGTTTCTTTGACTCTTTGAAACCCAAGCACGATCTGGCTCACATCGAGGAGGAGAACGGCTAATTGCATCAGCACCTCTGCATAAAAACTCAGCCGGTTATGAAGACATAATGGGAAACAGAATTCCTTTGCGATGCTTGATGTAATGCACAACTTTTTTATTTCCTCGCTCGGATTGCTTCTTATTTATCTCTTTCCATCCGCTGCGGTCAAAGCAGAGATAACCGTTGTAACGTTAACGTGTCACATGTATATCGAGGAAAGAAGCAAAGAAGGCCAATAAGGGGGGCAGTTAAATGGAAATAGTTTCATTTCCTTTGGTGTAAACAAATACCCCATGTAGTCCCCGGACCAGAGCGGTGGGTAATCGGCCGCTTTAACTCAACAGAACACTTTGCCCTGAGCTAAACATAATACTTCCTGCACTTAACTAAATCCATTTCTCAACCCTCAGAAGAGTTATGACACAACAATGCTTTATTGCACAAATGTCTCTTAAAATTAAGCCAGTGCTAAACATGCAACCCAATAGTCTTTGTTTCAAAAATAGATCTTTTGGGGGGAATTCACACCACTGCCACGGTTTGGGAATCGGGCTTTAAGTGCACTTTACTATTTTTCTTCATTTCATACAACAGATTTATTTGTACACAAATAAATCTGTTGAAATAAAATAATATTAATCATAATAATAATAATTAAATTAATAAATAAATAGAAAATTAATGTCCTCCTCATGTCCATTAACGGATATTGAGTGATAAGTGAACAGGCTGTTTCCTATCAGTATTGATTCCTCTCTCGTCGCTCAATATTTGCATGTAATACACTGCGTAGCTGACTGCAGCAATCACCAATAGTTAATCACCGCTTGCAGCAAATTGTGTATAGATTCACACAAACTGAAACTGCACAAAGTCAAAGAAATCTTTTCAAGGCCAAAAATTATTCACCATGTGAGACTCGGCACCTGCCTGAGACTTTGAACAAGTGTGCCATCGTTTTCTTGTTTCCCGTCCAAGTTCATCCTTTTGTAATTAGCACCTCGCCTCTGTGAGATGGGTTATAGTTGACTGCTAAGGCGAGGATGAATCCCGCACCTCTGTAATAGCATGAATGCTTCTTTTCACCCTATCACGGAGAGACGCGGGAGGTCTCTTTTCCACGTCTGCAGGTGGTGTGAATGCTAATGCCACACCTTCTGGAGCAGCATGTCTCTATCCGAAGCCAAAGTTCTCCATTCCCAGGTGCTACTGTTTGTACAACCTCGCACAAACACTTTGCCCATTTGTTTTACTCAGATTGTAATGGTGCTTGACTGGCTTCCTCTTGCCTTGCACGTTTCAGTTCATATCTCAGCGGTAAAGCAGGAGACAGGTTGGCGTGAGGTCCCGCTGTGAGGCGTTGCTAGATAAAGCACGCTGCAGGTAAAAGCATGCATGGCCACTCACCATTACATCACTCCCCATGCTGTCCCTGAGATGGCGCTCTTAATTAGAAGGGCTTGGAACTCGGGTTTTACTGCCCCGTATTACCATTTCATAGTCCAAGTTGCGAGCTAGGCTAAAACATGGCAGGGAGGTACAGTATATTATGAAAATCTGCTGTAATTGACACTATTTTGGAGCAGCTCTATGGCTTCATTTTCCACTTCTGCGTTGTCTTTGGCGATTAGCCTGTTCCTCACCTGTACTTCCTCCCTAGACAATGGGCCGTTCTGCTCATACAGATGATGAGGTGCAGTATCAAAGCCAAATGAGATGGCTGCCAATTAGAGAGGGCTTCCAGGTGCATTTCAATGAAAACTCGCACCACTAACTGCACCCTGTAGTGTCTCCATTCAAAGGCACTTTACTACGGGGAGACTTCAACAGAAACTTATGAAAGTATTTCAATTACCGGCATCAGTGACAGACTTCTTTTCAATACTTAGCGCAGGTAGGGGGTTTTGAACTTCGTAATGATGTCTTACTAAATGTTCCAAGTGAGAAGTTAAATTGACTTGCAGCTGGTTCAGTTTGTCTAACCTCCTCTTCTTTCTCGGAGTAACTGAAAAAAATCAAATAATCCATTTTCCTGTGTTCTGGATGGACTCCAGTTTAAAAGCTTGGACACAGTTTGAGGCCGAGCTGTTATTTGGACATCCCCCACACTCCTCAGGGGACACAATGGTCTTTTATATAGTCCCTTCAAGGGTTGTGGCACAAAAGACTCGGATAAATTCAGACACCTCTTCCTCAACGTACGGATCGCTCCAGAATTATAAAACAGTGCGAGTAAAGTATCATAATTTGCAAAAACGCAGCCCAATAGAAGGAAAGTCAATGTACATTCAGCACATTCAAATGGAGCACATTATCAAGATATGAGCCTCAGTAACAAACAAGGAACTTCCTCTTAAAGCACCTTTTTACCCAAAACAGGTCATGTCAGAATAAAAGCCCTTCCCATGTTCTTATGAACATCTTTCCTGAATTTGCAAGTGCTCAGTGGTGCACCGAAGTGGCCTTTGAATCAAAATTTGCAGTTATTATTCAAATTAAATCAAGTCGGGGCAAACGGGAAGAGCAGTCAGAAGAAGAAGAAGCTCGCTGCTGTAAATCTTGAAGCTCTACCTCTGTGATTGCTTAGGCCACCATGGAATAAAGATTAGAAGAAAATCACTAATCACAGCGGATGTCATTAGCATACTAGCAATAACGGGATGCAAAAGGGGGAAAAGAGGAATTGCCTTATAGTGCTGGTTAAAGTAGGAATCAATGCCGTGTATTGGATGCACACAGCTGCTTGACAAACAGATATATTCACTGGCAAACACGGGTGAAGGAAGTGTCTAATAATGATGTTTTTTTCAATGTTTTTGTCTGAGTCACTCGCTGAGGCACTTGATGCTAATATCACATTCCCCCTCTCTCTTTTGATCAGCTTTTGCAGCTGGGCTGCCCTGCCTCACTTGGATGCATCAACAAAGCTTGAAGTGGCCACTCTAATCTGGTTAAGTATTGCCTGGTTGGGGAGAAATTAGCCGGATTCTTTTAACTTTTCAAACAAACATAATACAGTCAAACTTGCTGGATGGGAATCAATTAGATGAACTGAAAATAGGTTTGACGGTTGGGAGGAGAAGGAGGGGAGAGATAACATTTCAGTTCTGGAAATCATCTCATGCATCTATTCAATGGCATATGCCTGTAGTATCACGTGGAAGCCATGTTTCAGTCCAGGGAAATGAACGAAGCAGAAGAGGATCTGTGAAAATACAGGCAGGATAAGTTCCACAAATCGTTTTCACCCTGTGGGCGTATCGACATTATCAGTATTTCTTCAAAAATTACTACAACCTGCCTACATCCGAACAATACTGTAAGGAAGAATGGGATGAGTTTGGAAATAATGGCATAATTTCTCAATGAGAGAACCAAGCAGCAGATCTATAGAGTCATATTCAATTTCTACAAATGACCTACTGAGCTTATTCCACATATGAGGCTGAAAAAATGCATAAAAACTGAATGTTTTTGGGCCACCAGTGCAACAACATGGATGCCCCTTTAGTTTAATAACCCAACAGGATGAATGATTAAGCCTTAAAGAAATAATAAGACATAGATTTCAACAGAAAAAATGATCATCTTCTCTCTCTAAATAAAGGTGTGTTTGTGTACCCTTAGTGAGGAAAATCCATTTACACTCCTGTCAAAGATTAGATTAATTACCCCAGAGATAGTAAAAGAAATAGTTGGCGTGATACTATTTTCTATCTACATCTTCTCTTTTCAGGAGATGAGATTGTGAAAGAAAAAAAACTGACTTCTTTTATTATCCGCTTGCCTAACAGATGGTTTGGAGAGGGAAAAAAGAATATGATCACAATACCAACATTTTTGTGGTATTGAACATTTTCTCCCATTGGATCTTTGGGGCAGATTGTCTCCATTTTTCAAAGTGTCTAAAGCCTTTGTTTGAGAGAGATCTGTTAAATCTGTCTTGCTGCTAATAAACTGCCATTATTCCTCCAAACAAGGCTGCGCTCATTAATAATGCTTCTGTCAGGTGCTCATTCTCCTCCGTGAAAATAGAAAATATCATTAATTACAGTTTCTGTCACCCTCTGACAGCTCCAGCAATTGTTCCAGTCCCTGAGTTCTGTTTCATTGTGTGCGTACCTAGTGACCACCTATTCTTTACTGTCTCAATGGGGATGTCCAGCATGTGAGAGGCACAAAGGCCCTGGGAGATCTCAGCACACATTGCAAAGCTTCTGTCCCAGCAACACATTAGTCATCCAGCGAGCGATTGAGTTTGGTGCTAGACTCAAAATGCAGATCTATCTCAATCTCTCAAGCAGGGCGAGAGCACCCGTCAAGACGGAGCTGCTTTACTGTTCAATGTGGATTTGTTCCCTTTATTTTTGCGATTGCTGAAGTAAGAAACAGGGATTTTTAATGGGATTAATCAGCGGGAAAATAACAAGAAAGGACTATGCGTTGCTGCAGCTGGATATAAGATTTTATAGGATGAAGAATGAATAAAACATTGACTGGACAGGAGCTCAACTCTCCCAACATACACACACAGTGCTAAGAGAGAGAAAGAGAGATGCTCCGAGTGTTTAGTTTCACATTATGTCAACTACAGAGAGGCACACAATCACACACCAACTGTTCCCCAGAGTGTCTGTGTTTGGCATGTTTCTCTTATTCATGCTGGTCAACTTAATGCCGCTGCGACCGCTCATTAGTCACAAATTCAGCCCTGTGAAATGTTATCAATCGGCTGTCAGGTTGTTTTGAGGCACTATAGCAAAATACAACAAAATGCATCAGCCTTCCTGCAGAGCTCAGTGCAGTTTGTGTA